CATCGAGCGAGGAAAGGTTACTTTGTTGTGGAAAAGGTAGAGACAAGCGTGGAAAGAATAAGTGACAAGAAATGATAAATTTGGGGGAGCTCCTTGCGAAAGCACTTAACCCCAAATTTAAAAGAACAGGAAAACACCAATCTGTGAAGGTGGTGACTATGAGTATTTTGTGAAAAGTTTTGATGAGTTCTCATATGTATTAAAATTTTTTGAGAGAGGTTGTTGGTATATCTTTGAATTAAGAAAAAAATACTTTGAAGTTGAAATACCCGAAAATATTTGGTGGCTATGTCTAATAGATATGTTTTGAGGTAATGCATTGATACAGACTTATTAAGAAATGAAATTTTCTCAAGAATTTGGCTATCAAATCACCAATTTCTGAAAACATTGTAACACCTTGCGAACAAACATTTAGATCAACATGTTTCATATCTCAAATACACTCATAGTTTAAGAGGTGATAAATCAAAAACTGTGAAAGTTATATTGACGAAAAAGTAAGCAGGTTGTGTCAAAGTTATATCATTGTTAACAATTCAAGAAGATACATTATCACTATCAAGCACTTGCTTTAGAGTTGTTATATAACGTTGCGGAATAACATACAAGATAGATGGTATTTTCCGTTATGAAACAGTTTCTAATAATGTTTTTACTGAGGCGCATATGCATCAGTAGTAGTTAACTTGCTGAACTGGTTATCGAAGTCGTTCATGATGTATTGTGCGATTTTTGTTGGAATTTATGATTTTACTTACTCTCCGTGATTCTCTCGGATCTGAGGATAAATCTTCGAGTGGAGTGACTAGTCGGTATTCATATAAAAATCGGCTGAGCATTAAAAGAATTACTCAGTTTCTAATAATTATACGATACATCGTATGATATATTAGTAACATCCTATGAGTCATTACCAAATTATCTAGACCACTATAAAATATCGTCTGGTACTTGTCTTCACTTTGAAAAGATGTATCGAATAGTTCATCGGCTGATTAATGTTTGATGATATCACTTTGTACTATTATGTCATGGCTCTTGACCATGCAATTGACGCTATCTTAGCAGTATCACATAGATCCTGACAGTTATGCAATCGACTCTATCTAGCAATAGCACACGGATCTTGACAGAAGAAAAGCAAGAATAATACTATATTTCTAGTTGTTTTTTTGTTTTTTTAGTCATGATGAATAGTTGTCACAATTCCTGTGCTTTTGCTAGATAGAGTCAATTGCATAATGAAGTAAATCAGAGTAAACTAATAATGGGAATAAGAGCTATGAAATTATAGTACAAAGTGACAAACCACGATATTCAATCCATCATATTCATTCATATAGTGAATAAGAATGCTGAGGTCTACACATCGGTGTTCAATAATGTCTGTAGCCACACTGTTTCGGGCTGATTGCACCTAGAAAAAGGCTGACACATTGAATGTCGGTCTAGAACATTTCTCGTAACCAATTCCCGTCATGCAAATAATTGTATAAATACCGATGGTGTTTCTTATAACGAGATCCTACTCCCCACTTCTAGAAAGAGCAAAAAAAAAAAAAATCAGAGCCCCAGAACCTAATACGAATTAATTAGACACGCCATGAAAGACTTGAATGCCAGTACCGCAAGTTAATCACTACTGGTGCAGATATGCCTCAATATTGTTCCTGATATGTGAATAAGGAATGACAATAAGAAAAGAATGATAAGTACTTGTATCAGGCAGCTCATTCCTTTTGAAGCACTGATGGAAAACTATTCCCTTGACGATATGTTAAGCCACTTTGGTCACTGCCTTTGGATCTGTAGCAGCCAGATATCATTAAGCGCTCTCGTCTGATATACATCACTGTTTACGTTTATGCCATTATGTAGTTTGACACTATCATCACCACTAACTACAGATAGCCTCAAAGAACTCAGATAATACCATGAAGATCTAGAATGCCGATGGTTACAATAAATCCAGGACTTGAAACACCTCTGATCTTAGTACGAGGTTCAAATGCTTTGAATCTTTTTTAGTCATTTTGACTAGCATCTTGAATAGCTTCAGTTAATGAGCTACTCAATGGTGCGGCATTTAGTACCTGCTCTTGGTATGCTTTGCTTCATATTTGTAAGGTTCTTAGTTTTTACCACTATAGAGCCGTGATACGGACTGTTTCGAGTCACGGGAAGAGAATTGAGTGAGATTGGGTGAGCTTACAAAGGGCTAACGAGCTTCAATGAAATGCTTTATATATATTGAGTGAATAAGGTTATTTCCCAACCGTCCCTGTTCAACCATGAGAATGGCGAAATGAATTTATGGCGATCGAATTGCGCCTATAGTATAATTTCAATATAAAAAGACGAGGACAAGTGATAGAGTAAGTAGTAAATCACTGACGGTCTACGGTTTTAGATGCATCAAACTATAATCAAAGTCGAGGTAATTAGCTACAATATCCTGGCACCACTATAGCCCATGAATACATCTTATACCCGCCCCTCTTCCAATAAGTTCTCTCGGTGGCCAAGTTGGTTTAAGGCGCAAGACTGTAAATTTAATTAGTAATCTTGATATCGGGCGTTCGAATCGCCCCCGGGAGATATTTTTTTAGATGAATATTTGCGAAAACTAGTTTCGTAATGTAAACAAACCTTTTTTTTTGGCCCCATCTTCCAGCAACCTTTGGATCAGAAAAAAACAGTGTTTCTGTTAAGCTAAAAGGTCTGCATAAGACGCTAAAACGTTAAAGCAATATGCGGAAGCGTATTCATATTGACAACACTATTGAGTTTTTACGCGGCAGAGTATACCTTGGTGCTTTTGACCACACTCCGCAAGACACAGATGAGATAGTCTTCTTTACAGTGGAAGACATTTTGTTTTACAATAGGTTTCATTTGGACTTTGGACCGCTACATATAGGTCATCTATATCGCTTCGCTGTTATTTTCCATGAGATATTGAACGACTCAGATAACTCTGGCAAAGCGGTAGTGTTTTATTCCTCGACGTCAACTCGCCAACGAGCCAACTCGGCTTGTATGCTCTGCTGTTACATGCTTCTAGTGCAAGGATGGACGCCACACCAGGTTCTTCAGCCGCTAGCGCAAGTAGATCCACCCTTCATGCCGTTTAGAGATGCTGGCTATTCGAACGCGGATTTTGAAATTTCTATACAAGACGTAATCTACGGAATCTGGAGAGCGAAAGAAAAAGGGCTAGTGAACTTGAACACATTTGAGCTTGAAACCTACGAGAAATTTGAACGAGTCGAAAACGGTGACTTTAATGTATTGACACCTGATTTCATAGCGTTCGCTTCGCCAGAAGAAGATTCTCGTCACAAAACGAGCACTTCAAAGTCTCAATTGAATGGTCCCTTCCGCTCAGTGCTCAAGTTCTTTTCGGAAAATAACGTTCAACTAGTTGTTAGACTGAACTCGCATCTTTATAATAAAAAACATTTCGAGGATTTGGGTATTGGCCATGTTGATCTAATTTTCGAGGATGGTTCATGTCCAGATATGTCGATAGTCCACAATTTTGTGGGTGCTGCCGAAACAATCATTAATCAGGGAGGAAAGATTGCAGTACACTGTAAAGCGGGACTAGGAAGAACAGGCTGTCTAATTGGTGCTCATCTAATTTACACGTATGGTTTTACGGCCAACGAATGCATAGGCTTTTTAAGGTTCATTAGGCCAGGCATGGTGGTGGGTCCTCAACAGCACTGGTTATATTTGAATCAACATACTTTTAGAGAGTGGAAGTACACCATGAGGTTAGGTCTTGAACCGAGTGAAGTTGTTGGTGATCTTTTCCCCCTTGTTAGTATTGACGAATATCGGCGTCAAAAGAAGACTAGAAAATCTATCAAGAAGCATGCAGACCACAACGTGAGTGATTACACGGTAGACGATCATACGATAACACCTCCAGGATCGGCACAAAAAAGGCAACTGCAAACGACAGCCGCAGTACCGCAAAACTCTCCAGGCCAGCCTCGGAAAGGTCAAAATGGAAGTAATAGAGTTGAAAACATTAAGGACTTGAAAGAAACGCCTGTGGAAAACAACAGTGATGATGAGTCCATGCAAGTTGACAGTAGCCAGGGCAGTGCAACTAGACGTGGTGGGCCGACGTCGGCTGAAGATGATGCTGTCTTGCGACAATTACTACCAAAGAACAAGCGAGCCGTATCAAGTGGGACTGGGAGAAGATCAGCCAGTGGGCCCGGTATAAGGAAGGTCTCTGGTACTGTTAAGAGGTAACTTATCTAACTTCTTGATTGAGAGCTGCGCTTGCCGTTTTCAGATCGTTTAGTATCTGGAACGATAAAAAGTTATTTCTTTGTTTAAAAACTATGTACTTTATTAGCATTCTTTGTTCGTTTCCCATTCTTATGCCTAATTGTCCAGGCATGTAGTCACTTTTCTAGATGTAGCAGGGAATGAGAATTCTTCCGCTCTTCTCATGACTGACGCTGTTATAACTCTTTGCGAGCTTTCCACCGCTCTCGCTAGGCTGGCTCCAGGCCAACTCCCACTTGGCTACCTCCATTCCAGGTATGGCATGAAGGCGTGTGGCATCCAAAAGTCGGGTCGCAACGTTTTGTCCTCTTTGACGCCTACAGACCCATATTCGAGAAATTCCGAGCCTGAAAATCGGTCTTACCTTCGGTACTATCTCAGCCGTATCAGACACCATCCACCTCCCGCGTTGCTCTTCATCATTTAAAAACTCAACCGTTACCACACCGATAGCACGGCCACCCCTAACATAGACCAATGCCACACCGTTATTATTTGCCTGGTGCGATTCGTGCCCTCCATCAGTTTCACAATGCTTGCTCCAAAAAAAGTTTTCGTTCATAGGAGCATGAAGCTCTTCATTCACTATGCTCATTATCTCCAAAGTTGCTTGAACTTCACTCCTCCTACTTTTCGAGATTTGAACAATGCGATCTTTCTCGGCATTAAAATCGCATGTCCTTGTGCGTTGAGAGGACGACCTCCCCGACTCTTCCGCAGAATTTGGAAGGCCCCCCGTAAGGCTTTTACTCAATGAGTGCTCTTGAATAAGATCGCCCCATTGTGAGGTCCACTTACGGCCACACAAGTGCAAATCATGGTATCTTTCATGTGCAGCAACGTCTTCGCAAGCTGCGGGTGAGAACGTCATATAACACTCCGGGCACCGATAGACCTTTTGCCTCTTCTCATCTCCAAAGCTTAAGATAGATTGTTTTCGCTTGCTAGACTTGGGAGTTGAATGGCTTTGTCTTCCCGCTCTTGCCATATACTTTTGTTAAAGTTAACGTTTAGTCAATATCAAGTTGATGGAAGCTGTTCGTGGTGATCTCGCCGATTTCCAAAAGATTGTGACTCTTGAAATATGACGGTTGAAAAGTACTGTTGTTTTTGCGCGTTCAACGATTCTTGATACGCTCAGGCGAGCGCTTAATTTGAACCTTGAAGAGAAGTTTATCTTGAAATTTGCATTAATGTTAAAAACGTACTGATTAATTAGACTATTCAGGACAATAAATTTAAGCACTCATTTCGCAGGAGCTAAATTTTGTCACATCATCCAAACTCCTAGTGCATCGAATCATTGTGAAACTTTAAGAATACTATTAAGCCCTGAAACAAATTCCCTACCCCGCTAAGAGGAGGCTCCTTGTAGATGAATTCGAGTCAATAGCGAAGGCGCGTATACATATGCCAAACAATCAAACATCCTGTACTAAGAGCGTGAGATGAAGTATCGAGTATTTGGATTAGTACACTTGTGTCACTGATCTCTTCTTGCTTGTCAACTTTTGGGCATCCCTTCCTTCCTACCTCTGAATTAAATTTTATGTCAAAAAGTGGGTTGAACGTAAGATGAAGATAATTGACTAACTTTGACACTGATTAGTGCCTGCAAAATAGTTATTTCACAGTAAGGGTTTGCCAAGAGAAAGCTCTAAACACTAACTTACATAACTAATTATTGTTAGAGGTACGCCGAATTGGCTAGCAGCGCCAGAAACTAAACCTATCAATGTCACGCTCATTTATGCCGATTCTTGCTTTATATAAGGCGCTAGATTCATAGCCTAGTTTGAGTTGATGGCCATTTGATATAAATTACTCGCTTTAAGTTGATTCCAACGAAATCAGTTTGTCTTAACGATGTTCAGGCTCTTACTATGGACGTTACTTCTTTCGTTGGTAGCTTAACGGCTCTTACTGATCCCTGTTCCTCTTTATATTGCTTGTAGTTGCTCCGTTTGAGGTCATCATACCTTGTATCTGGATGAGCTCATAGTTTAATATCAGAAAACTGAGTAGCTCAATATCGCAAGTCTAAGCCTCACGGACTATAAGTACTACCAGATCTTCACATTAAGAGGACGTCCATATTAGTTCCGCAAACCTTTTGAGTCGAGACCCGAAATAAGAGACTGGACATGCGAATCCCCAAATTCGAGTCCAAAAAAGCAAAATTCGGCAGAATTGTACCCAGTGCTGTGCGTTTCGAAACAAAACTTCGGCAGTTCTGCATCTTCTTAGGGCTCGATGATCGGCCCGTTTATCTAATGGTTTTCTGATTATTCTAATCAATCTCAACTTACCAGGTCAATTTCCTGAGGCCTTACTCCGAGATTTTGAGCTTTAAACCTCAATTGTTTGGCACACATCTATTGGCTTCATCAAATATTGAGGCTCCGGAGGAACCTCAGCAACTCTTCATGTTGATCTCTTGGTATCTAAAGTTCGTACATTGATCGAGCACAGCATGATCCGCAGTGGAATAAGTGTAAACAGTGCCAATTTTATAACAATACGGGCGTGTGGCGTAGTTGGTAGCGCGCTCCCTTAGCATGGGAGAGGTCATCGGTTCGACTCCGGTCTCGTCCAATTTTTTGCGTCAACGTGTGTAATTGGCAAGAAGCAAAAAGGTAAATAATGCTCGACAATCATGTGCTTAGTCGCGTTGCCTATATATTAGAAATGTTATAGTTTCGAGCACTTAGGCTTGTTTCTATTTGTAAAAACTTCAGAAACTATTCCGCACAACTCCATAGCGCTTCCGTAAGAGGACTGATAGCCAGCGCCGCCAATACCATAGTTATGAACGACATTTAGAGTCTCAGGAAAGTTTTTAAGGCGATACTTGGACAACGCGATTCTCACACCGCCTTCACGCCCGGGCCTTAATGCAACGTAGGAATTGTAAGTAGTAACGGACCGAAGCTCAGGAACGTGATTTCTACAAACTTTTAAAATGCTTTTGCTTAGGTCTTCGTCCACGGTATTAGACCAGTCTCCTTTCGCGAAAATACCACCTACTATACACCCACCTTCGGCACGAGGGAAGATGTTCAGAAATTGGTTAGGCCTGCCTTTAAGCTCTTTCGGCAAGGTTTCGACCATAACTTGGTAGGGCAAATCCTCGAAAATTTGTAGAATTTGACCCTTGATAGGAACAACGTTTTGGAGCTCTTTTGGTTCTTCTTCTCTTAAGAGCTTTCCCGCATTCACTCCTGTGGCATTGACAACGAGGTCAGGAACAAGCCCAACGACTGACACCACATCTGTTATTACATCTAGCCGAGGTACTCTTCTCACTTCGCCTCCGAGCTTGCGAATTTTGGCTAGAAGATAATTGTTGTACACGTTGGGAGTCACCGTGAAACTCAGAAATTCAACTCCATGATACAAGTTAGGGTCCAGATTTCTGTAATTTAGCTCTTCCTCCGTTATCATTTTAATTTCCCGAACAAATTTCTGCTCTATATACCATGGTAGTCCTTCTTTCTTCAGAAAACAGGATTTTAGCTTATAAGGCTTCACCCCTGACTCGGGCTCAGAAGCAGCCAACTGTTCGAACTTCAAATATGATATTTTATCTCTTCTTATTTGGTCCACTTCATGCTTTTTGGCGAAACTCGCCCAATTTGCTCCCGCCCAAGGGGACGTGAAATCGTGGGCGTGATAGTCACCAGGCCATTCTGAAGACAAAATGCTGAGGTTTGCAATTCTGTCACCGAAATTCTCTAATAGGCAGAGGGCGGAGGTCAAACCGGAGACTCCGGCACCTAAAACCACAACTTTTGACATTCCGGTGTGGTTTACTTCGATACGATGAGGGTCCGTAGGATATACTGCAGTTTCAAGCCAAGAACACCACTGCTTTAAATACTATGCTAGCAAATGCCGCTTACTAGGTTATCGCGTTGGAAATGGTAGCTTTTACCGATATCTATCAAGATAATGATTTAAGCACCACCTGCAGTATCAACAAAAAATTCCACCCTTATGTCTAGTCAAGTGACTTATTAAATTTCCTCAGAGCGACGTTGAAGGTTACGAACAAGAACATAAAACTATCGCTGAACTTCTATACTTACAAATACTCGTGTTGTTCCGCACACTTCCACAAAATGTACTCTCACCACTCTCACTCGTTGGATTACATTGCACATGGGGTTGATTGTCTTGAAGACGTGATTGCCAGAGCGAATGATATGAATTTTGAATTGTTCTGTCTGACGGAACATATGCCTCGCATAGATAGCCAATACCTATACCCGGAGGAAGTTTCGAATCAGAATGGCGAAGACATAGAAACTCTCCAGGAACAGTTCAGGAGATTCTTAGTTCATGCTTCAGAGATCAAAGCTCGAGAGCTACCAACAAAGTGTATCATAGGCATGGAGGTTGAAGGGTGTGATTCGAATCACATTTCATATGCAAAGAAGCTGATGGAGAAAAACAAGCACGTATTGCAATTTTGTGTAGGCTCCGTTCATCATGTTAATGGAATCCCGATAGATTTTGATCAGGCTGAGTGGAATCGAGCGCTCGAATTTGTAGGCAACAATCTAAAAACGCTAATAAAAGACTACTTTGAGCTCCAATACAAACTTATCAAGGAGATGAAACCGCTTGTAGTTGGACACTTTGATCTTTTTCGACTGTACTGCTCTAAAGAGGTCTTTATCGACATAGAAACTGGCCAGAGGGTCGATCAAAAATTCAAAAACGCTATCTGTGCTGCCGACATATCGTTTGCAGATGTTTGGGACGATGTCAGAGCCCTTGCAGTAAGGAACCTGGAGGCAATTGCTTCTTATGGCGGTCTCATTGAAATAAATACATCGGGTCTACGCAAGAAATTGCGAGATCCCTACCCCCATAGAGATTTTGCAAAGCTGGCGAAGACAATAATTGGAACAAGATTTGTGCTGAGCGATGACGCTCATGGTGTTTCTCATGTTGGTGTTTGTTATAATAAAGCATTGGAGTACATCGACAAGACCATTGAACTTGATCGGCTACATTTTCTCAAAGAGGAAGATGGTGCTCTTAAAGTTGGTTGCATTGGCATTGAAGATTTCAAAAAGGCTCCGTTTTGGAAAAGATACAACGAGGTTTTACGAAAAGAAAGTTGACGTAGCTCGTTCTACTAGTATGCAAATCTTTATAAAAAAATAACAGTTCTCTATACGGCAATTGTTGGGCCCTAAACTAGTAAGAGCGACCGAACATGGTGTACTGGATAGCTTTCCTCTCACACTTAACACACAATTGATCTTTTCTGAGTTTGGGTTGCTCAAAGGGGATACATAGCGTCTTAGCACCCATACTTGGAGCCTTCTCATCAGCTTCAAACTCCTCGCCATCATCTCTCTTGGCTGAAGAGTCCTTGATGTCCTCCTCACATTCGGTGACACCACACCATGGAGAGACAATGACATTTTTTTTGTTCAAGGCTGGAACAAAATTTTTCCATTCATCTACCATAACTCTATGGGTGTCAAATAGCTCTTTAGCTCTTGAGAACAGATCTTTTTGCATCTCCTCCAAAATCTCTGGTACGCGAGACTCTAAGTCGCTTAGTTTCACTGTATATTTGCGGTTGTCGTTTCTTCTGACAACTAAAATTTGATCTTGAGCCATATCCTTAGGACCAAATTCCAAACGTAAAGGAATACCCTTTAGTTCGTACTGGGCGAACTTCCACCCAGGAGTGTAATGATCGTTGTAGTCACCAAAAGCTCTGATGTTAGCAGCGCGTAGCCGCTGTTCAACTTCTTTAGCTTTTTGATGAATAGCAGCTCTTTGTTCATCAGTAGTTTTCGCGCTAATGCCAACAGGTAATACAACACACTGCCTTTGAGCAACTCTAGGTGGCAATACGAGACCTTTGTTATCCGAGTGAATCATAACCATGACACCGATAACACGAGTACTTAAACCCCAGGAATTCTGATGAGCGAACACCTTTGGGTGTTCTGGGCCTAATGGATTTTCTACACTAATATTGAACATCTTGGAAAAGTTTTGACCCAGATGATGGGATGTTGCACCCTGAATACCACGACCGGTTTGGGGAATATAGCCCTCGCATGTTGTCGTAAAATCGCCACCAGCAAATTTCTCCTTTTCGGTCTTTTTTCCCTTAACAACAGGGACAGCTAGCAGTTCCTCATAAACGCCAGCGTAGAAATCCAAAATTTGCAAAACCTCTTCTTCAGCGTCTTGTTTAGTCAAATGAGCCGTGTGGCCCTCTTGCCACAAGAACTCTCTAGTTCTTAAAAAGGGTTGGGGATGCTTGAATTCCCATCTTACTACAGAATTCCACTGATTTAACTTAATAGGCAAGTCTCTGTATGACTGGATCCACTTGGCGTAGTATGGGTACATCACGGTCTCAGAGGTTGGCCTGATCGCAATGGGTTCTTCAAGCTCGGAAGAGCCGGCTCTAGTTACCCATGCAACCTCAGGAGCAAAACCTTCGACGTGATCTTTCTCCTTTTCCAGCACACGAGCGGACACGAACATGGGAAAGTATGCGTTTTCAACCCCAATTGCCTTGATTTTATCGTCAAACCATTTCTGAATGACCTCCCAAATAGCATAAGAGGCGGGTCTCAAAATATAACAACCGGAGACGTCGTAGTAGTCGAGCATTTCACCTTTTGTTAAGACTTGTTGATACCACCCAGAGAAGTCTAGCTTTTTGTCGACTGTAATGCCTATTAGTTTGGCGTCATCTAGGGCCGCGGATTTGGCTTGGTTTACAGCGGCAGCTGAGGGAGAAGGTTTTTTGTTTTCTTGCTTCTTTGGAGCTTCTTGAGAGAAGTCCACCACTTGAGGATTAAACTGCTCCAAGTACTCGGCCAGCTGTGACTTGACAACGAACTTTTCTTCATTGAGTTGTGTCACTTGAGAATCCTGGGTTTTAATGAAAGCATCGTCAATAACCAGCTTGAATTCAGAAGTAGCTTGCAGCAAATTACCAAGATGAAATTCTTTGGCCGAACCACACTTGAAGTGTGATGCAAAGAGTTCGTCGCGCGCCAAGCGAGGTTCTTTAGTACCAGTTGCGCTGGCGATTATAGCTGGACTGGTTGACGTACATTGCAGCGCGACCACAACAATTGGGACGGGTGCCGCAGACTTGGGCGTTTTAGGCTTGAAAACCAATGACTTGATAGCCACAGCATCCGCTTGAGCGGATACACAGAGCTTGGCAAATGCTTCCTCCAACGACATGGCCTCTTTACGATTTCGCGGTGTGTCTTAAGATTCCAAGCTCAATAAATCAAGTAGATGGAGTTGGAGAGAGATGAGTTTGATGAAAAAAATTTTCAGGAATTGATTAGATTCGAAAGATGTAAGTTTCAGTCTTGACTCATCGGAAAGAAGATCAAGACAGTTAGCTATTGACGGTATCCACTTATCATTTGAAAAGAGCGCCCGAAAGAAGAACCAAAGAATCAATTGAATCTTGCATTTTTCTAGTTCGTGTGTTTGTTTGGTTGCTGCATTAAAGAATTGAACACACTTGAAACTTTAAAAAACAATCAATTACAATGTCCTTATACGTTCATGAGGCCGCCGGTGTGGACGATGTCTCTGCCTCGGGCAACGAGCAACGACCCTTCAAAACTCCGTCTTATGCTTTATTTTCTTCGCGCGGTTCAGATGAACCCAAGCTTCTAGTTTTTAAAAACGACGCCGAAAAGGGCGATGGCTATGTTGAAATATCTGCCAGTGCCTTGAAAAAGGCCCGTAAGGGTTGTGAAGGGCTCGTGAAGAAGCTGGCGAAACAAGCCGAGCTTGATAAGAAGAAACAAGAGCAGGAGGAAAAAGAGGCTGCAAAGAAGCTCGAAGCCTTGAACATTACTATCCTTCAGGACACCTCCCTCCCTGATGCCCAAAAATGTAAGATACTGAAATCATACGATGCTGTGGACCAACGGGTTAAGGTCTCTGGTTGGATTCATAGACTGCGGTCTAGCAAAAACCATGTTTTCATCGTGCTGAGAGACGGCACCGGTTTCTTGCAAGCTGTGCTCACTGGCGACTTAGCGCTTGCTCACCAAACGTCTACTTTGACCTTGGAATCTACCGTTGCCCTGTATGGTAAAGTATGTAAGCTACCTGACGGGAAGACTGCTCCAGGTGGCGTCGAATTGCTCGTTGACTATTACGAAATCGTATCTTTGGCTCCTTCAGGTGAAGAGGCATTTACCAACAAGATCGCTGAAGGTGCTGATCCATCATTGCTGTTGGACCAGCGTCATCTTGCGCTGAGAGGTGAAACTTTATCAGCCGTCATGAAGGTCCGCGCTACTTTACTCCGTTATATTCGTCGTTTCTACGACGAGGAAGGTATCACCGAAGTTACTCCACCATGTATGGTTCAAACTCAAGTAGAAGGTGGATCAACGCTCTTCAAATTAGGCTATTATGGTGAGGAAGCTTATTTGACGCAGTCCTCGCAACTGTATTTGGAGACATGTTTGGCGAGTTTGGGTGACGTTTACAGCATCCAAGAATCATTCAGAGCCGAGAAATCTCACACCAGAAGGCATCTTTCTGAATACACGCATATTGAAGCAGAACTTTGTTTCCTCGATTTCGAAGAAATGTTGGACCACATCGAAAAGCTCATCACTAAAACAGTTAAACGTGTGTTGGAAGATCCCGTCTCTGGTCCGCTTATCAAGCAATTAAACCCTGGGTTTACGGCTCCAGAAATGCCTTTCATGAGATTAGATTACAAGGACGCCATTACATGGTTAGTCGAGCACGACATCAAGAACGAGGAAGGAGAAGACTTCAAATTTGGTGACGATATTGCTGAGGCGGCTGAAAGAAAGATGACCGACACTATCGGCGTTCCAATTTTTTTGACTAGATTCCCAGCAGAGATCAAGTCCTTTTACATGAAACGTTGTCCTGAAGCACCAAACGTTACTGAGTCTGTGGATGTGCTAATGCCTAACGTCGGTGAGATTACTGGTGGCTCTATGAGAATTGAAACTACCGAAGAGTTGATGGCTGGTTTTGCTCGTGAAGGCATAGATCCTGAGCCATACTATTGGTTTATTGATCAAAGGAAATACGGTAGCTGCCCACATGGCGGTTACGGTATCGGTACTGAGCGGATTCTAGCTTGGCTATGCGACAGATTCACAGTCAGAGATTGTTCGCTATACCCTCGTTTCACAGGTCGGTGTAAGCCATAACCTGAATTACCTTGGAGTATAATAGTAAGTATATCAAACTTATATAGACTACACTGAGTACTTATACTGCGTAAGGTGGCGGTCATCCGTGCACTCTTGCTTACGTTGAAATGTCAAAACGTTTATCGATTTAAACACCGAGTCTAACGTTGAGCTTTACACGGTATACGTGGTCTGGCCCAGTATCGACTAGCGCAAGCCACATTGATATAAATGCCATTTCTTGCCCTGAAAATAAAAATCACTGGGAAGATTTGAGAAATTACTAGGGTTTTCTGCAGTCTGCAGTAGCTTTGTTAGCACGGATTTAGAATACTTTCAAAATAAAAAGGGGAGTCCAACTGCCGAGAAAGTAACCCAGTCTACTCCATTTGCCGTAAAACCTTTGATCACCCGCCAGGCGCTCTATGAAATTGAACCACCAACTTTTTCGCGACACTATGAGGTTGTATAGTGGCATAAGTAAAGACTTGCTGATGTTTGAGCCACTTGCAGAGAGATACTTATAGGAGCTCGAACTACCCGCTATTTTAAGCACACCCAAATGGCACAAGTAAATACGTGATTGAGGATATTCGTATTTGAGTGCTCGATGAAAAGACTGCATCAGGCCAGCAATAAAGTATTCCGGAGAGTGATGTGGTATTCCGTAGTTTAGGGGAAGTGAAGGAGTCATAAGTATTATCTGCAGTTTGGGTGTTAAATGCGGGAGCAATTTAACAAGAGCCTTTATATGCGCGAACACATTTTGTTCCATTTCGGATTGCACCACACTTGACGAAAGTGTCGTAAAAACTCCAGAGGGATAGTAGGCAGAGTTTGGTACAATCAGTATTGACGATAAAACTGCCGACATTTCGTGAAGATATTTAATCATGTTGTTGAGGTCAATGGGTGCAATATGGAAAAGCCCGTCGTCATCGTTTTCAGAAGCGCCATTCTCCGAGCACACAAAGACTATAAAACCACGTCGATATAGATCCATAACAATTTGGCGCGTTATGGGATCTCGCATATGTCCGAACAAGAGTACGCATGTTTTGTCGCCTTGTTTTAGATGCGCTGGGGGTCTTGGCAACAGTTTGCCGCCGTATCTCCACATGAGCAACGCTGCAGCGCTCAGACCTAATGCAGAAATAGTTTTCAAAACTTTCTGATTCTCAAACCCATGAAAAATACCGATCGGCGCAACCTGACGCTCCAGCGGATCTGTGATGGGATTCGATGCACCTGAACCTAAATCTTTTACATTGTCTAGTACGCGCCGATTGATAGATTCTGCCTTCTTGAACCAGTAAAAGCCTGTGTCAAAGATCTTATCCACAACCTGGCTTGACATATTGACCTAATGTCGTCTCCAGATTTGGTGAATGATTGTCCAATTGTTGTAATGGGCACATCGAAATACGATGGCATCTTCAATAAAGTGGTAAGGTGCACTTAGTACGGGACATCAATAGAGTGCAGAATCTTCCGCCAACACGGCGGTGTCTTGAAGCTAAGTTGTGCTCGAAATCTACTTTATGCTACAAGCAGATATAATGTATTGAGTATGTACGCATTATGGGCTTGTTTATGACTAGAGTATCATTAACATGACTTTTGCGAAGGTGTTCGAGATTTACCCAGCCCATATCTGTACGTGGATGGCCTCCTCATAATAGAGGTCTCGAGCGTCTCACAATAATAGCATGATGCGGCTTGCACTCACTTGGCTGATGCTCTTTAGCTAAGCGTAGTTTTAAAATGAACGATTGAAGCTAGATTGACGGTGGGGGTCCTCCTCTAGATGAGCAGATGTCACGATGGTTGATGTCAGTGCAAGGCTGATTAGATTCGTTAAGGAAAATTAGCCATAGGTAAGGCAGATTATTTGCTAAGTAATTGAATTTTATATTCTGCAGAATAAAACGAATTAATTTGATCGTGGAGATTGTAATACGGATAACATTAAGGACCCCTTAGTATGATAGCAATTGACAAATAGAACAGCTTTGTGCGGTTTACCTTATCTCTGTTTGTGCGTAGAGTTTACCGATTTCGCTCACAACGTTTCAAAATCATGATCATTTTCTCTTCCTTACTTCGCATCGTGGCATCGAGGTCTGTGAGATGATAAGTTGAGCGCTATGTGAATACCATGACCGTGCGGACAGACTAAAAATTGATTGTGACGAAAACCTTGAGTAAGCACTACTTATACTTTAATTTAGAACAAGTGTGAAAGGGTTTACCTAATAATGAACTTCGAGAATGGGGCGCGTCTTAACTAAATTCGGAATCAACCCATCTAAGATATCTAGGGTATCACTAATTCGCTGTCTTATTTTCCAGATCACCACCCCAAAGTTTAAACGAGGATGCACTTGGTCTGAGTAGCCGTTTTACTCATCATATTTTACTAAGCTGACGCCGAAAAGTTTTCGTGTTCCTGTAAGCTTCTTTCTTAGGAAAGGGCTCTGCATATTGATTAGAGTGCGTATTCTATCAGGAGACGGCACGGAAGGATGAAAAGCGTTTGTTACGCATGATATTTGCTCGAACAATCGCCGAATAAGATGAATCAACTTGATCCCGGCTTAAGTAGGAAGACTTTAGCCAAACTCAAGCAGTCCCATAGTCAAAAAATACTACCACATACCGGGAACTTTATGCAGTTTGTAGTATAGTAAGGACATCAAGCGTTTGTGTCAATGTTGGATATGTCCAACCATCTCTTGCCTTGAAAGCGGTCAAAAAATTCGCCTATCTCAATATTGTGATCATCAAGTTCCCGCATTGTAAGCAAAAAAGATACGTCTCCCCGTGGCAGTCCGTCTCCGTATTTACCGAGGCCTTATATCATATTCTATTTGTGCTCCATACCAACATCAACGCCTGCCTTGAATTTAGTATTTCGCTGTCTAGCAAAGAGGGTCTCATTCTCAGCTATAGTGACATCGGGTTTTCCGCAAAAGATGGCTTGAATATTTTGGACTAAATTAATTTATCATTACTTCTTGTCGGCCCGGCAGGGTACTTAAAAAGGATAAATTGGGTGAGCAAAGTGATAATCACTGAATTAGGAACAGAACAGAACAGAAAAAGCATACATAAGGTACACCCCTGAAGTTTTATAAACAAGATGGGTATCAACAATCCTATCCCTCGGTCTTTGAAATCAGAAAGCAAGTATGTGAGCTAGCATGAAGTTGACTTGAGCCATTTTGGAACCCCCACTTTTTAAGGTACTAACTCATTTCTCGTAAAGAAAAGCTGCTAAAGTACTGGCAAGTTTCGTCAAGCCTAATCAAATTCTGGGTGCAGACTCTGTGATTCCACCTAAAGTCTTGAAAAAGGCTAAGGGCCTGGCAATAATCACGGTATTGAAGGCAGGCTTTTTGTTCAGCGGCCGTGCCGGTTCTGGAGTGATTGTGGCACGTTTGCGAGATGGTTCATGGTCCGCACCATCAGCAATTGCCCTTGCGGGCGCTGGAGCCGGTGGTCTTATTGGTATAGAGCTTACAGACTTCGTTTTTATTCTCAACACCGACGATGCTGTCAAGTCTTTCTCTGAATTTGGTACTATTACTTTAGGCGGTAACGTGTCTGTAGCAGCTGGCCCCCTGGGAAGGAATGCGGAAGCAGCAGCATCTGCATCGCTTGGAGGTGTTGCAGCAGTCTTTGCCTATTCCAAGACCAAAGGTCTCTTCGCAGGGGTCTCCGTTGAAGGTTCCGTTATTATAGAAAGAAGGGAAGCAAACCGGAAAATATATGGCGACAAATGCAAAAGCAAAATGATTTTGACCGGTCGCGTAAGACCTCCCCCGGCCGCAGATCCACTGTTCAGAGTTCTTGAATCCCGTGCATTCAATTTCGGCGACAGAACAAGAGATTCTGGATTTGATGATGGCTTTTATGACGACATCCCATCCTCTTTTGAGTCCAATGACATGGATTCCAATCAACCCAATACAAGGTCTTCGCGAAGACGTGGGGACTCACTACAATCATCAAGATCAAATCGTGACGATTTTGACGACGATTTTGGAGAAAGCGATCCTAATGATGTTAGCGGATATTACTCTAAAGTTAGAAACCAAAAAACTGGTACTCGGTGGGAAGATGACGTTTACGACAGAGATATAGATGATTCTGCTCCGAGGCTTGGCGGTTCAAAAACGTCAAGTGCGCCATCCAGACCCAGGAGTGAAAAACCTGATTTTGGACTTTCGTCGCCTGCAGCAGGTTCCAGAAGTGCTAGGGATGCTTCGTCTGGTGCTCCTAAAGCAGTAGCGCTGTTTACTTTCAAAGGTGAGCAGAGCGGTGACTTACCATTCAGGAAGGGCGACGTGATTTCCATTTTAAAAAAGTCTGACTCCCAAAACGATTGGTGGACAGGCCGGAATAATGGTCAAGAAGGGATTTTTCCCGCCAACTACGTGGAGCTGGTATAGAAAGCTACTCGAGTTAACTACTATAAAAGTTGGATGCAGTATGTAAATGATGCATTTTGATTTCGAATATAACGTGTCCGGTGGAAGAATAAGACATTGGTGTGGTTGATTCTCCCCGGATTCCTTAATAATATAATATAAGCATGTGCGACTGTGAACTATGCAAATGCATGCACCAAGGCATTTCAATAGCACGAATTATAACAAGCCAATAAGAATCAACGTACTTTTTACCGTTGAAAGCCCAAGAAAACAACAGCCTCTTGCACCTGCTTTTGCAAAATCCTTCCATGTTGTGGTTTCGTGTTCATTAATAGTATGAACTTAGCCAGACTCTCTACGTCAGAACGCCAATATACGTCGAAAATGTACTCCGATATACATTTCAGGTTTGCCTCTCGAGAAGCGTTGGGGTAAGTGATAAAATCCATCGACTTTCTGATCTCGTTCTTCAAGACGTCAAGGAGTTGACTTTTCGCAAAGTGCGGAGGTCCTCGCTCGACACTTCCAACTGAAGGCGCGTACATGGTGTGACGCTCATATCGGGAAGCATTTCTTGGCCCAGCATAAAGGTTGGCTCCCCCCACCGAGCTATTTGATTCTTGCTGAGATGAGCCATTAAGTTTGCTGCTAGCAAAAGGCACTTGCGTTTGCGTAAAAAATGGCCTCCATGATATTTGTACCACGCTGTCCCCAACGAGCTTCCCGTTAAGTGACTCAAACAATCTGTTAGCATCCGGACGAGAATTGCACAAAATATTGCCGACAAATGTTAAGCTATCCTCATCATACTGATCAATAAGAATTCTTCTGTAACTTATCTTTTCAGTATGACATAGTTGAGTCAAAAATTGCTCGTTACAGATAGAACTCAGATTGCTGAGATACAGTGTTTGTCTATAGCCGTTTGAGAGTAAAGACGCGATTGATTTTTTATGAACGCTCTTCCTCTCGGGAGTATCAACACATTTATTCCGCGAATCTTTCTTCTGGCCTTTGGTTACAACCAATTGTTTGCCCTGCAAGTAGGCGCCATTGAACTTTTCTAAAGCTTGGTGTGTGTCGCACCCTTTTTTGTAAGTCACAAATCCCCAATTAGAATCTTTGTGAAGCCTGCATTTTGCTGTGAATATAGACTTGACGGGCCCCACTTTACTGAAAAAGTCGAGAAGAGTCTCATCATCAGCGCCTGTCGGTAAATTTTTAACATGGATAGAGTTAGGGTGAGGGCCGTTGGAACGCTCACCATATTCTATTTCTGTCTCATCATCGGTTATCAAACTTTCCTTGGTCAACCCTTCCAACTTTGCTTTCCTTTTCTCAAATTCTGGCGATTTCCTGATGTCCTTATCAAAATGCAGCCCACACGAGATGTTATTACCATAAAAATCGGTGTTATTAAACTCGTCGATGACCTTCTTCGCAACAGCGTCACTTTCAAAATAGACAAACCCAATATTTTTCCGTTTATCTAATTTACAAGAAAGCACTCTCCCATAGTGATTGAATGTTTCATAAAACGCTCTCGTTGTCAAATTTGGGTTTTCGAGAGGAAGATTGGCAAAAAATACATTGGTGCCAATGTTCTTTCTGAAAAATGCGTTTCTCATTGATGGCATGATTCTTACTTCTTTATCAAAGAGATTCACATAGCTAAACTCCTCGATCACTTTTTGAGCGTCGTCTTCGGACGAGAAGTTGAGGTACCCGTAACCTAAAGACCTGTTGGTAGCTGCGTCAACGCAGATCTTCACTGATTGGAGCGATGGAAATTTGCAGAACACAGTTTTGAGCATCTTCTCAGTAACGCACTGGTTCAAATCGCCAATAAAAAGCGGTGTCACTTTTTGACTGGTAACGCATTGATCTTTGAACTCATTAAGTTGCAGAACGGCTTCAGATTCTGCCTCATCGGAGCGTTCCGAGGATATGCTCGACCCAGGTTTATTTTCCCCTAAAGTTTTGATGTCACTGTTGGCTGTAGTCGATAGCGCATTTGCTGCTCTGACGATTTTCGAAGCCTCGCCTTGTCTTACCTGTTTACCACTTAGTCTGCCTACATTAGGTGAAATACTGTTCAGAATGTTTCCTGTAGCAGCTGTGAGACCACCGCGAGTTTGTTTCTGCATCTTTTATTCAAAGATGTATTCGATAACAATTATGTGGCAGATTTGCTTGACCTGAATTTTGGCGTAATCTGGATAATTATTAGCGGAGCACCGGTGTTTGATGAACGCGATACACTTGAAACACCAAAACCCTGTAAAATTATCCTATAAGTTCTGTTCTAAATCGCGTTTGATGAAAGGCTTTTATGTTGGCTTTGACCTTACTTCTTTAAACCCAGTTGTGACGACAGTTTGAATTTTTAGTGACATTTGTAGAATGACACAAAAAGCATTAAGATAAATAGCACTATGGACGAAAGAGTATCTCTTGAGTAATTTACTCAATACAAAATATATGTCACCGCAACCTAAATAACAGGACATTGCCTGACATCTGTGCGTAATGTGGTGGTCTGGACAAATTCTTGGTAAAATATTAAAAAAAGATAGCGTATAAAACGTAATACTAGACTGCCGAGCATTTGTCGCAAGAGAGCACATTTGAGTAATTGAAGACACCATCGAGAGACTGAATGTTGGAGCACGCTGCTATCATGAATCCGATGAAGTTGGCATGTAGTCCAAGATGTTTCACCTCATGAGGAGTAGTCGACTAAAGTAATTGTATCAACACGCAAGATCTTTTAATCTCTTGATCCGATATGTACTTATTATACAGAGAAAAAGTACGAAAAGATTTACATCGCCGAGTTTATAGCTATCAAGTCAAGTGAGTGACACAATATGTCCATTGACGCAATCATTAACACCTCACCCATCGCAACTCGTGGTAACACGTGGAAACATGCGTTCAGTAAGTAAAAACTGAGTTATGACATCAGGAACCAGTGGTTACATCAGACGCTGCACGTCAAGCTATGCCTTGCCCAACGTCTATCTTATCTCAGGTCTTTCAATCGCGGTCTTTCAATCGCGGTCTTTCAGCAGCGTAGAGCTTTTTTCGCAAGCCCAACAAGAGCAACTTGAGGATTTGATTGTGCTTTTTTGAGCCTGAATATCTATTTTTCTATTGAAAGGCTAATCTTCCGTAATATACAAAGACTTATTCATTAAACTGTCAGAATATCTCTGCCAAAGAAACCTCTCTTCAGCCAGTCCATGAACAACAGCACTCTTGTTCTCAGGGAAACTGTTTGAGCGAAGTAGATACCTCTCCATAGGTACATAGCGACCAAGCCACCCACAAAAGAATAACCTGGAATATCGAATACTGCCGAATTCCCGATGTAAGCCAAAGATCCCAAGTGGACATACTTGAAGGCTTTGTAAACGGATTCATCAGAGATAAGTTGAGCACTCTCATTAACTTTGGCAGTTTCTGAGCTTCTGGCAACCTTGGTGAGTTTTTTCCCAATATATTTGCCTTGTTGATGAGCCCTTTGAGCTGTGGCAGGCATGGAAGTGGCTTTGCTCTCAACTTCTCTCAAAAGTTGAGTAATTTGGTTAAAATCTAATGTCCCGGAGTTGGTCTTGTCGTATTTGGGCAAAATGTCCTCAACGTTGTACAAATGCTCTCTAGTTTGTGGGTGTCTTTTAACAAGCTCTCTAGCCAGGTCCTGTATTTCATCGTATGAGATGGACAAGTGCTTGATGTCATCGTCTGTGATAATTTCGTTGCTTCTGGTAGGTTGCAAGTGCTTGTTAACAATAAACTGTCTCACAAACTCCACCGCGTGTTCCGCAAGATCAGTTCTTACGGTAGCACAATCTCCAATAGCATAAACCTGGCCAAGGGGCGCACCCAGTACCCTTAGGTGAGAGTCTGTTTCGATAGCTCTTCTATTTCTTTGAAAGGCTGCTAAATCTTGAACGACTTGCTTGGCCAAAGGATTTTGAGCAACACCGGTAGACCACAAGCATAGACCGAAAGGAAGCTCCTTGAGCTCGTTTTCGCCGGTTTCAGAGTTCTTTTGCGTGAAAATAACTCTGTCAGGCAGGATTTTATGGACTCTTGAGTTTGTCAAAACGTCAATATCATCTTTCTTGAATCTTTGCATGGCATACTCCGAGATAGTTTCGTCGTAGGTATTTAGGATGTTAGAGCGCGACTGGATTATATGCACAGAGACTTGCTGTCTCAAAATCTTCGGATAGGTTTTTGGTAGATCTTCGTTCATCAAGTCGAAAACTTCTGCAGCAAACTCCACACCAGTTGGGCCACCACCGCAAACAACAAAACTTAGCAGCTTCTTTCTTTCCTCGTCTGTAGTCGTGGGTAGACATGCGACTTCCAAATTGTCTTTGATCTTTCTTCTAAGACTGATTGCATCCTCGGCAGTTTTTAATCGAGAGCAGTTTTCTAAGCCTTCCACACCGTGTGTATTCGCAGTAGATCCTACGGCAACAACCAATTTATCATAAGGTAAATAAAAAAACCTCTTTTCCCCACTTTGGGGATTTACCTGCGAGACCTTTACCAAATTGTGAGCAAATTCCACCTTTTCAGCTTTGGCTTCCAGGTAGTGGCCGCTAACATCATTGACAAGCTTTCTAATCGAGGCCATCAATGACTTTACCTCGAGAGTACCAGTCGCAGCAGACGGAAGAAGTGGGGTAAAAAGGAAGTAGTTCTGTGGCGACACTACAGTGACGTCAAATTCACCTGGCGCTAGAGACTTCAAAACACCAACGGAGGCCCATCCAGAACCCAGCACTACAAGCTTGGGTCTATAAGATAGCTTCTCCTTAGCTTCAGAATCGTAAGCGTCTAAGTTGTCCCATAAAACGGGCAAGTTCTCGGGCCCTCCAAGCTCAGGTGCCAAGGCCTTCTTTGGTACATTTATGAAGTCTGGCACTTCTCCTTCCTTGTAAGTCGTTGCATCGTACAAAAAAAACAGAATCAAAGAGGCGCCAAGAGATGAAACGACAACACCAGTGGTCAGTATAGACCATCTTATGAGCTTTCCTATTCTTTCAGCAAAGAAACCAGATTTAGGAGAGTATTTTGCCTCTTGCTGAAGTTGTCTACTACCATGAAGCAGTCTTAGAGTCTGGAACGAAGGTTGAATTAACCTCCCAGTATAGGCAGTAGAACGCGTTGCACACCTCGAAAGGATTGAGCTTTGCAAGACGCCTGGTCTACACACACGCTTCAGCATCTGAGTTGGACTTACCTCTTGGTAATAAAAAGTGGTGTAACTGATAAAAGCTTTATTATGGGTATAGCAAAACTCATTTTTTTTGGTAAATAAAAGGTGGATCTGAACTATCGAAAAACGCGCTGAACAAGAAAAAAAAAAAAATTGGAGGGTCCGCCCAGATTCGAGCCAAATCGAGAAGTTTTTAGTACTGCTCGGGCTAACTGGTGTCATATAATTCAGTGTGTCACTTTCTAAAACGAATCCTTCGCGTACTGTTTCAAAGCTAGTCGTTGATACGGTAGTCTAAATGATCTCTTCCGCGATAGTTCCGGCAAAATAATGCAATCGTTAAATATCCTTACTTCTGTTCCTTTCTATGTAGAAGACCTTTGAGGTTCATTAAAGACCCGTTTCTACTGATCGAAGGGGATCCGCCAGACGCTTCCCCATCGTGAAGTGAGAATTGTGCGTGGGATTGGTCTTGTCTTTGCTCTCTCTTGCCACCCAAAGGTGTCATATTAAAACTAAAATGCTTCGATGCTGTCCCGCTTTTGCTTCCTCCGCCCGAGGAAGTATTGGTAGAGATATTCGAGCCGCCAGTGTTGCTTCTGGAGAGTGAGAATTTAGGCAAAGAAGTTGAGGAGCTGTTGTTGCTTCTTGACAGTGCTGCATGCGAAAGTTGTGTGCCGCTATTATTTCTATGCATATCTGAAGACTTCTGGTGCGCCAGCTTCGGCCTTTCTAAACCTAGAGTTAAGCCTTCGTTGTCTTCCTTCGGGTAAGCTGGTGGCAAGTCAACAGGAAGCGAGTCGCCCTTCATGGCGTTGTCATAAGATGGGACTCTGCTTAAGGTATTTACCTTCCAATCAGATTTGACAGTTGGTCCAAACGGGCCGAAAGAATTTGCCCGAGAAATATGATCCAGTCCTGGAGACATCATGGGCGCTGGTGACCTCAGCCCCGAATTATTCATAGCGAACATGCTCTGAACATGACGCGGCACGGGGGCTGTGAAGTAATCAGTTGGTCCTGAACCTCTGGATCCCAACTCTAATAGGGAGCTGGGATCTGGTGTCGTGGGTAGTTCACCTTGAATATTCTCGTCAGAATTATGATCATCACCAATGTTTGGAGCCTCTTGCTCAACGTGTAGCTTCTGGAGACCCTGTTGCAGAGCATTCACCTCGTGCTGACTATTAAGATATGAGCCCTCCTCAGTACCGATTGGAGACTGCCTTCCAGAGTGCGTTGGTGTGTTCTCTACAGATATTCCGCTCCAGAGCCTATCATATATGTGACTCTCGTAGTTAGGAGGTGCCATGAGGGCCGAAGTTAGATTTGAGGAACTGCTTTGATTCCGTTCTGGATTGAGGGCAGCTAGATCTAGTTCGGATACAGTGTTCGCAAAAATCATATCATCGTCATCATCCCCTTCTGCGTCAGTACTGTTGGCAGATACATTAGCGCTGCTGTCTAAAGAATCGGTACACTTTACACCCAGCGCTACAAATGGGGATATGAAGAGCTGGATTGGTAAGGAAGCACGAAGTTCAGAGACATGTCCATCTGGGTTGACAAGTGAAATGACGAACTTTAGTTTATGACGCACTTTGATGTTTGATAGAATGCTGCAGTCCTGTGTACACTTGGACAGACTTGGAGGCACGGTAAATGGTGTATCCACTTCCCACTTATCCTGGAAGGTAGGTACATCGGCATCTGGATCTTCTGCATTCGAGTGATTCAAGGGATCAGAAATCTTGACCTTGCATACAACGCGCTCTTGACTGCTTCCGGCTCCGTAAGGTGCGCAATACGACGAATACTCAACAAGGTTTATTTTTATAGGCCCCAACTTCAAGCCTTTGAGTAGAGGCACCATTAGAATGTGGACAGTAGTTGAAGAACCAATTGCAATAGCCTTCGCGGGAACAGATATGGAATAGTCTACTTTGTTGGGCCATGTATTGTCTACTGACATTGTTTCGCTGATCTCGACGGCGTCTGGTGTCAGAGTCCGTATGATTCTTAAATGTTTCTTGCAAATCAAATCTGTGGCAAACTTACCTCTCTCGATAGTAGCTTGAATTTTGTAAATAACTGAGGCGTTGGGCAAACCTTCCACGCTTTCGGTCAAAGTGCCGGGAAGAATAGCACTAAAAGGGAACTCATAATTTCCTTTCACTAAAAGATGACTATTACCACTGGAGCCTGACCCCAAGGACATGAGGGAGGTTGTTGATTTTGCTTTATTGTGAAGGCTTTGCAGGTTGCTGAACGAGCCTGTTTTGCTCGCTATGGACCGCTGAGAGCCATAATTGTCATAAAGATTGTGAAAATAGTCTTGGATATTGATGTTGTCCCAAACATGCTCGAAAAACCTCTTGTCGTACTTGAAGCTCCTTTCCGTGGGACCTTTGGGCCCCCGATATGTGGTTGTCAGATTTAGCCGTAATATACCATACATCCTTAGCGTCAATTTCTTTATTTGCATCGGTTCAGCCACTGAAAGTACTACTGTTCCTGAAAGAAGAACGGAAGACGCCTCATGTGGAGCCCCCTTTACGACTATAACATCGTGTTCTGCAGATTTGATTCTGATTTCAAACAAGGCTGGTGCCTTGTTACTTTTCGTACCAGTGAAGCCCATGCTTAATCACCTATTCCTTGCTTAACTCAATGGATGGGTTACTTACGTCTCACCTTGTTACAGCAGTGAATAATGTGGGATATTGAGACCACTGACTAGAGCTTAAATTGACGACAATATTCGCAAGCCGCTCTCTTGGAAGGTAAGCAGAAAACAAGATGCACTTATCTTGCTCCTCACACGACCAAAATACTCACTTTCACCCTAGTAGTTCTGTTCGAAGGTTGAGTGGAATTGCTGCTCAACCAGTTCAATTACTTAGTTCATGATTGTCAGGGTAACAGTCCAGATTCGACGTAGTAGACCATTGGCGGCACGCAAGGGAAACTCTAAGCAAGTAAAAGAGCTCTCATAGACAAGTGAACTTGGTGCATTCTAATGACTAAAATCTCAAAAGTATTAATACAGTGAAAACCACGCGAAGTTACTCTTCTCAAACGGTCAGGACTGATTCCTCTATTTAACTTTTTTTGCGGTGCAGCGATGAATGATGTTACGTCCGATGCTATAGGCTAATACATTACTAACGAAAATTGACTTAATAGAAGACAGTCCCCGCCACGCTCTGGATCCAGAACGTAGTTATACATGTAGCCATCGGAAGAAATGACTCTAACAGGAACCATCTTCATCAGGTTAGGCTTGTTTTCATTGGCGCTAGATCCCCAAAGACTGTTCTCGAATAACTCTGGGCATTCTGTTGCGTCTATGTCTACCGGTTGTCCTATTGTAGTGATAGATTTTATCGTTGTACCGCTATCGATAGGTAATTTTAAGCTCGCAAAATGTCTTGATGGCTCCAGAATGGACGTAACTTTTATAGGAAAGTAAGCACCTAAAGTCTTTGCAGCCTTCCTGGAAAGTTTTTGAGAAGAATTTCGTATCATTCTACCAACGGTCCTTCTTGAGGCATCCACAACAGGCTCTTTGGAATGAGTATCGGTTTGTGCAGAATCAAAACTTGCAGATGAGCTTTGACCTAGCGATGCAATCTCTTCATGTTCCCCCTCTTCCAGTTCCTCTATAGAGAAGTCATCGGCTTCCTGATCCTCGAGATCACTATTATTAGCATCCACGTTTCCAGTTACGTAGGCCGCTTTCCCGAGCTTGAAAATGTGGACAGTTTTACTAGATGAGCTAGCAGCAAGAAACTGATTGTCATCGCTAAAGCACATAGAGTATATTTTGGTGGGGTATGTTCCCCTCCGAAATTGGTACACTTTTGACCCGGTCTCTACGGAGAACACCCTTAAAATAGTGCCCTTTTCAGAAGCAGTAGCAAGGAGCGTACCATCCCTACTTAGCACCAAAGCTGCTATCTCACCTTTGTGTGCTTCTATCACCATAGTTGGTTGAAGAGTCTGCATGTTAAAAAGGATAACATCACCGTTTTTCATTATACTATTGGCGTTCTTGGAGTTACTATGGTTGGGAGCAGAAGTAATAGGAGCGTTTTCAGATTCTAACGACTGATTTGTACCTGATATGAGATCTCCAGTTGTTGTGCGCGGTCCAACCTCGGTCGAAGAATCTCCAGGGCGGCTCTGGGTTAGATTGAGCCCCACGTCGTTGGATGACAGACTGATGTTGTTAGTTGTCGCGTGTCCCTTTATTTCTGACTTTATTACTTTCGGAGGAGAAGGATAAGCGAGATAGTTGTTCTCCAAAGAGGGTGACACTGCGATTAGCCCTCGTAAATTTGTGGCGGTTTCTATAGTGTGTAGCAGACGCATGGTGCTAATGTCATAGATGTATATTTGGTCTTGAAGCAGCACTATTAAACGGGCTTTGTTCATCTTCACTGCCTGAATCGTGGACGGAAAGGTCACCTCGCAGATAACTGAATGTCTTTTGGTGTTAATGATTCGCAGCCTTCTAGGGGACATAGCCGGCTGGTCACCCACTCCGACAACTGCCAGCAGTGAGGTCGAAAACAGCATCTCTACAATTCCGTATCCTCCACTCTCATCGGAATAGAATTTTCCGAATGGATCACAATTGAAGATTTCGAATCCTTCAGAGGTACCCATCGATATACACGATCCGATTTGATTAAAGTTGAGAAAGTTGATCGCGCGGGTAGATGACATTGAGCTGTTTTTATAATTTGCTGAGGAGGACCAGAGAAAGGAAATTTATAACAACACTTGCCCGATTCCAAGCTCTTGACTGCGATCTAATAACAACCTCACGGTATCCTTTTTTTTATTTTTTTGGCTATGTTTAAGAACACAGTTACTTAATGAAATTCATAATATTGAAGATCGTTGAGGAAGACAACTTCAAACAGTGAGCTTTGAAAAGAGCTATTGATTACCTTCGGCTGTGGTAGAGAAGCTTCAAATGTTTTTTACTCGCCAGGTCTCTTATGGGTCACATATTATTTCTATTTACTGCGAATAGTTGCATGGTTTCATGATCATGAGGATGGCAGAGAATTGTTCAGACTGATCGCCATAGGGTTTGAACAGTCATGTAGATTCTTCATAGTACTGGATATTGCTCAAGGGAACAAAGAAGCATTTTCTCCATTTTGAAAAGTATTTCTATTCTCAATCCCGCGGTTCAGCATTCTCCTCGCCCATATTCGCTTTAATTAATTTGCAGTTTTTGCTCATCCTATACAAAGGCGCTTATGAATTCCAAGAGGCTCCGAGTAATAGCTTTTGTCAAAAATACTGGAGGAAAAGGTAGGGCTCTTCAAAAAATTGGTTGTCTAGGGAGGGTACAAAAGCTTGGACGCGAAGCAGATTAAGAATGGTCGCGACGTCATTAGCAGCACCCAAATCTGCTCAGCAAGTTTACTTATTTTAATGCAAGTGAGCGCATTGCTGTTCATCGATGTGCCCAGCTTCACTGAAAATTTATTAAAAACCAATTCTGTCATACTTCTCGAAGGAGCTTAGGTTTACCATCTTTTGACTTACTGTGGGGTTGAAGGCAAAGTGCGTACCTTGAATTCTTGTGTAATCTCTCAAGTCCTATTGATGTGGACTACAATTTTTTTTATTCGAGAAATTTGAACGTTTCCCCCCTTCGTACCGGTTATGCTCAAGATACGAATAGTCCCACCCGTTACTTGGAGCTATGGGGACACCACTGAGTCCAACATTTTGGACATATTGAATCTAAAGGGTGATTTTGAAGGGGTAATTGTGGGGCTATACACATGTGTAACCTCCACAAAGTTCGTCCATATTTGATATCGAAAAACACATACAGCCTACCGTGTTGTCTGTATTTGGTGATCTGTACTCAAGACAGCTCCCTTGAAAAGTATAAAGGCCAAAAGTGAAAACTTGGCATATGATTGAGGTAATTGAGATTTAGTTGGAACCACAATGCTTGATGTTCCGGAGCTCTGAAGTCAATACAAGGTTATAATAGTGTATTGCAAAACAGATTATTGTTAAAATAGGAAGAATATGTCAGCAATTTATTCAACTTTTTGATTTCGTTATAATATCTTATTCTGGGTGCTTTCGGGAGATACTCGCAGGGTTGATGACCTTAAACACTACAAAAAGCAGTGCAACAACTTGTTTCGAGGTGAAAGTATCAAATGTAACATAAAAGGCCACATATTGCTAGTGACGGGTCAAAGATGTAACATTTTCGAGCGTCATTATGCGGAAAGTAGAGAAGGGACTACAATTGTCGAAGAAAATTTATCCAATGGAAAGTTAGAAAGAACTGAGTGAGCAGCTCTTGCAGAGCTTCAAGTATTACAAAGATCGAGCAAAGTAATTACATCAGGTTAAGTTGAAGTTAGCTCATGTACCTAAGTCTGTCCCAGCATAAGCTAGTGCTTCTTCAATTGATTTCAACACCTATGAATGAACCAACTATTCAGGTCGGAAGACAGTATCATTCTGACGCGTATTCCTCGAAACAGTTGACCAAGGTAAGATATACCTCTATCCTTGACATTTTTGATGATAGAAACAAGCAGACTATGTGCAATCGTTTTGAAGAAAAGCAGCAAAACAATGAAACGTTCGAAGCTCATGTTTCTGACATCTAATAAAACGGAACTCATCGTCTGATCACACTTTTATTTAAATTCCCTATAGTTACGTTGAGATTTAATTATGTCACAATTGATAAGTCCCAGTGGCCGAGTGGTTAAGGCGATGCCCTGCTATTCGACATATCGAAAGCGAGTTAGGCATTGGGTTTTACCTGCGCAGGTTCGAATCCTGTCTGTGACGTTAATTTTTTATTTGCTAAATTGTTTGAGCTCCTTTTTTTGTTTGTTTCTCTTTAAGTAACTTTAGCCTCTTAACTTCAGTACACAAGTCCGGTGTGGACCAGAGTTTTCTTGGATTGCAATATATCTGAACCAACACTTGAATTGCAGTTTTATTACTTACATCTGCTCTCATCTTGCCAGCAAGAAGTGAGTTATAAAGAATATCACTATAAATGCCTCTAATTATGGCTTTCTTGAAACCATGGATCAGGCACCATGAGAATATACCGCTCCATAGCTACCCTAAATCTATTTTTGTACTGCCTGGGTGTCACTACAGTCGGTTCCTTAGTACTACCGCCAACGAATCCTCTCTCCTTGACCCAGCTTTCAAGCTTCTTGTCCCAAGTAAAAGTCCTGATAAAATCAATTATACCAACGGTCAAGGTGTGATCATTGCTATCCACACCAACGACAAGAGAATAATCCATAACATTCATTTTAGCCAAAAATAGGGTGTCATTCCACAAGGAAGCTCGCAGAAGCTTTTTGTCATATTCGCGCACGAAAATCGGCGACTCATAAATGTACTCGACCATGTTTTCATCCAGTAAAACTTCATTTTCTTTGCCTGTCTGCTTGACGTGTCGATTCCTCATAGAACCTTTGAGGTCAAAAATTCTGGATGTCTTTTTGTTGTAGAAGAGATTTTCCATTATAAGAACATCCATCTTGAAACTTTTCCCACTTTCTGAATTTTTGGTTTGTATTTGATAAAATCCAAATACCTTTGCTAAAGCAGTTGGAAGATCGTGGAACATTGCTTGGGCCATGTACTCAAAGTAGCTGGGGGCGAATTTAATGAAAGAATCTAATTCAGTGTGAGACAATTCTTTTATCACAAATCGATTATCGAGCGTTTTCAAAAAAGCGCTACCACTCTTTCCACCACTGGAGTCCCATTTGATACACCTTGAGAGACTTTGTATAAAATTATCTTCGCAACCACAAGTTTTACGGAATGCATCAAACTGTTCCGCAAAAAATATTTTGCAGGACATAATGGAATTGTTGTCTTGGAATTGATATCTGAGATGCATGGCTGTTTTCTTAGTCATAACTAGTTCCAAGTTGGATTTTCCGGCCTTGTCCGCAGTTTTGTTATCAGTGTTTTCGGAGTGAACGTCCTTGTTGTATTCTGACCTCGCTGTATGTTGAAGTGGTGAGCTTTTATTGTCTAGCATGAAGTCTGTCTTTGCGTAGGTTTCATGTCCTGACTTATTGTCGTCATTATTTTCTTTTTCCGTGCTCGTCAAAGTGGCAGCATCGCTAACTTCATTGTGCAGGGCTTGAGATTTACTATCTGAGCCATTCGTCCTACTCAGCGAGAAAGAAGAATTGATTTTTTGCAGGTAATCTGTTGAGCTCAAACAAAACGCTATTAAGGAACAGGGCTCATCTTCTCTAATAATCACCGAACTGTCTACAAAAATATGTTCCGTTGATGAAGTGGGATAGTCTAACGATTTCCACAAGGTCGCAGAGCGATCTGCCCAGAAATTTGCTAGTGTTTTCATCAAGGACGACCTTTCCGGTTGAGAGGCACTGTTTTCGTGGTCCTTTGAATGTGATGTAATGGGTGGAGACCCCATTTCGCCACTGCGATTTTTCTCACTTTCGGCAGAAACCCACGTATTCCTTTCACCTTCAGCTTCATCGTCGTTGCGTAGAATCTGCTCACCCCATTGGTGAATAGAATGTTCTAATTTGTTTCCTAATGCGTTACTCGTAGAGGGCACGTCGCTGGTACAACGACCAGCCTCGTTCCATTGATGACCAAAATCAGCAAAGTGAGGATTATGTTTCTGATTTTCTGTATGCAAAGGTCCATCGACGGCATCTTTGACGTTTTTATAAATTTCCACGATAGGTTTCGATGGCTCGACTCGAACAGCTTTATACTTGTTCTTATTTAGCTGCAATCTTTCAAATTCTCTCTGTAATTCAAATTCTTTGGATAGGGCGTCAAAGTGGATTTGATCGAAAAAGTTTGCAAGTTGACCAACTTTACCCCCCGGACTTTGGTCCTTTGTATGAAGTGTACTGTTACTTCTGTTACTTCCAATACTGTGACTCCTCAAGCAAAGAGGAGCCTTCGTCCCCCTATCGGAGAGTTCCATGGATGAAGTTCTCCTGAAAGCACTGGCTTGCTGGAATGACGGTAAAGAAAGATTATCTACTGAATCAATGCAATCCACTGATATATCATCCTTAGTTAGCGACAGTGCTCCATGCAATGAAGCCTTTTTCAATGTTGGTGCAGTTCTGTGATGAATCATGGGAGGCCGAGAGTTGTGATATTGCTCTTCTGTATTTAAGTCTTTGTGTTCTTTTGTATTTTCAGCGTTTGAGCCCTTTCGAGTGCTCGATAAGTCGGACTCTTTTGGCAATGAACTATCCATACAACTAATCGGAAGGTGCTGATCCATAGCCAACGATGACCCATAGTCGTGAAATGTGTCAAGAGTAGTTCCTGCGCGGGCCCTGTGCTCTTCCTCATTCCTTACAGCATCGGTGAAAAGCTTCTTCAGCTGCACGGCAGTTATTCTGGCAACATCCTTTTCAGATGGTAAAAAAGTCTTCTCGAATTCAATGAATTCAAAGTCCCAACCAGCAGCATTGTTGTGAAGCGACCGTATAATTCCATTGAGAGGAAGGTGCTGGTCGCCAGGCGTGTTGCGGTAGATTGACTCAGTCAGTTGAGTCAGGTTTTCTTTTTCCTCCGAGGCCTTACTTTTGAGATCTCGAATTTTGCCTTCTCCAGCAGAAACGCGCTCGGTTGACATGCTATCTAGCTTAATTCTCAGCAGCCTGTCATTCACACTCGCATAAAAATTATTGATTTTCTCTAATATTTGATAATAGAGTTCGACTTTGAGCTTTATATCGATATCGGGTTTCCAGGTTATTTTAGAGCGCGGAGTAATAAGTTCATGAACTTCAATGTCTGAATATTCCATCCTGACCATCAAATCATTCAGCCCGAAGTACTTGACGTGATCCTTTGTGAAGTCATGACAGCAATTTCCGATTGTTTTAATGGCCTCGTTTCGACTCCAGAAAATCAGTTCAAGATATTTTCCAAAGGAATAGTTCCAAGTTTTTTCGCTCATTTGAAGAATAGGAGTAGAGCTATTGCATGCTTTGCAATAGCTCCAAGTCAAAAGAATATTTCTCAAAGAAGGCAACCTGCTTTGGAACTGTTCGATTAGAACATCTACTTTACCCGTGCCATGAACGTAGCTTCGATAGTGGTCGAGAAGTGGACTTCCACAATCATACCCGCATGGGTGGCTGGCAGTCGCAACAATATTTTCTATGAATTGTCCGATTGAAATATCTGTATCCCAAAAAAAATCTATGCTTACCATCTGAGGCCCAATGCACGGCGTCGCTGTCTTTTTTGAGATCATAGAGTACAAGACGTTGATAGTTTGGTGGGAGCCTGTACCAAGCATGTTTTTTGAGAGAGCGTAGGACAACTCCCACTGCCGGCTTCGCCATTTGAAACGCGACTTCAAATCTTCAACCTCCTTATCGTGAACAAACTTCACAAGGTTCTTTAAATCTTGGCTGGTTAAGGCAGGTTCCAAACCTAGATCTTGGATTTTTTTATTTATACTGTAGCTTTGATCTACCGTGGTCTTGAGAAGTGTCTCACCCTCCTTCTCCTTGCGAATTAATTGGATCTCCAGTTCCCGCGCTTTTTCTAGAAGAAAAGGAATGGGGAATTCGACAGTTGGCGATACGGATAGAATTCTTTGGTGAAATTTGTCGATAAAGTCCGTAAAATAGCCCGGTGCTAATGAGACATTACGTTCATCTGCAATTCTCTTATAATAGCCGACAGACAATTGTAATAGATTGTCACTGAAAAACGAACTTTCTGACTTCAGGGAGAAAACAGAGTACACCATGAATTCGGTTATATCTTTAATTTTTCGCAAAACGTCCGAACGAGATCCTCTTAAAAGGATGGTACCACCCATGGAAGCTTTACAGCCTTCCAAGAATGTATAGGCCTTGACTATGTTTCCAAAGCAAAATGTGCGAATCTCAAAAGAGGAGCAAGTACCAAGTTTCATATTTGTTGCCAGTTTATCGACGGTAATGGCAATACTGGACTCCGTCAACTTCGAGATTCGCTCAATAACTTGAGGTTTCATGTTGAACTGAACTGTGATTCCAGCCTTGTTCAAGAGTTCCAATGCGTATCCACTTACATTGGCGCCTATCAGTATCAAGTCGGGATTTAGAGACGTCAATCTAAGGACTAGTTTCTTCAAGTATTCTCTTTCCTGAGCCAAAACGGAATCTATGCTCATAAATTGATTCTCATTCTTTTGATATTCTAAAGGAAACATAATGAGAAGAATCCTAGGGGTTTTCAACAGTCGTGGCATCGTTTTCAAAGGGACATTTTTGGAATATATGACCCCATTAACAAATTTGGAGTCCGTGATACTCGCGCCATCTATTCTCTTTATCTTAACATAGTGCTGTTTGAAATCAAGCCCATTGAGGTTTCTTGCATCCAACTGAATAGACTGTAATGCTTGCAAAATTGGTTTGAAAATATCTATCCACCCGCCAACATTATCGACATTTTGATCATTTAGCACTTGCCTCAGCAAAGCGTCCATATGCAGTTGTGAAACATCATTTAGTTCATTCTTGTTTTCCTTAGATTTAAGCCTCAAAACAGATGCTGTCGAAATGATACGCTTCATATCTCTTGTAGAACTCGCATCGCTGCGTGGTTTGAGTCTCGCTAAGCTGGTGGTCGATTCAATCGTTCTGTCCGACTGTTCTTCATTGACCGTTGTATTGAGATCAGGGCTACTATGGTTCAAAAATTCGAATTGCTTGCGGCTAATGTTCGGATTTAGATGAGCGCGGCTTTTGCTCTTTCTACGTGACCTCATTCTTTGTAGTGATGCCTGGGCCCTCTGGAGTGACTTTTTGCTGTTTCTCATTGGTCTCATAAAGTTTGCATCTTGATGAGAATCGTTCAGTGCGGCATATAATGACATAGAACGCTCATCCTCAGACCCTTCATCGCTATATTTGGATTCTGAGTCCGCTTGAACGCCTTCCTGATAGGTAGCCAAGACAGGAGACGACTCAGTGCGCTTACTTTGTCGGCGATCAAGGTAGGACGGTGTTGTACCGCTTGTACTCAAAAAGTCTTGAAAGTTTTTGAGTCCATAGTTGAACTCGAATTTGAAATCATTGTTAGAGAGGTTAGCAATGACTGAGTTGGAGGAATGAGGCGTCTTTTGATGGATATCTGTTGTCGGGTTGTTTGAAATGTAGTTAGAGATTGAATGCTTCAAATTTGAAATGTGAGGAAAATTCCCGTGTAATCCCTGGGCATGCTGACGGCTAGTTCTGAATGTCGCACCGCTCTCACTTTTGTTATAAGGTTGCATCATGTCGACATCTCTTAGTGTATATCTATCTCTCATACTTGGCATATGCCTGGAACTGTTTTCAACTGACTTGAGACTTGTGATGCTAGGAACTGATATCTCAAGAGATCCTCCCTGCCTTGTAGCAGGAATAGCCATCCTGGGCGGTGGCGGCGGCGTAGAGCAGAACATGTTGGCACCCTCGCCATTTGTTAAAATACTTTGGACTTCATCATCCTTCAACAAAAACATGTCAGAGTTTGGGAGCCGTTTTTCTGGAGAGTTTCCAGGTGACTCCTCTTGCACGCTTTGCTCGCAGTCTTCTATGGACGATTCATCGCTAGAATCATTCAGGGAATCGAAATGTGTATGACAGTTACGACAGACCCTCATTTTGCCGGCATGTTGATATTTACCGCCATCAATGAGGAAACTACAGTTCCCACAAAATATTTGACCGCAAATGCGACAGTGGTGTTTTCGCCTAAAGGTAGTAAATGGCTTCGCGCATGCGAAGCAGTCTTTCGCACTCTCATCTTTCATCCAGTATTCTTTGGAAAGGATACTCTTCGGAGGCTTGTCGCCATTCTTATAGTTGTTGTAGAAGCCGAAAAGAAAGCTTTTGGAAAACGAGGCGGTGAGAGACGAAGAGATGCTTTTTACTGATGTCTTGTCATCAATCTCAAAATGCATTGACTTTGAAGCATGACTGAACCCTCTCATCGGTATCGCTGCAGTTGCTTTTGCGTGGTAGATACTGGACCTTTTAGTACGAGCACTACTCTCCAAGGGAACCGGGTATGGCCGAGGAATGAAAGTATTCTGTTCAAGATCTGAATGAGGCGTTTCTGGACTGGAGTATGCGGACTCTATTGATGTTTCTTTGCCAAAGCCTTTCGAAGCCCCGTCATTGTAACTCATTGGCACATCAATGGTTTGAAGTGGAGAAAGTTTAGGTTTCGCGGAGGAGGCGTGAAACTGAGATTTATTCGGATGATTGTAAGGCAATCCAACAGTAACATGTCGTTCTATTTCATCTTCTTTTGAGTTCTCTAGAGTAGCAGGGAGCGAGATGTCGCTAAGCACTGGATTAGTATCCAGATCAGTGGTGGTTTTAGAAACCAGTGATTTTTGGCTGAAGAAATCAGGAGTCTCTGAAGCGACAGGTCGATTCGTTGAGCTAAGCGACGAGATACTACCCTTAGCTTTAGAACTCATTTCGGTGTAAGACATTGTTGAGTAAGGTCACTCTTTCTATTTAGAGAAATCTCCTCAATTAATTTAAAGCTCAAAAATCTCACTAACGAAAAAATGATCAGATGGATGCTCTCACTTCAGCTTTTAACGTTAATCAATACCATCGATGCAACTCTGTTTGGTCAGCGTTTCTATGAAAGTACGCTAAACTCTCGCTTGAGCCTCGCCAATAATCATATCAAGAACTTACTTGTGCCCTTCAACGTGACGAGAACTCCAGGAAGCACCGAATCTCTCAAAGTACAGAATTTTATCGAGGATCATTTCGAGAATCTGGAGAATGATTGGCTCTTTGAGCCTAATCAATTCTTCAGCAATGGATTTAACTTTACAAACATGGTCTTTACTTTGGGACATAACGCCAGTAGCTACTTAGTGTTGGCAGCTCATTATGATTCTAAATTAGTGCCGCCAGGCTTTATTGGCGCAATCGATAGCGCAGCATCATGTTCTATTTTATTGTACATTGCTGAATTTATAGACAACTTCTACACCGAATTCCAATCAGTTGAGCAGACATCGTTTCTCACTGAATCTACTGGGCTGAAGATAGTATTCTTCGACGGAGAAGAAGCGATCAACGAATGGTCTGTAGACGACTCAATCTACGGAGCCAAGAATCTGGCAGCATTGTGGGAAGAAGATGGTACCCTGCCAAAGCTTGAATCTCTAATTTTGCTTGATCTGCTTGGTAGCGTAGAGGATGTCAAAGTTCCAAGTTACTTTGCTCGTTCGAGCACAGAGTATCAGATGCTTCTCGCAATTGAAGCGGAAAATCAGAACATTTTGCCTTACAAACATACACTATTCGACAATTTGGACAAGCGCTTTCAAGACTATGATGGTATACTCATTGAGGACGACCACCTGCCATTCTTAGCTTACGGGATACCTGTCTTGCATCTGATTCCTGTCCCATTTCCAAGCTGCTGGCACACATTGAACGACACTTTCGATAACCTAGACGAACCAAAGATCCAGAACTGGGCGCTGCTTCTATGTGAGTTTTTATCTCTTCGTATGAGGATGTCACTTAGAGACCCTTTTTGATTGGGCTTGAGACCAGTAAACAAGCTAAATTTGAAAACTCCGTAGGATTTTGAGCTCTGGATTTGCATGGTCTTCGACTCGAGCTTCACTTTAACATTCGGATTAATATATCACGCCATAGAAATATTGTAACGCGGTTTCAGAACTCTATTTATTTCTTAATCAACCTGTTGAGGAACAGGCGGAGTCGAGCAATTCATACTTTATGCAAATGATTGCACGCTTCTAAGATAGCCGCTGACCCTAAAGAAAGGATCAAACGTTGAGTGCATAGAAGAGAAGAGTCGAAAAGTAGGATTGGCGTTGAGATTGAAAGAGCAAAGACAGGTTCTAGTATACCACTAGACAACATGTAGGTCTTGCTACGACCGAGGCTGGCAAAAGCAGTCAGATCCCTTTCACGTGTTTCTGGAATTTTTGGAGCGTGCACCTCAAATGCACGCGCAGATGTGTCGCCTAACGTCTTTCTACATCTCGCTATCTTCACGTAGCTAACGTCTTATTCAGCTAGGTTTACAGTCGGCTCGAAGCAGAGAGCGTGCTATATAAACTAGGATATTTCGTTGACTATAGTAGGTCAGGTGATACAGAAATGAAGTTTAACAAAGATTCGTGCGAGGGTTTGAGCTAACAATGAGCAATATTATCCCGCTGTAACGGCAGTTTTTGACTCTCTATTCAAAGAGAATGCTTTTGAATAAAGTTATTGGCCTTCTGGGCGCACTGGCGATCGAAGCTGTGTGTACCAGTCCTGAATTGTCACCGGTTGAAAGAAAGGCTTCTCCCTTAAATTCTATCAGAGCGTTGGACGACAATGGTCAATGTCCTCCGTGCTTCAACTGCATGCTGCCGATTTTCGAATGCAAACAATTCTCTATGTGCAACTCAAACACAGGAAGGTGCGAATGTATAGAGGGATTCGGTGGCGACGACTGTTCAACACCATTATGCGGTGCCTTGTCAGACGGCAACAATAATAGGCCAGGAAGAGAAAATGATACTGAAAGCTGCGACTGCGTAGATGGTTGGGGTGGTATCAACTGTAATATTTGTGAGGAGGATAAGGTCTGCGATGCATTCATGCCAGAGGGCCTCAAGGGAACTTGCTATAAGAACGGTATGATTGTAAATCAATTTCACCAGGGATGTGACGTTACGAATAAAAAAATCGTTCAGATTTTGAACGGTAAAAAGCCTCAGGTCACCTTTTCTTGCAGCAAGTCGACTGGCGAGTGTAATTTTCAATTTTGGATTCAGGAAATCGAAAGCTTCTATTGTGGTTTGTCCACATGCGAATTCGAATATGACTTGAAAAGCAACTCTTCGCGTTATACTTGTGAAGCTGTACAATGCAAATGTGTACCAGGAGAAATGCTCTGCGGACAGAGCGGTTCGATTGACATTTCCGAGTTTTTAACCGAAACAATCAAAGGTCCCGGCGAATTTAGCTGTGACCTGGTCACCAAAAAGTGCAAGTTCAGCGAGCCCAGCATGAATGATTTGATCACAACAATATTTGGGGATCCTTACATTACGCTTAAATGCGAGTCGGGAGAATGTATTCACTACAGTGAGATCCCGGGCTATCAAGAGCCCTCTAAAGACAAGCTATCGTTACTCCATATTATAATGCTTTCCGCAACATCTGTTCTGATTCTTTCCCTTACTATTGTTTCTGTTGTCTTCATTTCGAGAAGCCCGCTCTTTAGTAGTCAACCAATCCAGTTGAATGATGATGAGGACAGTGATGACGTTGATTTTTTGAAACTGAGCCTAAAAGCTACTCTTTCATTTGAGGACATCAACTATACTGTCATGACGGACAAGGGAGAAACGAAACTGTTAAACGGTATTAGCGGAACTGTCAAACCGGGAGAAATTATGGCCCTTATGGGCGGGTCAGGTGCAGGGAAAACTACTTTATTGGACATTTTGGCCATGAAGCACAAAGCTGGTAAAGTCTCGGGATCGGTCAAAATCAATGGTTCAGAGGTCACAAAGCAAAAACTTGCCAAATTTATTGGATTTGTTGACCAAGAAGACTTTTTACTTCCTACATTAACTGTCTATGAAACGGTATTGAACAGCGCATTGTTACGTCTACCCCGAAAGTTAGGGTTTGCTGCCAAACAGAAGCGGGTCTACCAAGTGCTTGATGAGCTCCGAATTTTTGATATAAAGGATCGCATTATCGGAGATGACTTCGAGAGGGGGATTAGCGGCGGGGAAAAGAGAAGAGTGTCCATCGCATGTGAACTTGTAACGTCACCTTCTATTCTATTTTTGGATGAGCCTACCTCAGGCCTTGATGCTAATAATGCAAACAATGTGATAGAATGCTTGGTACGTCTTGCCTTACATTACAATAGGACCTTAGTGTTATCAATCCATCAACCCAGGTCAAACATTTTCAAATCATTTGATAAGCTCGTTTTATTAAGCCAGGGTGAATTGGTCTACTCCGGGATTGCAACAGAAGTTAGTGAATTTTTACGGAATAACGGTTACACCTGCCCATCAGATTACAACATTGCGGATTATCTGATTGACATAACTTTCGAATCGAAGAAGAACTATACAAGAATTTCCTCCACACCTGATGATATCGAAGCAAACTTGTATAATAGTGATGACCATGTTCACTTGCCCCTGGAAGATACTGTTCTGAGAAAAGACTCGGCGACCGCCACCCAGGGCGAGTGGGAGCATTACGCTGTCCATCGGGACGAGCTTCGTTCGTTGCTTGATCATAACGAAGGTGGTCAAATCGGAGGGCTAGGATTCTTGAATACCAAGTTGCTTCACTCCAAATACAGGGAAAGTCAGTATTTTTCCGGACTTTTGGAGGATATTGATGCCATCAAAGCTGCATCGACGGGGGACACGGTGGAGACAAATAATGATACACAGCCCGCTTATTTCAGGGAGCAACTCGTAATATTATCGTCAAGAACCTTCAAAAACATTTACAGAAATCCGAAGTTGCTACTTGGTAACTACTTGGTCACTCTCTTGTTAGGATGCTTCTTGGGATCCCTTTATTATGATGTGGAAAACAATATCAGCGGCTTTCAGAATCGTCTGGGGCTATTCTTTTTTATACTGACCTACTTTGGGTTTCTTACCTTCACAGGGCTGACCTCATTCTCTCTGGAAAGAATCATCTTTCTCAAAGAGCGTTCAAACAATTACTATTCACCAATCGCCTACTATATTAGCAAAATTTTGAGTGATGTTCTGCCCTTAAGGGTTATACCACCCATTTTGTTAGCCTTGGTTGTTTATCCTACGGTGGGGCTGAACATGGCTGACGCTGCGTTTTTCAAGTTTGTTGGAATTCTAGTTCTATTCAACTTAGGTATATCGCTGGAGATTTTAACTGTCGGCATATTTGTTGAAGATCTCAATAATTCCATTGTCATTAGCGTGTTGATTTTGCTCGCCTCTCTACTCTTTAGCGGCCTCTTTATTAACACGAAGGACATCAGCAACGTGGCATTCAAATACTTGAAGAACTTATCAATATTTTATTACGCGTACGAGTCTCTGATCATCAACGAAGTTAAAACTCTGATGCTAAAGGAGACAAAGTATGGTCTCAATATTGAAGTACCGGGGGCTACAATTTTAAGCACTTTCGGGTTCCTCGTTCAAAACTTCCTGCTAGACATCAAGCTCCTCGTAGTTTTCAACATTTTATTTTTGATCCTTGGGTATCTAGGACTCGAATTGATAGTGATTGAACAGAAGTGATACTTTCACACCTGTCGCGAGCCCATTGCCCATACAATCATATTTCATCCTAACCTCTAAATCTTGACCAAATTGAGGAGATAAAAAAATCCGATTATAATTTCTGTGTATCAAGTATGTAAAAAAGCTTCAAAAACATCCTCTACATTACAACTAGCAATACAATGGAGGGTCTATTACAAGATGGTGTTGCTCTGTCTGACAGGGCGAGAATGCTTCATGGCAAGATGGTTGCCAAAGGTCCCAGCGCTCTATTCACGCAGCTGGAGCTAAAAGACGTAACGAATAGCGCATCGCTAACAGATCTTATGTCAATTGTGCAAGAGTTACTAGACAAGAACCTGCTCAAACTTATCAAACAGAACAATGAACTTAAGTTCCAGGCTGTCGATTTTGCAGAGGCCCAGAAGAAAGCTGCGATGACGGCAGATGAGGCCTTGGTTTATTCCTACATTGAAGCCAGTGGAAGGGAAGGTATATGGACTAAAACGATAAAAGCTAGGACAAATCTCCACACACATGTTGTACTGAAATGTCTAAAATCTTTGGAGTCCCAACGTTATGTTAAGAGTGTCAAGAGTGTAAAGTTCCCCACCCGGAAAATTTATATGCTATACAACCTGCAGCCTTCAATCGAAGTAACAGGTGGCCCTTGGTTTACCGATAGTGAGCTTGATGTGGAATTCATCAATAGCTTGCTCACGATCGTGTGGCGTTTTGTAGCTGAGCGTACCTACCCAAAGGGTTTCAACAATTTTACGGGAGGCAAAGAAGCCCTCTATGCGTCTCACGTAAACAATTTTGCCTCCACTGATGACATTTTAGAGTTCATTATTGGGGCGAAAGTAGCGAACGTTGAGCTGTCTACGTCTGATATTAGGTCGTTGTGTCAAGTATTAGTCTACGACGACAAGCTTGAAAAGGTGACGTTTGACTGCTACAGTGTTACGTTGCAAAGTATTCTCGAGATGACGCAACCTGAGGGACAAGCAGAGAAAGACGCACAAGAAACTTTCTCAATTTTCAAATGCCATAACGTAATTGCACCTTCGAGCAGTGACAACGAAGCCATCTATCTTGATGAGTGGACTCTATAAGCGCTCAACATGATGGATAAGATTGGTTCGTGTAGACTACGAGTTACCTTCGCTTAAAGAAGTACGAAAAGCTACTTTGAAATCATTCTGAGCTTTATACAGATTTGTTTGTGCCTCGCGCCGCTGTAGCGATGCTTGAAATATCTTTGGAGCTGGTGCGACAGCAACCGCCGATCATGAGGCAATGCTGTTGGAGCAGCGTGGAGGTAAGGTTCTCCCAGGTGTCTAGCGGACCGACTGTAGGGTTCTCACTCCACGAGTGTGTATCTCCGTGATACACTTCACCCGAGTTTGGATAAGCGGCTCTGAACCGTGCTGTACACTCTGATAGCTCTCCGTTTAGCTTGGCTAGTATCTCTCCGCAATAGGAAAAATCGATGCAGTTGACCCCAAAAAACAGAAAGTTTGCAGGTAAAGACGCAGCATTGTCCTTGATAGATTGACAGACATTCTTTGCTGATGTGCCATCCCTCAAATTTCCATGTTTGTCCGTAGTAATGCTTATATAATACGGCTTCGATGAGCACATTTTTGCAAACTCTAAACTCAGCAGTGCCTTGAATTCAGCAATATTGGGTATAGTCTCGATGCCGATAATGTCGACACGAGTTGAGGAGGCGAAGTGAGTAACTTGCGGCCTGTAGTGACTAATGAAATCGATCGGTTTATCGCCGTAGTCCCCTGTATACTCCGCGCCATTCGACAAATAAGCAGCGTAAGGCCCGATACTTCCCACTAAATATTGATTGTCTGAAATACATTCTTTCTCCGTAAATTCAATGATGTAGTCGAGGAAACTAGCGTACTCAGCATCATTGTTGACTTGTCCGTCGCTGAATTTTTTTAACGAACTATATGATGCTTGATATGTTACCGTCATGAGAGCGTTAGAGCCTGCCTTGATAAATGAGTGGTACATATCTCGAATGCATTCCAATTGAGCACCGTCGCGTGTAAGGTATGGAAGAGTAGACCATAAAGGGTGAGATACGTTGATGCCTCGCTCTTCGAGATCTGTGCCTTGGCCGCCATCTAGTACAAGGATTTGACCATTTATAAAATCAGTGATTGAATCGCGCATGATATCAGATGCCTTTGTGGTGTATAACTGCGACGTAGGATTCTTGATCTATCATTTAAAGGTCTATTCAAACTGGAGTAAGGCTTTGCATAATTTTTGCGGGAATGAAAATGATAGACAATTGCTGTCTAGAGATAAAGGACGAAGCGAGAACAAAGCTTCGCACTCTAATGATATAGATAAGATTCAGCAAGGCTGAGTGAGGAAGTTATAGTTCTGTAATGATTTTAATTTGGCGCGTCATATTTGGTCCAACAAGCATGCTATGTTACTCGAAAGTTACGCCTAGGCAATATTGGAGTCGAGCCTATAAACTAAATGTAATTTTGAAGAACTTATAGGGTATGAATAAAAAGTGTAACCAAAATCATAAATTATTGGTCCGACCGTAATCCTCCACAGGTAAATCCTTATCACTTCTAATGCTGTTTCATCCACAGACAATTTCAACTCTTTAAACTAGCTCAAAAATCAATCCCATTGTAATTGTATCTTCGAAAGTAAACCCATAAATTCACTGAATAAGTGCTCCTGATGATCTTCTAATTGAGAGCAAAGACAATTTACTGAAATTGGATACACCATTAATAGTGCGCACAAAAGAACAGAACAAAGTTTATTCCTGCGGGTTTAGGAACTTAAAGTTTGAGGGGCATAGAGACGTAACTTCTATAGGTAGCAGATTGCTACAATTACAAAGTGCTAAGAATAAAATTGGAATTAGACCCCTCACGAATTTTTCGAATGAGGAAGTAGTGTCCGATATGAGCTCTTTGGTAGCAGTCTTACCATAGAGCTGTTATTTGTTCGAGAATTGCTCGATGCCACGCATCAAGATAGGCACCGCGGCTTGCCGGCATCTCGTAATATCTAGCTGATGCACAAGACGCTGAAATGCTTGAAACTTCTTTAAAGTTTTACCTAAGTTTTACTAGACTTTTACTATCTGTAAAATAATAGGTGAAGTTCATAGGATATAACTACTAGCCATCAGTGGCTCAGTTCTTTAGCGCTGATGATGCTGACGGAAATGACTTCTACCGAACCTCGTCCCGAAAGAGTGTTCTTAAGCCGTATCTCGGTACCATCATATATTTGTTTCAAAAGGGTTTATTCAAATATAGACAAGTAGCTCCTAATTATCCAAGTGAAGTACAAAAGTCCAAACATCGGGCCTGAACAATGAGTTGGGGGGGTTTCAAGAAGGCAATCAATCGAGCTGGAAACAGTGTTTTAATTAAAAATGTTGACAAGACTGTAGACAAGGAATATGACATTGAAGAGCGTCGGTACAGGACTCTCGAGAGGGCTGGGAAAGAGCTTCAGAAGGAAGCCAAAGGCTATTTGGACTCGCTGCGAGCTGTAACGGCTTCTCAAGTTACAATTGCGGAAGTAATTTCTAACCTGTATGACGATTCCAAGTCAGTCAGTGGTGGTGGATACAACGTTGGGAACTACTATCTCCAATGTGTTCAAGACTTCGATTCTGAGACAGTAAAGCAACTGGATGGGCCCTTCCGGGAAACAGTTTTGGATCCAATAACAAAGTTTTCGACCTATTTCAATGAAATTGGTGATGCCATTAAGAAAAGAGACCACAAGAAACAGGACTATGATGCAGCCAAGGCCAAAGTTCGCCGTTTAATCGACAAGCCTGCGAAGGACGCATCGAAGTTGCCCCGGTCTGAGAAAGAGCTTTCACTGGCCAAGGACATCTTCGACAATCTCAACGAACAGCTCAAAACTGAGTTGCCGCAACTGGTGTCTCTGAGAGTACCTTACTACGACCCGAGCTTTGAAGCCCTTGTTAAGATTCAACTGCGGTTCTGTACTGAGGGCTATACGCGGCTTGCCCAAATACAGCAGTATCTCGACCAGCAATCACGGGACGACTACGCCAATGGCCAGCTAGACGAGAAAATCGCAGATCTTCTCCAGCAGATGACCAACCTCAACATTTGCGCATTGGGCATAAAATGAATGTCGTAGCTTACCTATACAATGTTTAACTATTCTCTTAGAGCCCGAGCCCGAGCCCTTACCCGCTGGCTTTTTCCTACCCACATATTTTCAGATGACTTTTTTTTTTTGGATTAATTCAACGTCTTTGCTTGACTAGATAATATCATTTTATCCATGCAGTAAAGAACTGGCGTTGAAACCAAATACTGAAGCCCGGGAGGCTCTTCTCGGTCAACTAATAAGTATCTTTTCAATATCCTTTCTTTTCAATATCCTCACTTTTGGGCTTCAGAAGCCATGATCTCTGTGCCTAGGAAAGCGGTTGTTTCGCAGCGAAAATTCTACGATTTATCCCTATGGGCCGTACGATGCCCGCTGCTGTCAATATTTATGCCACTTTTGGTTCTTTTTGTCATAGCCTACCCGTCGCTTTCTTCCATCTTCCAGTCTAATAGCCTTCCACTACTTTATCTCAGTAAGATTGGTATTGAGAGCGAGACAACAGGACTCTTACCGAATTTCTCAATAACGCAGGTCGGAATTGCACAAGCCAACGGCGGAAACGTTTTAGAAAAGGCGTCGCTCTTAGAGTCCCTGGCGATGCAGAATCGTCTGCTACAAGGCGTGCTCGGATCAAACCAGATTGAACAGGTACAATCGCCCTTTCAGCTATGGAACAACTCCATACAGCTGCTGCATCGGGACTCATCCCCCTTAAAAACCATTAATTCAAGGATAGATGCAATTCCCAAACATCTCCTGAGGAAAGCCCTCAAAGTGAACGGGTACGTCACCTCTGCCGAAACAATTGTCATAAATGTATTGACATCAGAAGAGGATAAAGGCCCGTTCAGGAAGCTTGTAGACGAAAACATCAAGGAGCTCAATACTCTGTCAAACGTTACGGGCTTCGAAGTGCTCGGTTCAACTGGCAAGTACAGCGAAGCTTCTTCACAAGGATTGTTACGGGTCAACGTTCAGTCAATCACCAAATGGGACATATTGTTCATCATACTTCTCTTTTCATTGTGGACCTTAGAGTTTTTTAAGAAATTCAACCAAATCGCATGGACCAAATCCAAGTTTGGGGTTCTTTTGGCCGTGGCTATACAATTAGTGATTAGCATCGCTGCTTCGAGTTCCTTAACCCGACTACTTTTCGGCAATGACACTGAAAACGTTCCTACGTCCTTAATGTGGTTTCCCGTCTTATTGGTTTCTTCCCATGGAGTGATCCGGAGGCTTGTTGGGACTGCAGGCTCTAACGCTACCGACTCGTCAAATGAACACCCTTCTCGGCGTCGAAATAATTCAGATGGTGTTCCTACAATAAGTTTTGTTGAGGCTTCTGCAAAGGCTAATGCCTCATCTTTCAATATGACTTTGTTGAGTATCATGCTTAGTACAATGTTATTCCCCTTCAATAGGCGAACTAGTGTATTTTTGTCGTGCGCGTTACTGAATTGTTTCATTCTTCAGTCAACGTACTTCACCTCCATTTTGAACCTCGATTACAGAAGGTTGAGCAGCAATGAACTTCTGTTCCTGAATTACAGCGATCAACCTTCTTCGAGACCTCTAGACGTTCAGGATAGTGGTGGTCAACACATGAATTTCAAGGCATATTTTCAGTCAATAGTGAGCGGTCGCTTTACAATGAGTTCGCATCCACTCAGTGTATGCACTCTCTATTATTTTCTAATCAATCAAAGGTTTCGCTTAGTGAGGTCGTCGTCGTCAGTATTCAACAAGTTGATACGTGGTCAGTTTTCGAATATTGCTTATTATGCTTCATCAAGCCCAGTCTCTTATATTGAGGGCATCTCCACTTCCCAATTACTGCTCGCTAAGTATGGAGGTGGGACATATTTTATATCATCTTCGGCTGAGGATAGAATCTTAGCTTTGAAAGGAGCTTTAGATTTCTCTCAAGAAAAATGGGAGAGCAAGATGAGTGCTCTTCAAGCACCGTTTGTCTCTTCCTACAAATTTGACCTATACTTTTTTGTTGAGTTCATTGTAATGGTAGTGCTACTGTCGTCGATAGCTCTATTGATTTTACAGACTTTGCTCAGTAAAGTAGAGATTCCAGTGGGGAGTGACGGTGAAAGCAATCTTGCTGGCCCTGATAATGAAGTCACCCCCAAGAATAATAATTCAGCTCACGCAAGCGGTGATGGTTTTACGTTTCATACGAAAGAACTGTCTAATGGTGGACATACTTTGGACATAATTAGTATATCAACTTCAGAGTCTCCATTCATCGTCTCTGTTGGAATTGATCGCAGGCTCTTGATATGGTCACCACTTTCAAATCCTGTACCCCCGCCGACGGAGATACCTTTGGGCAGGCAGCTCTGGCCCGTGCTCGATGTTGTAACAAGTACTAACGGTAACTTGACTGCAATATTCGGTAAGAAAGGATTCGTATCTTGTTGGTCGAGAAAGACCTTGGGATTTCTATGGTCTATAAAGGTTGATTTCTCTGAAAACGATCTGCTGGACTCTTTCTTTCGAACGAAAACGAGACCAGCCTTCCTCAGAAAGAAACCTTCAGGTATTGTTTCTCACACTAATAAGACACACGCAACACATGAGATGATCGGTAGCCCAATGAAAAGGCGAGACAGCTCCGTATCAGTGTCCTCAATGATGTCTACTTCCTCCTTAAATCATGCATTCGACGCTCAATATGGTGACACAACTGCGGTTCCTGATTTACGCGAAGATGATGACGTTGAGCTTGTCTTTGTTACAGCAAATGGTACCGTAACTTGCATTGACTATAAGGGCAAATCTACGAGTTGTAAAGTAACCAACTCAGTTTTCCCGCTCTTGTCTTGCAAAAAGCTAACAACACCAAGGGTCAATGATAGACTTGTCATTTGCGATAAAAAGGGAGACGTCTACATTTCGACTGTCGTTAACAACAAGTGGAGACCAAGAAAGCTTATGTTGATCAGGAACTCCTTTAATAGGGGTGAAAAATTAATGACACCTGCTACTTTGATGAGCCGTACATTTGACGACCCGCCAGCTACGCCAGTACAATCCACTTTGAGCACTAGCAGCGTCAATACCACACTTCTTATACCATTCGTAGGTATGTTATTCCTAGCGAAAGAAAATGAGGCGGAATTAGTGGATGCGCAGACAGGAACTGTCATCAAGACTTTCAAGCTTCCAAGCTACATGCCAGGTACGTTACGTGTATTTCACGATCAGCCAACGCATTGCAAATTTTGCGGCAGCGCTTCGGTGTCATCTCTATCTGTGGCATATACTGAACGATACACCTCAACACTGGTAATGAGCACATTCAGATTGGAGAGCCGAACTAAGACAAGTATATGTCTTCGTGTTGAAAGAGATCCCAGAGAAATTCGTTGCCTTGGTCTTGAGTCGGTTGTCGAGCAAAAGCACTGTTTGCCTGATATCGACAAATGGGACGTTACGGACAACAATATGATCATAGGTCTAAAGCGAAAGGAAAGACAGCGTTTCACAACTACAGGCGCTTCTTCGATGATGAGAAGTGCTTCTGAAGATGTGAAAACGGGAGAACTCAGATTAAGAAATAGGATTGAAAGTAGGAGCATGAAGCCATCAAAGTCTGTGGAATACAACATTCATGATATATGGGAAGGCTGGACCATGACGGTCAACGGGAAGGTAACCTACTATCAAATTCCGGTTGGCGTTAATGGCCTTCTCGCAAACCGTATTGGGCCTCTCGAAAAGTTCGGGGCTAAGTCAATGGTAGCTGCTTTCGGTAATGTCATGAAGCTATTTTTCTCAGGACACGAGGAGCTTATTATGACGCCGGATGGGTTAAATTTAAATGAAGAAGAATCGGGCCTTAAATTTGTAAACAAGAGAAGACAGCGTCTCAACGAAAAGAAGACTTCGAACAACTATGGCCAACTCTGACAACCATTTGGTCAGATAATCTACAATGATAATTCCGCAGCAGTCGCGCAAAGCATCATAACATGCTAACTAGGATGACGATAATCAAAGCAGTTCACACTCAAAATTGAGAGGCTTTGCTGTAGACACTACCTGTTGTCAGCTTATCTGCACAATTTCGAAAGAGTAGCTCTTTGAGGCTGTAGGAAATTCAAGTACGTTTTTATTATAATACATGAGTTTAAAATGTTAAGTTCCTATTATTATGTTCCGATTTCCCTGTCCTGATTATGCATGCAAATGTAAATGACTGATGTTGTCACTCCTTTAAGGACTGTCCTTCATGACAACATTTTATTTCTCGTCCCCATTCACTATTCAAAATCTGCTTCCCGCTAATTCTCCGACTGGGGACAGGATCGAGAATAGAATAAATAACATTGCGACAACGTGCTCTCTTTAATGTTTCGATCGGTTCGTAACCTGCCTCATCTTTTCTGCCCTTGAGATATTTCGCATAAAATTCGTCTTCCTTTTGGGCCGTGCTCCATAACTGTCGTCCAGTTCTCATGGCCATATATATTACACCACAAGCCCAGATGTCAACTGGCCTTGGATCAAATTCCTCATGCACGTATTCTTCGGGGGCAATGTAAGGACTTGAGCCACAAACCCCGCCGCTAAGATGAATGTCTTTTTCCCAAGCCATGCGGAAGCATTCGCTGTTGCCAAAGTCTGTAATCTTCAATACACCGTTCGAGGTCAACAACAAATTTTCAGGTTTGAGATCCCGATGACAGACGCCCATTTCATGCATATACACGACGCCTCGTATGAGTTGTTTGAAAAAGCAATCGGCTTCCAAATACTCTAATTTGCCTGCAGCGATGATGAGAGTGAATAAGTCACCACCGCAGCAGTATTCCATAACTTGACAGTAGTCACCTTTGGCATCCTGGAATAAATCCAGGGGCATTATGATGTTTGTATGCTTCAGCGAGGAAGATATGCAAAACTCTGACGTCAATCGTCTGGAGTATTTTTCCGGCGATTCTGTATCTCTCCTTCTGAATTCTTTCACAGCATATAATTTTTCGCCACTAGGTCCCTCTTGTGATTTCTTATGACATATTCTAACGACACCGAATGCTCCTTTGCCAACGACTTCTTGGCAACGACCATATTTTTGGGCAAAAGAGACCATGTTTTTCTTCAAAGGGGCAATCGCATCGTTTTCGGAGCCTTTGAGCTCTGACGGACTACCTTCGTTGAAATAAAACTTTTTGGTTGTCTGAGAAGCTCCACTAAATGGCGCATCGTGTTCCATGGTGGTTGCTTGTCTCACAAACCCTGAAAACAAGGAAGGTGGATCTGAATTGTTCCTCTGGTTCTTTTTGTTCATGAGAATATCGGGGACAGCAGACTTGGCTTCACCTCTGAGCTTCTGCGCACCGAGAATGTTTTTGATCATACTGCTCAGCTTTTCTTGGCGCTTGGCATTCTTCAAGTGATGCTCGTGAGTGCCATTGTCGAGCACAACAAAGCGACCGGAACCCGCAGATGCCATCGCGGCGATGTTCAGCGAGCTTGCAGTGGGTTTTTCAAGATTCTCTGAGCGAGATCTGAAAGCAGACAGCGAGTTTTCGTCATTCGTGGCGCCGCCGTGAGTTGCACGTCCATTTAGCGACGCTGGTGGCGAGTTGGGACGCGACAACTCCGAAGGAGCACTGGTATCGTTTTGTGAGCTGACTAACGACAGCGAAGAGTTACTGGGTGACGGGATCTGAGACTGCTTGGCAGAAGATATGACCTCCCCGGATGGCGCTGCAGTAGCCGCCGTTTTCCCCGAACCAAAAATCTTGCCGATTTTGGAGGACAGCCCAATCTTGCGACCTCTGGCGGCGGCAGCAGCAGCAGCAGTAGGGTCCGCTGGAGACACGGTCATGTTACTACCGTGAACGCTAATTTATCCAAACAACCAAACAAAGGTGCTTAATAGAATGAGCAGCGCTTATTCTAGAACTTGCCCTTGCTCTTGATCTTGCTCTTGGTCCTGTTTTTGCTCTTCTTTTCGAACAAAATGCTAGGCTGGGCTCCTAACTGATCACAAAGTTTCGTGCGAATCCGTTTAATCTGTGTTGCGAGCCGTACGAAGCCAACACAAACGCTCTCACGCACACACACACTCTCTCACACACACACACACGCTCACTCACAAATAAATAAACTATCGGAACGTGTTTCCGCTAGATTCTTCCTGAGGCTACCTGGTCCCAAAACCCAGATTCTAAGGCCCCCCGGTTGGCTCTTGTGGTACAATATATATTGAAACTTGTCTACACGTCTCGTCGCCACTGGTATTACATCTATTTTACAAATCCCATCCGTTTTTTTCACATCGGGCTCATCTCATAATTTTTTCTGCATACTTTTTTCAAAAATTACCGTGCCTCTCCTCCAAACGTTTCACGTCATCAGACTAGACAAGTAAAGAAAAACAGAGAAGATTGACAGCTGTAAGCGGGTACAAAGCCCAAAGAATAAGTTAGAGCAACAGTTGGGCGGATTTGAAAGCGCGAGACGACACCGTGCCATGTTTTCCGCAACTGACCGCTTATGCTAATTTTACACAATGCGTAAAACTTGGTCGAAAAACTGCTGCGAGGTGAATTGCTGTAGCGCTCTGTAGTTGACTAGTTCGTGAGTTCCCGTCGGGTTTTTTTTTTTGGGATTCCACTTCCCGCGCTCACCATCCGACACAGGGCAAAGAGAGAGCGTTTGCTCGAGACGCAAATGGAAAACAACGACGTGGACGTAGACGGAGGACCTTTTCCTCACGATAAGCAAGCACATTGCAACTTCCAAATTCGCCGCCGGACAATAACAACCGATGCGGCTTGGCAAGTGGGCTTCGGGCAGCGTGGGTGTCGGCACCTCAAAATGCCCGCGCCGTCAGGCTTGTTTCCACGTGCGAATTGTGACTCGAAATTCAGTAGATTTTGCCGCGGGAATACAGCCCGTCGCCGTGGTCAGCCGCCTGGCCTAGACAGTGACAACCGTTCTTCGATTTTGCCCCTTCAACCAAAACAAGTGGGCGTGTGGTCTAGAGGTATGATTCTCGCTTAGGGTGCGGGAGGCCCCGGGTTCGAGTCCCGGCTCGCCCCACTGTTACAATTTTTTTTCCATTTTTCTAGCAAAACGAAATTTTAGGGGAGCTTATGTAAGAACGGGTTTCTTGGGGTGTCTTTCGTGGGTGGCGATGTTCCTGTTTCCGTGCATCGCGACCCTCGTGTTCCTATGTGAGACCCGCTGCGCTTGCGCTTGCGCTTGCGTAGGAGTCTATCCCGCCGGCACACGCTTTCTTATCTCGTCGTCTTCTTCTTCTTTGCCTGCTGACACCGTCACACACGCTCTCGATCACCTGTGTTGTCTTCTCTTTCATCGTATCTGTCCTGGCGAATGACCTGTCTCTCCTTCGGGTCACGCACATTTTCGAACTCGGCTCCTTAATGTTTTCCCAGTGGGAGAAAGTCACAGCACAATTTCGTGATAGAGTGGTTAAGTAAGCCAAGCACATACCCGAAAAAGCTACATCGTCGTGACGTTGTGGAGCCGAGCGCGGGCAAAGGTATATAAGCAGCAATGGGCTGGGAGGAAGCAAAGCTGGCGGAGCGTTCTTTCACAACTTGTGGATTCAAGGCACAAGTGTCATAGCGATTTTGTTCAGTTTGTGGCATTTCTCAGCGCTTTCAGCATCGAATTAGTAGCCTTAAAACACAGTTATTTTTGTTCACATATCTACAATTCGTTGGAACCCCAGGACTTTCAAGCACAAAATGTCTCTACTAGCGTCAACCAGAAACTCGGTGGCTCGTGGCCTACTGCAGCAGTCTGGAACTTCCAGATCGGCCATTGTGGCCGGTCTTCGCATGGCGAGATTCTACAGCAACGGTGAGAAAACGTTGAAAGAGCGTTTTGCGGAAATCTTCCCAGCCAAGGCAGAGGAAATCAAGCAGCTTCGTAAGGAGCACGGAAAGACGGTCATCGGCGAGGTGCTGCTGGACCAGGCTTACGGTGGTATGCGTGGTATCAAGGGCCTCGTGTGGGAAGGGTCCGTATTGGACCCAGAAGAAGGGATCCGTTTCAGAAACCGTACCATCCCAGACATCCAAAAAGAGCTTCCCAAGGGTGCTGGCGGCTCCGAGCCGCTCCCTGAAGCGTTGTTTTGGCTGCTGTTGACCGGCGAAACCCCAACCGAGTCGCAAGTCAAAGCACTCTCTGCTGATTTGGCCTCCAGATCCGAGCTCCCAGAGCACGTCAATCAACTTCTGGACTCGTTGCCAAAGGACCTACATCCAATGGCCCAATTTTCCATCGCCGTCACAGCTTTGGAAAGTGAGTCCAAGTTCTCCAAGGCCTACGCTCAAGGTGTCTCCAAGAAAGATTACTGGAACTACACTTTCGAGGACTCCATGGACCTGATCGGTAAATTGCCCGTTATCGCTTCCAAGATTTACCGTAACGTGTTCAAGGACGGCAAAATGCCTGCCGTCGACCCCAACGCCGATTTCAGTAAGAACTTGGCCCAACTTTTGGGTTTCAAAAACGAAGAGTTTGTGGAGTTGATGAGATTGTACCTAACAATCCACGCCGACCACGAAGGTGGTAACGTTTCAGCCCACACTACTCATTTGGTTGGTTCTGCATTGTCCTCTCCATATTTGTCTTTCTCTGCAGGCCTAGGTGGTTTGGCTGGTCCGCTACATGGTCGTGCCAACCAAGAAGTTTTGGAATGGTTATTTAAATTGAGAGAAGAGGTCAAAGGTGACTACTCCAGGAAGACCATTGAGACCTACTTGTGGGATACTTTGAATGCTGGTAGAGTGGTTCCAGGGTACGGCCATGCCGTATTGCGTAAGACAGATCCTCGTTACACTGCTCAACGTGAATTTGCCCTAAGACATTTCCCAGACTACGATTTGTTCAAATTGGTTTCCACCATATACGAAGTCGCTCCAGAAGTTTTGACCAAACATGGTAAAACCAAGAATCCATGGCCAAACGTGGACTCCCACTCCGGTATCTTGTTGCAGTATTACGGATTGACCGAAGGATCTTTCTACACCGTGTTGTTTGGTGTCTCCAGAGCCCTAGGTGTCTTAGCTCAATTGATTATCGACAGAGCCGTTGGTCAGCCAATCGAAAGACCAAAGTCTTTCTCCACCGAGAAATACATCGAATTGGTCAAGTCTATTAATGCTAAGAAATGATTTTCCCATGATTCATGATGACACACTTTTGTACCATAACAACCACTACAAGAAATACTTACCTCAACTTTCATCTGTGTGAAAAGTTTTGATAATATCCTCACACGACAACGAAAAACCAAAGCCGCATATACAATCAATCCACACGCCTAGTATTATTTTAACATATATTTAATTTTGAAATTGAAATTTTTAAGGAATTGATGTTTACCTTTGCTTGATTACACATGCAAAGTTTTGAATCTTGCTTGGGTGTTGTCTTAACGGTTCTTTAAATGACGTGATCGGCCCGTTGGCCATGTGTGAATATCAAAATATTCTAAAAGTTTATCATCGACAGCCAAACATTGTAAAAAATTGAATTAGCTTTCGGTTAGCCACTTCGGCGACTAACAACCAAGATGTCACAACATTTATGTTAACCGTAGTTTCAACTCCCACGTGGTAGTAAAATAATCTTGAAGTACCACAGAAGGAAAAGGGGTTGATATATCTCCTTGTATGGGTCTACCGGAACATATCACTGTTGGCTTTTGGCAACGACACAGTGGTACAAAGCGACCAGTGCCATACCTATGGCTTAGAATGATAAACAAGCAACTTTGCCAAGAGTCATCTATATCAATGACATGAGACCGTAGGTGACAGTAGGTGACAGAAGAAGCTACCAATGAAGCTGTTCGTTCACTTTGTCCAGAGAATGGTTCTTAAGATCAATAGCCAGTACAGAAAGTTCCATCAGAGGCATCCGATCAAACTAATGATAGATGTTCAGGTGGTTTACTCCGTGACTTAAGAAGCAGTCTTTCATAACTAGTTGAACGCATGGAATGGTTATATACAAAGAATTTCAAAAATAAGAGTAGTAAGTTAATTGTGTCGACCGCATTTTTACCATTAGCCTCACAAAAAACATATAATGATCGAGATCAAAAAACGCCAACCAATAAAACGTCACGGTCTACTGATTACACTGCAACGTATCATTCAACCGCAAATTCAGGCCAATTTTAACAACGACTATCATCAATAAGTAGTGCAACCGGATGAAATAACTGTCTCTACCAAACCAGAACAACATAACAAGCGCTTTTCAAACGTGTGCGAAAGATGGATGATGTTCGCAATCAGCTGCCGTCGGAACTGAATAAATCGTTCAAACCGACTTGCCGGCTACTGTGCTTGAGGAAATGTCTTCAAATTGTCAAGAATATATCATTTATAGTTGACCTGTAGCAGAAATCACTGAAGTTACCTTCAGTTTCATATTCCAACAATAATGCGGAGGAAATAACCTGCTCGCGGACCAAAATAAGAAGGGAAATGCATTTCAGACGGTAATAAGAGACATTCTTCAGAACTTGGATTTGAAAGGCGCCATGGCAAATAAAAGGTGTCCAATTAAGGTCTAATTTCAAAAAAATGAAAACCGGATCTGCTATAGAGTATACAAACCAAACCAAAAGAGTTCATGAAAGAAGGTGGAAGCTTCGTCGTGGTAAGATGCTACTGGCATTGATGACCCGTTGAAATTTTAGCCGACGGTCAAAATTCGAAACCGAGAGATAAGCGAAGATAAGTAGGTGCCTACGCTCAGAAACTGCGATCGAAAATTGTGCTATAATGCGACATAGTACGGCCACCCCTTTAATACAGGGTGCCTTTCTCAGTTGTCTATCTATTTTTCAAATCATTGTTTTCCAATTTATGAAGATCAAGTTTCGAATGCGTGTCTCAGCTGCAGCTTCTCGAATGCGCACTTGATTCCTCAAAGGGGCCATAAGTCCACAAAAATCGTTTACGTTTTGATTTCACCGCTAAACACTATCTGATTCAAAACAAATAATAAAAGACGCGTCGCCGCAAATTTCGGCTAAAAATCTTAAAATATTTAGTAAGGGTTCCGATTTATAAGTCAAAGGCAACTGTCCTCCATGTTCGAGTGGCCTAATAAGGTCTGTGTGTAAGAACTCGTGTGCTGTGCTATGGGAGTTACTAAAAATGTAGTAATATAACTTTTTTTTTCCTGTTCTTCAAAAAATGCAATATAAAGGGGGAAGAGTATTGAAGGGTGTGCAGTTCAAAAGATAAGCCAAAGCTCCTTAACACGGCATAAGCGCTCAACGACGAATTCTCAAATCGCATCAAGAACATGGTTAAAATCGCTATCATCACGTACTCAATGTACGGCCACATTGACATCCTGGCCAAATCTATTCAGGAGGGTATCGTTGCCGCTGGAGGCAAGGCTGATCTGTTTAGGGTCGAGGAAACGTTGCCCGACGAAGTGCTCGAGCTGATGCACGCTCCTGCCAAGCCAGATATTCCAGTTGCCACCGCCCAGACTCTAGAAGAATATGACGCCTTTCTCTTTGGTGTTCCGACAAGATACGGCAACGTTCCAGCCCAGTGGTCGGCATTTTGGGACCAGACAGGTGGATTGTGGGTCAAGGGATCCCTGCATGGTAAACCGGCTGGTGTATTTGTCTCGACTGGTAGTTTCGGCGGTGGTCAGGAATTGACCGTCAAAAGCTGCATGTCCTACTTGGTTCATCACGGTTTGATATTCATTCCTCTAGGGTACAAGAACACTTTTGCTGAATTATCTAACCTCGAGGAAATCCATGGTGGCTCGCCTTGGGGTGCTGGCACTCTAGCTAGTGGTGATGGCTCTCGGCTACCAAGTGAATTGGAGCTAAGAATGGCTGTTACACAGGGTAAAGCATTTTACGAGATTGCCCAGCATTTTCCTCTTCCTAGCACTAAAAAATCCACAACGAAGCAAGCTCAAACCGAAGAGAAAAAGGTCCCTGCCCAAAGAACTGTGCAATCCACTGCCACACCAGAAAAGAGGGACGCTCAGAAGAAGAATGGCTGCTGTGTTCTCATGTAAGTTGCTATCTGCCAAAAAAAGCGCCTACAACGTACTGATGTATAAGTCAAGCAAGTCTTCACCAATACTCTCTTAATCGGGCCTAATTTTGTAAAAATAAGAAATCTAATTTAACATGAAAACAAAAGTAACTGTCATTTACGTGTGTAGCTCAATTAAGATCGAAACCAAAACTGAAAGCGTTTTTGGATTCTGCCGCAAGCGCGGTCCATGTTCCGGATATTTTTGTTGCAGGGGTAACCAATTTTTGGCTCTCTCTTTCAGCTTCTGATTTCATTGCGCGCATTGAAGCTAGTGCGCTGTCTAAATTGGCTCCGAATTTTGATAGCCTTAGTAGCTCAACGAAAAACTCGAATATAGGTAATTCTGGATCTGATTCCGAGAGACCACAATCTCTATTGTCGATTTGTTGATTCTCACAGTTTGTAAGAAATTTTTTGATTTTATAGAAATTTGATCTTGACTCTGGGTCTTCTGTTGGCTTGTTACTTTCCAAGAATTTTCTCAAAGCTTTCAGAGTATCCTCTAAGTGAAACCCAGATAACTGCCTTCTCTTAGAACTAAAAAACAGCAATGTCTTGGGCAATACTGGTTCGGGCACGAAATTCTCTGTTAAAGCCACAGAATCTGTAAGGTTGATGACGGTGTGCCACCATCCGGATGGCACGTAAATGCACTCGCCAGGAAACGTGACAGTTATGAGGCATTTGCCATCCTGAGCTAATTTCACAGCATCATTGTAAAAACCTGACAGGACCCATTCTGCGACTCCAATCGGGGAGGTTACTTCTTCTTCATCTTCATCAGTGGACACACCAGGAGGCTTCACATCTGGTGGAAGCATGATCCACAACTTTTTCCCTGTTAGAACAGTATTCCATGCAGAGGTGTAGTTAGGGTCTTTATGGAACGTCGATCCACTCCCTTGTGGACCTATAATAAGCCACCTGTGATCAGGCCTGCACTGAACCTCTCCCTCTTGAAATACCTTGAACAAATCATTTTGAAAGATTTTGGGAGCCTCGTACTCTTTTTTTAAAGCTTGTATCGCAACGCTGTTGCAATCGAACAGGTAAAGTGGCGATTCATCGTAGTTTTGGCTAAAGTAATCCGAGTAAAAAGACAAAGTCCACTTGACAGCTTCTTGGCGGAACTTTGTGTTTCCGAATTTGTCGACAAGATTTTTCAAGTTCCACTGAGGCCATCTTTCAGCCCTTGAACTACTCTGTAGAATAAATGGCTTGTTGATATGATGCACTTCAAAATCTTGAAGCGTTAACGCAGCCTCATCGATCCTCGCTACCCCAAAATCCGAATTCAAAGTGTGTCCCAAGTCTCTAGATTTGGCCTCGAGATCAACAACCTTTCTGAATAGGTATTCAAAGTCTATTTGAGAGCATTGATAGGGCCTATACAAATAGTCAGAAAAAACAAGGCCATTAGTCTTCACTAAAGCTTCTACATCTGTTTTCAAAAGGGTTTTTCTCCAAGATCCCTTCCAGTTCTTACAATCAAAAGGACAAGGTGAGGTACTCGCTGGATCTTGGTTTTCCTCTAGGCGGGTGAACTCATCAACATAAAACTTTCTCCACAACTCTTCACTGTACGTATAAGCATAGAAAACTCTGGATGCACTCCCCAGAGCCAGCAAATCACGAGGTGACTCGATAAATGAGATCAAATGTATCAATAGATCTTCTGGGAATTTCCCAAATTTACCGAGTAACTTCTGTTTATGCTTCTCTACTTCTTTCAGGTCTTCTTCGAAAAAGGCATTTCCTGAGGGCTTGATGCCTAGAGGATGAGTAGGTGCAAAAGTGTGCGGGTATATGCGGTAGCTGGGCAACCTTTTTGGGCTTTCAGTCATCTTCAGATTTCACCATCTTGATGTCCATGAAGTTTATATTTCGAAAAAAATCTTTGTTGCTTATTTCGGTACATTGTGCAATTTTAGCTGGATACTAAAACTTATTTTTGACACAATCGATGGTCCCAACGCCATCTGTCAAACCACTAGCATTGTATGCGTTTACAACTATCGTTCATGAATTATTTACAAGTTTTCCAGAAATTAAAATATCTAATCTCCAGTGCTAACCAATATGCTCTCTGCTAATTCTTACCACCTTTAACAGGCAAAGACCTCATGCGGCGATCTAAATAACTATCATTGTCCTTCAATTTTTAGTATATTCTGTCTCCTTTTTTCCCGGGTAAAGAACTCTCTTGTCTAACTCTGACAACTCCAGCTCTTGTATTGGCTGCGAGGTTTCCTTCACAGTGTGCGCCTTCCAGATATGGCGAATTTCACCTACACAATGCATGCACAGAGTGTTCGCTCTTTTGAAATGACCACAAGACGGGCACCGGTTGAGGTGGTGAATCATCTGAAGCTGTTTTCTGCCAGGCCCATACAACTTTTGCCTCTTCTTCTGGTGTGAAACCTTTTTTTTTGGAACCGCTAAAAGAATTCCATTGTCCGTGAGTAAATCGTCAATTTGCTGTTCATTTCCCTTATCAAGAAGCTTTTGGAATATGCGAGTACTACTAGCCTGAGGACTAAGGCTCGTTTCCCATGTCAACTTCAGGCTTGGAAGTACCGATAGTGAAGTGCGAAGCCCCCTGCCTAGTTTCAGTAAAGCAGTGAAAGACATGGACAACTTGCTGAACTATTCGGTCACTCAAACCTCGAATTATGGCGGTAAAATAATAAATGAACTTTGAATCAGTTTCTATATCACTCAGCTACACACCTAAAAATTTTATATCATAAGAAACGATCACCGAGAACGACTATGATTATTTTGTCATGAGTTTCGGGATCGAGAACATTTATTTATTTTATGACCAAGTTTAGGCGAGAGAGAAGTAGTCCAGACTGCCAAGTGCAATGCCAATAATGACTTCAGACTCAGCTCTAGACCAGCCCTATGTTAATCCAACTGGTTACGTCGGTTTTGACACAATTACAAGCCAGATTGAGCATCGTCTATTAAAAAAAGGATTTCAATTTAACATCATGGTTGTGGGCCATTCTGGACTCGGCAAGAGTACCCTAATCAACACACTGTTTGCATCCCATCTGATTGATTCCGCGACTGGTCGTGATATTTCTAAAGAGCCAATCTCGAAAACGACTGAAATAAAAGTTTCGGCTCATTCTCTTGTGGAAGACAGAGTGCGCCTAAACGTAAACGTGATTGACACGCCCGGATTCGGTGACCAGGTAAATAATGAAAAAGTGTGCGAGCCAATTATCAAGTACATTAAAGAACAGCATTCTCAGTATTTGCGTCGCGAACTTACCGCTCAGCGTGAAAAATATATTCCTGACACAAGGGTGCATGCGGTTCTATACTTTATCCAGCCTAATGGCAAGGGCCTAACACAACTTGACATTTCTTCGTTGAGAAGATTAACAGAAATTGCCAATGTTATCCCTGTTATCGCGAAAGCGGATGCTTTGACTATGGACGAAAGAACTGCTTTTAGAGACATTATCCAGCAGCAGTTTGAGCACTATAACTTTACCATTTATCCTTATCAATCAGAAGACTTGACTGAAGAGGAACTAGAGCTGAACGAAAGCATAAGGTCAATCATTCCTTTCGCCGTCGTTGGGTCCGAAAAAGAAATTTCAGTCAACGGCGAGCTAGTGAGGGGCCGCAAAACTCGTTGGGGCGCAATTGCTGTGGAGGACATCAATCAATGCGAATTCGTTTTCCTCAGAGAATTTTTGATAAGAACTCATCTTCAGGATTTGATCGAAACAACTTCACTTGTCCACTACGAGGGATTTAGATCAAGACAGTTGATTGCTCTAAAGGAAAATGCAAGCAGCCGCGCTTCTGCCGCGCATATGTCCCAAACCTCTACTTCGATGCTTCAGCGTTGAGAAAAGAAAGAACCCTTATGTCTTCCGGTCACGAAAAAATCATTAGACTCAACTTATGAGCTAGCAGTACATACGTGTACATGATGTATGTATAGTATAGGGGCTTTTTATACGCTTTTTTCTTTCAATATCTATCCTGCTATATGAGGGAGCTTTTATTAATGGTCAGCTGCCCATCCATTCTTTATTGGTTGGCTGTGTGTGCCGTTTCGAGAAACTTGAATATCTATCAACTAGGGATAATAATCACTTCTCAGAGAAGAGAGGGCGAGATTCGTAAATTTCTTATTTTACTTAAATGCCATCTCGGCTTTTTTACCCATTTTCATGCAATATACATAAAACATTTTAACATATTTAATGCTTTCGGAACACCAAAACCGTCCCTTTTCTGGGATCTTAATAGTTTAAAAACCATTATTTATTTTTACGTTTTTGTACAGCAAGCAGTTTTAGATAAAACAGTAAAATTAGCTTTTTTGATTCACGTGGATAAAAACCTTTTTAATAATATTTAATTTAGTTTTCTAGAGCATTTTTTATCAGTGATGATGATGAATCGTGACATAGTTTATTAGGAGGCTGCAAGTCTTTCCAGTCTAACAGCTTACGCGCATAGGCTCTATGTAGTAACTTTGAAAATATTTACAAGTGCCCTTTTTCAATCATCCAAATCCTCATCAAGATCAGGTATTGGAAACTTCAGGATGCAGGCGAGTCCCGTAAGCTTCTCGAGCTCTTCACCCGAACTATGCAAAGAACTGAACACATAAACGTTTCCGCCAGCCTTTTCAACAGCTTGTATAAGATCAACGCTCTTTTTTCTCACATTCACATCATCGGAACGCAAGAGTCCGTCTGTTATTAGGAGAGTCCCAATGGCCCCCATGTCGGAGGCTTTCGATACTTCCGCTTCACCATACCAGGCTTTAAAGTCGTCGTCATTTAAGTGTTGCAAAAACTCGTCCATTATCAAGGCTTCTTTCGAATTTTTCGCGTCTTGAAGACGAGAGCCATATGCGGGGTTTTTCAATACTTCGTTGATCCCTTGTAGGTATCCAGTGGAGCAGTGTGCAACCAAGAATCGGGATTTAGCCGCCAGAACTGTTTTGTTCTGTTCTTCTTGTGCATAGTGAAGGATCTTATCATATAGGGTTTTAGCATAGAACCCAGGAGAGCACAATATGATGACTTTTAATTTCGTGAAATCGAAATGCCTTTTCATGGACTCATAGGTTGCTTTATAGAATTTTTCGACCTTCTCGTCGAATTTCAAAACGTCAGTACTCCTCTTTTTTTTCGGCAGACTGTATTCTATTTTATTTTTTAAAATGGTACTGAATGAGCTCAGCAGGCAGATATGTGCGATACCTTCTTGCAAGGTAACGGCCGCAATATCAGAACGGCTTTCAAGGCTGCATGCTTCTTTGAGCTGTCTTGCCACAAAAGAATTATAGTCCTGTTTGATCAAAGTGAAGGGATACTTGTAGTCCAGTGTGAAACTGAAGTACTTGCCCGTGGGAATATTGATGTTGGCTCTTCCAGTATCATCTTCGGTCGTGATACCCTTGTATCTTAAGAACTCGTGCTGGGGCTCAAACTCCGAAGACACAACTTTGAGTCGCAATTTGATAAGCTCGGTAATCTTCTTTTTACCTGCGGTGTCGAGTTTGCTTGTCACCATCTTCTTGAAAATAATTTCATCATCGGTATTGATGATGTTATACAGGCAAAAAAGGTCCTCTTTATCTTGAGGAATAAGCGTTATCTGCTCAGAGTTATTTCCGTTTCCCTTCACTTGGCTGATTAACTTCATTATGTGCTTGACTACGTTCGTTGGTGAGAGAGTTAGTTACTAAGGTTTTGAACTGATCCTATTAAATTATCTATTTTTTTCATGAACGGAGATTGCCTCTGGCCTTGATCAGTCTTCGCGAACGAACAGAAAATATGTTCATAGTCACTAAATGAACCTACGGAAAGGATTTATACTTCGACTTTTTGAATGATAGCATGCTATGCACTTGGATTGAAAAATAATACTTAAGGCCCACGTTAAATGGGAGATAAATTGTGAAGTAGGACATAATTGGCATTCGTTTGAATTATGAAACGGATCTTTTTGACTGCCTTAGTGGCCTTTAGTCCCTGGAAGTGTACCTTTTCTTACCAATGTCTAAAGGAGTGTACTTGTATTTTATCATGTGCTGAATTTGTCTTCTCATGGTCAAGGCGAAGAGCAGGATAAGATACATGACCAAAATGGGCCAGAATACAGGTATATCAAAGATTCGGAATAACGTCATGACAGAGCACTCGGCTAGTGCTCTGATCGAGTTATGCCAAAATTTGAACTCCGGCAGTCTTCTGATGAAAGGTTTGAATTCCTCAACTCTCTCACCAGCCTCAAGCTCGTCGTTTTCTTCATCTTGCTGTAGTGAAACATCAAATTTGGGTGTAAGGAAGGCCAAAAACTGGTTGAGGAGGTAGATTGCGAGCCCATAGCATACCACGTACCAGCCCTCGCCATATGCAACTCGAAGAAAGAATAGTAACAGACCGCCCCCCAATGCGCCCCATCTGAATGTTACATGAGGAGTCAGCCGGTCCATGTACATTTGGTACATAGTCTGGTACTTCTTTACAAACGCCATTGTTTGCGCTTTTTTATCTGTCTCATCCATCCTCATTGTGTGTCTTTATTTTGGCTTTATTGGCTGAACGCGCTTGGTGTTGGCAAAGGTGTAGAATGACAACAGATTTAAATAATTATTTTTCGCATCATGGTACAGAATTATTTACCCTTCAGAAGTCAAACAATGAAGGCTATGGCTATGCTTTCGGCGGCGCCACTGCTCATCAACGTAAGTTTTGCAATCACTTTGGTTTCTCGTCAACTTTTGCTTTGCTAACAAGGCCTTTCAGTGTATAGCTGTACTGTATCAAAGGCGGTATAACCGGCTACACAAATCAATTCATGGTCTGTCTTACGATTTATATGTTTTAAGCTTTATCTCGTACCTGTTCGCTACATACTGCGGAGTTAATTACTTGTTTTCGGCCCTGGTGCGAAAACAACTCATTCAAAGGTTTCCCGTCTTCTTTCCCCAAGACAACCCTGAAATTCCGGTGTCCAAGTCGATTCTTTTAACAGACATTCTCAATCTTGTATGCTCAGTCGTTGTCCTCAAGCAACTGATGCGATACAGGTACACAAAGCATGAATACCAAAGTGTGTCATTTATGTGCATCAGCGTGGTTGTGGTCTGTGCTACTTTTTGTGTGTTTACTTATGCATGCGCTTCCCTTAACTTGCCTCTTAAGGATAGTGGTAGATTCGGCGTTTTCTATCTAGAGCACATCAATTATTCGTGGGTCATAGGGACGTTTCTCTCAGGGTTCCGGCTAGTACCTCAAATAATGCTCAACTACATGGGGACAAGTACTCAAGGAGTGTCTTCCAAATTCATAATACTAAGCATAGCATCCGTGGTGCTACAGCTAACTGTTGGATTAATAACGCGAAATCAACCGCATTATCGCATGCCCCTCAATGGCAAGCCTCTCTACGAGCCTGCCCTCCATTTGGTGTTTCTCATTTTCATCCTCTACCAAGCACAGTACGTATATCGTAGGCGAACAGGCCGACTAGCTAAAGCATTATCAGCTGCTTGAGGTACTAGGGCAAACGTAGCAGATTAGTGTGTATTTATGCTGTACGTACATATTTTGATTTGCGTCGTCATTAAAGGTATTAATTTTTATATTAAAGTCTTTTGCCTATAATTTTAGTCGCGACGCGGACTCCAAGACTGACTTGACGCTCATGCTCTTCGTTAAAGGTTTGAATTGTTACTGGTTTTGTGTTGGACATTAGGCGATCAATCTCGGCTTGCATTACGTTCTTTAGCTGTGAATCTTTCGTAACGAGCACGACATTTGATTCCAAGTCAACGGAATATGCTCTTCTTGTGTAGTTGGATGATCCAACAACAGTTACAGCCGGTCTGGTGTCCTTAGGATCGTTTTCTGATACCCATATGCCTTTGGCATGATACGACCAGCCTTCAGGAGTATTCACGATTCCTTTCTTCCATTCGTTCAAAGAAATTTGTGATTCCCTCCCACTATTTTTAACGTCTTGAAGAAACTTCTGAGATAAGTGCAGATAAGCGTCCGGTAAATGCCTCGATAAGCCTTTAGATTGAAAAAATCCGTTAGCATAAGGTGAGGCAGTTATTACTCTACCCTCCTTCGAGGGTGACAGAAGCAGGAGGTTTTTTATTTCTGGCAGCATATTGAAGTAACCAGCTGTAAAAGTCCAGCTGATAGAGCTATCCCTCATGCAAGATAATATTTTTAGAATTGTGGGTTTCTCGGTGGAATAGTCCTTGTTGTCTCTAAACATTGGGGTGAATTGTGAAATGGGGTATACAGCCGTTTGAAATTCCCCTGTCTTGGAAATATTTTGGTTTGTTAACGAGCCCCTTGGCTTGTTAAGAAAGGATCTTAGTGCATCAGAGCAGCTCTTTAGAAACAAGCCTCTATCAAGGTGTGGTTCATTAGACAAGTTGTCTTTAGGCCACACCATCTTGAACTTTTGAACAGATTCCGAATACTGTACCTGATAACTCATGCGGCTCACAAGCTGGTGAAGATCATAATAATAGTCTGCAAATTGGGGGGATTTGAACAGGTAATATCTGTCTTGGCGGTTGGTGAAGTAATCTGTAGACAGGTTGGCGCCCGAAAGAATTACCTCATCGTCGACACCGTAGATCTTCATATGTTGCAATCCAATTCCTTCATTGAATCTTCTAGGTATCAAGGCTTCTTTGAGTCTCGTCAACTCTGGGGTTCTGTACAAGCGAATGTCGACTCTGTCCTGGTGGTTCTTCACCAACCTTGACAACAAAGAGGCAGAGCAGCTCTTTGGAGCTTCTCTGGTACCTCGTAGTCCATCGACTAGGAAATAAACTTTCAAATTAGGGTTCTTGTCCAAAGCTTTGGATATGCAGGCGATAAGCTCTTCTTGAGATGTGCCTATATAGAGGGACGCCAAGAATATCCTGCGCTCAGCATTGAAGATCTTATTTTTGAGTGTATCGTAAAACTCCGTTGGACTATGGAGGACCTCAATTTCATCTTTTCTGAAATAGAAACAAGCCTTGAGATTTGATAATGATTCTCTCACAGCATCTGTATAAGATAGAGAACTCTTTCTAACTGAAAATTCATCCATAGGGCGTGATGTTCTAGTGCTATACAGTCGATGTTCGCTGCGTGCGCTATACCGAAACAGCTTTCGCGCTCGAACTAGTGTTATTCTCATCAGGGAGCGAGACTTGATATGCGGCAATTCCCCAACACTAAACTATTGTCACCGAAAAGAACTGACTACATTTGATATCCTGATAATTTGAAGAGGTATGTAGCCTCACATGTGTTTCGTAAATATACAGCAGCTTGCGTGGCGTAATGGCAACGCGTCTGACTTCTAATCAGAAGATTGTGGGTTCGACCCCCACCGTGAGTGTTTTTTTTGGCTTCATGGACGATTTAGCCGCCAGGAACGTGAGGAACATTAACCGCTCATTGATTATGCAAATTAGAATACTTTTATTTATTACCTCCAACTATACTCAAACCTTCGGCTTTGAGATGAAATCTTTGTTTTTCAGCGGTTTGAGATGAATGTAATTTGGCTGCTCAGAGCTTGTGGTATACGAACGAGGAAATGTATTGACACGGCCAGTCAACTCTGTTCTTAAGGTTTCCGGCAATTCCTCCGTTGTGTCCCACATGTTGGAAGACATTGATTCAGTTTCGTCGTCGATTTCGGGGCTCATAGGCGAGAGTCTTGACGGGTCGAACTTTTGATTATTAGACTTCCTCATAGGCGTGCTTGGAGATTTCACCTGAAAGAAATCATGAGGTAGTTTAGAGGCTACATTTGAGACACTGCTTAGGGTAGATCGCGAAACTCTTCGTTGAGTACGCACGGTTTGAGGTGCTGTGAAATCGCTTGTGGGAGACGAATATTGACCGTACTGCCAAGGAGTTGAATTCGCCTTAACATCGTCAGTCTCGTGAGCAGTGTGAGGAAAGAGCCACTGTGTCAGACCCCCGAACACTTCAATGTGCTTATCAGGTATTTGAATAAATCTGTGCAATAGTCCTAGACCCACACCACAGTAAATTCCGAATATGACGCCAATGAACATCATTGTGATGAAGTACTGGATGCATAGTTTTACAGTCACAGTTGTCAAATGCAAGTTCACTTTTGCAATGTCATTTAACGTTGTGTTGTAAAATAGAATTAGCGGCACATTGGTCGGGAGAAGCGCCAAGTTTGTCAGGTTCCGGAATAAGATGGTCGCAGGCGACCACAAAAAGAACTCGCATAGTTTCCACGCTGGCTTCACTGACAATTGATATATGAGTAGAGTAACGGATCTTGTCAACTGCAGACAATAAACAGCCCAGCTTTGCGCCAGTAAGATTAACCAATTCAGCACGGCCAACGCATGCATGATTGAACTGGCTCCATAAGCGTTAGACATGTATTTCAATGCCAGTGCTTGGTTATCCATTTAGATGTTGTGTCATTTAGTTTCGAATGCCCTAGCCTTACACGATATCACCAAAAATAATAATGTTCGTGTTACCCTCTCATTAGGAGGTATAAAATAGTCATGAGTTAAAGAATAGCTGCATTGGTGTTTCGACGTCTTGACAACTAAAACATTATGATCCTACAAACCTGCAAAGCCTGACTATAAGCTCAACGAACGGAGAAGCTTATAAGCTTATACTCTCTTCCTAGTTGAGATGTACAAGGCGATGTTTTATAGTAAATCTTACACCTCCTATTTCTGCCCCACGTTCCTTTTCACTACCATGGAATTATGGGTTCTATTAACGGAGAAGAGAAAGCCTGCGAATGCCAGAACCACACTTTTGATACAACCGTGGTTTTCGGCGTTTTCAGGATCGTGTGGATGAATCGGACGACTTTGAGACTGTTTTCACATCTCAAGGATTCGATGCCCCACTACATATTCATACTCGTAAGTACCCTTTGGCGAAACGTAGCACTTAGGTACCTGGTAAAACTCGTTTATTACAAGATCGCTGTTGGGGCAACCAACGTTTTTCCGCGACGAACTTTTTAATGGCCATAGCACGTCTGCTGCCACAAAGCGTAAGTTGTTATTAATATTTTGTTGTATCCGTATGGAACGGTGTGCTATCCCTGCCTTTTCTTGTGTTATGCCCTCTTTCTCAACCTAAATGTAAATAAGCATGGAATAAACATTAAAAGTGAAGGTTAAATTAATCGAAGTGATGCACGAACCAGTTGTGGAAGCATCGACGAATTGCTATCGAACTTGAAGCAGTGAGGTAGATCATTGTAATATTGAAGCAAAAATAAAGCTGTTCAACGCAACTTGGCTTCACAAAGCTTTAGTGTTTGGATGCTTAACGTTGGTTCAAATACCTTTTCGTGATAACTCACTTCTAAATTCGACAAGTACCACGAATCCGGATCATATCCAACAACAAGCGCAAGTGGTTTAGTGGTAAAATCCAACGTTGCCATCGTTGGGCCCCCGGTTCGATTCCGGGCTTGCGCATACTTTTTGCACTCTTTTTAACGATGCATTAGATCAGCTAGAGTTTAAGTTACGGTATTTCTTTCGAGTTACAATATGTAAATGGAGATTTTTAACAAGTAAGCTGACCTGTCTTGTCTTCGTAACTGACGTGTGTTGTATCATCTCTCTCAGTAATATATTATCCGAAGAGTCAGACTCGAAAATTTTTTTGGTATATCAAGTCTCATCACTTGAAAGCCCGAAATTCACACAGACGGGACAAAATAAGCAGAGATGATCAGGAATTTAGTCGGATCCAAAGGTGCTCAAAAGCTCCTTGTGCGCCGCAGCTCGTCATCGACATCTGCGTTGGCTTACAAGCAATCGCATAGAAACAAGGTTAGCCCCCCTTTGCCTACCTTAGAAACACCTTCTTGGAGTGCCAAATCCGCAGTTTCATCGATCTTGTATGAAACACCAACACCATCGCGTACACCTAGAAAGCAACATGTGCTTAACTGCTTAGTTCAAAATGAGCCCGGTGTTCTGTCCAGAATAAGTGGGACACTCGCAGCAAGAGGCTTCAACATCGATTCCCTAGTCGTGTGTAACACGGAAGTGAAAGACTTGAGTAGAATGACTATCGTTTTACAAGGTCAAGATGGTGTCATTGAGCAAGCAAGACGTCAAATGGAGGATCTTGTGCCAGTATATGCTGTCTTGGACTACTCCAACGCAAACATCATCAAACGTGAGCTTGTATTGGCTCGTGTATCGCTTTTGGGAGCTGAGTATTTTGAAGACCTGATTCACCATCACGAAAAAACCGCCTCTGATGGCCTTGATGGTAGCAATGACGCCGTTGCTCACATTAGAAACAAGCAATTCCATCCCTCCAATTTGCCATTGAGTGAGAATCTAAGAATCAAGCACAAGCACTTAGGAAACATCACCAACTTAGTAAAGAATTTTGGTGGTCGTGTTGTCGACATAAGTGAAACCAACTGTATTGTTGAGCTGAGTGCCAAACCTTCGCGTGTTTCTGCATTCTTAAAACTTGTGGAACCATTTGGTGTGCTAGAAGTGGCCAGAAGTGGTATGATGGCTCTTCCAAGAACCCCCTTAGAAGGCAACTCTGATGAAGACACCGAAGGCCAGATCAACGACATTCTTGATCTCTCGCAATTGCCTCCTGGCTGATGTCATCAAATTAATAAAATGATTTACAAACTTAAGTAAAGAAGACAAATTAATGCCGTCAGTTATAACACTATAGTTGCTCTTCAAGTTCGTATTTCATTTTTATTTACAGGTTATGTGCAAAGTCGTGAAATGATACTTATAGTTTACTCAAAAATGCACTTTTCGTTCTTGAAATGGCGTCGATACCACCTCTCATATAATTAAACCTCTTGACCGTGATTGGTTTTTTCTCATTTTTGCTAGCCATGGACACGTTTTCTGGCTTAACTGGCTTCAAGAACCTTCTGCGCAACTGCACTTCTTCCGATCTAGTCAAAAAGTCGGCAGTCGATTCCAACAACTTTTCAATGTTTTTCTTGTCCTTTCTCGTAGCTAGCGTAGCGCTGGTTAAATCATTCAACAGTTTAGCCTTCAAGTTTTCTCGCTCGGACTTCGAGTAATACCTCGTAAGTTCCAATCTATTGTTGAATGATGTGGATGTGTTGATTTTGTCTGCCGTTGCGTAAAGCTTTTGCAGTTGTTCTGCTAATGTTTCCTGGGAGAAGGCTTCGCGTCTGGCTTGCAATACAGTTTCTTGTTCCAGGTAATGCAAGGAGTTGAACCTGGCGTCTAGAAGCGAAAACCCATTCTTTAGACAAGAACGTAGTCGCAGTAGATAGAGAGTGGCCATTTCCATAGATTGGCCCTCGAACTTAAGTTGAAGCGACTCTGTAAGCTTCTTGGCGAATTGTAAACGTAAATCAGCACGGCGAGTTTCACGTTCATTCATGCCAGCTGTAATGGAGTCTCTGGCCATGAATTGTTTTCTGGTAAGCGAATTAGCTTCTTTTTGGGCAGCCTCAGAATTCTCTATCAGTTGGCGGCCAAAGCGCCTCACTCTGGGCGCGAAATGTGGCGTAGGCAGCTTAAGCTCTGAACCTAATGCTACACCAATAAACTTGCGTTTGGGATGGAAAGGATCGAGATAGTAACGCACAAACCCTGGTTCCATAGCGAATACAGTGTGATCTTTCCCGATTCCAACATTTTCGCCGGGGTAGAACTTTGTTCCGCGCTGCCTCATCAAAATTTCACCAGGTTTCACTTCTTGACCTTCGTATTTCTTTGGGCCTAATCGGCGACCCGCCGAATCTTTCATGGAAGTTCTGGACCCCGCTGCTTTCTTTGTAGCAGTACGAACCTGGATGAAAAACTTCGATACATAGTGCCCTACCGGAGCTCTATTCCACCCGAGCATACTGTTCCAAAGAGATACCGTTGAGGTGTTATAAGCTCGACTTGGTATTTTTGATGTTGAAACGAATCGCAGCTCCACTTTAAATTGAAAATTTTAAAATTCGAAATTATCAAAATTAAGTAGATAATAATGAAAATAACAATTATCTGAAAATTGACGCTCAGCGGGTAAAAAACCGGGACCATGGTCGATCAATGGGACGTTGTTGTATCTTCATTACAAGAGTTGTACAAAAAGCACGAGTCTCAAAGTTTCGATGATCTGGTGAACGAAAAGCGTGTCAATTTTCAGAATTTGGCTTTGGAGCAGCTGCGATCGCAATTGGAAGTCTTCTCAGCTCATTCGCGAAACCTAGAGAGTGCGCTCGAGCTAATTCGAGTCGTATCGCTGAATCTAGGCGGTGTTGTGCAGTACGCGCAAGAAGCAGAAGATAAATTGGAGGAATCAGACGCTAAAGCAGTGTATGCCGAGTCATATGCGGGAAGGTCTTTTTGGACTAGTCCTTTCAATCCAAGCGAGCCAATTATATTGGAATCTGAAGTTGCTTATAAGCCTAAAAAGGGTGGTGATGGGGAATGGTTTCAGTGCCAGGTGATCAAAATCTCTAGCGACGGCACGAAATTCGAGGTCAGGGATCCTGAGCCAGATGAGTTAGGAAACCCAGGCCAAGTGTATAAGTGCAGCTGGAAAGATGTGATTCTTCTACCGGCTGTGAGTACCCCGAAACAGCAGACCCCTAATTACCCTAGTGGCACGAAGGTATTGGCACGTTATCCAGAGACAACAACTTTCTATCCAGCAGTGGTGATTGGCCATAAGCGGGATGGGACTTGCAAGCTAAGATTTGATGGTGAAGAGGAAGTTGACAAAGAGACGGAGGTTGCTAGGAGACTTGTGCTGCCCTTCCCAGCCCGGCGTTAGAACAAAAACTCAGCCGCAATGTACAAATTTTTGAAGGAAATGGCAATCATCGAAACTAAGGTCTGCATTCTAGGGGTAGCCTCAGTTTGACCGTATATATTACGATGTGCAAAAATGAAATTGCTGTTTGCATCTCAGAGACCGATGATACAGGAGCTCAGGCTTTCCGTCTCTCAACAACACCTGACTACCTCTTGGTATTTCCACAAATTCGTGGCATGAGCAAACTTGTCCATGAGTTGAGCTTGAAATTGAAGATGAATCCTAGATTTTCGGGCTATGCGTTATCTCAAGTACAAGCGAAGCTATCCCCCAAGCTCTCGTGTTAACTTCCCAGCGAGACATCATTACATGTGCTTCTGACTTTGGCGGTCTCTTTGGAGCTGTCGAGATCACGTGAAAATGATACCTGTTTATGATTTTTGTTCAAAGTAAAAATTTACTTCATACCAAGGTCGGCGCTGAAACTAATCATTTAATATGAATAACTTGGTCCAACTCTTCCATACCTGACGGAAGATAGTATGAATTACGAAAATGTATGTTCAAAATTACTGCTGATTAAAAGAAGTTAATAGAGGAACAAACTATAGACTGTGTGAAGTACCATTATATTACAGCAATGTGGTTCATGTTCTACTACCCACTTCAACGAATTAGCAACAAACATCTACGCTGAGTTCAGATGCAATATTTTTAGAACCAGAAACTAATCCCCGAAATCGCAGCAGGATCAGAGGTCCCGATCTAGATCCCCAGCAGGGCGCAGCTCGACCAATGAGCATCAAGAAGTTACAACAGGGATTGATCTACCTCGTCGCAGCAGGTACAATAATGGCAGTACTGGTGATGAAGTCACTTACGAACGTAACGACAAGCGCAACGATTATTCGAGAAGCCGCAGAGGGGGTCCGCGCGGATTCGGCGGCCGGAGTGGGCGGGGTGAGTTCAGAGGCGGTCGCGGCGGGTACGATGACAGCTTTCCCCGCAGAGATATGAGAAGAGTGTCTAGATTCAACGCAGCGCAAGATTCCTCGCTTTCGAATGATTCAGAAGTTGCTTACCACGATAAGCTTAACAGAAATTATGCCAACAGTATATTCGTTGGTAATATCACCTATGATTGTGAACCTGCTGACCTTAAGGAGTTATTCAGTGGAATTGGACAAGTCGTGCGCTCAGATATAATTACCTCTCGTGGCCATCACAGGGGCATGGGCACGGTAGAGTTTACAAATTCTGAGGATGTCATTGAAGCTATCCGTCAATTTGATGGGTACTCCTTCATGGGACGGGACATATTTGTTCGCGAGGACAACCCCCCCCCTGAAAGCGGTAGAAGAGAGGAACAACCAGTTACTAAGCAGTCGTTGGTTGACAGATTTCACCCAGGGTACGAAGTCTTCGTCGCAAACCTACCTTTCTCCATTACGTGGCAATCTCTAAAAGATCTCTTCAAGGAATGTGGGGTCCCTACTAGAGCAGACGTCAAACTCGATCGCAATGGAAGGTCGAGAGGTTTTGGGACTGTTATTTACGAAAGCCAAGAGGAGGCGAGCGCAGCTCTGGATAGATTCACTGGCTTTGAACTGGAGGGAAGAATGTTGGAGCTTAAGAAAGGCCACGGACCATGGGATGAGGATCCACAACCTACATCACAGCATGAGGATGAAATGGATTTTGTAGATTCAGCGAACACTGAATTCACAGACAAAGCAGCTGGTGGTGGAGAAAGATGCAACACTATATACGTGGAAAATTTACCTTTTGCCACAGCCCAAAGCGACTTATTCGACCTTTTTGAAATCATTGGCGCTGTCAAGAGAGCAGAATTGAAGGTTGACGAGAGAGGGGAGCCTGCCGGTGTTGCTGTGGTGGAATACGAAGAGACAGACAATGCTGAAATCTGCATCAGTAGACTTGACAAATATTCCTACGGTGGGAGAGAGCTCAGCATAAGTTACGTGAGGTACTATTGAGTTTTTGAGACATGAGATGGTCCTTAATTAACCTAATTATCTCAGTTGCCACGACTGGAGTGTAAAGCGCTCCGGAAAATCCAGCAACAATAGCCAACGTAAATAGAATGTAAGCAAGAAACTTCTAGCATTATCAAAGTTAGCAAGAGATGGGTTGAAACGAGCACAGTGTTTTAAGTTCGCGCTCCAGTACTCGCCAAGGTACTTGCGAGTATTTTTATAAGATAGCTCAATCGCGAGCTTGACGTTAAAACCTTAAAAACTTTTGGCTGTTGTAGCAAGAATGCATACCTTCCATAAGATACTTGCATTCCTCGGTATACTTATCGGCGCAAGTGCTCTGATTGTATTTCGCATTCAAATTATCGGTATGTCCTTCTATACCCACAGCTGATTAGGGGCTTCAATAACTAACTGTTGGCTTAGCAAGATGTGGCGAGCTAGCCACGGAACTGAGGAGCATTTTCGGTCGTAGAATCCAGCTAAATGCAGACTTCACTGAAGACCTCGAAGCTGGCCTCACTTCACGAAATTTTGATATCTCAAGTCACAACGAAGGTGATCAAAGGAAAGGTCTGAACGATGAAGCCAAAACGGAAATCAAAATGATAATGAAACGAGATAAAGTAAACTTTGATCAAGCAAGGCTTCTCCATGCACAAGAAAAATTCGGCAGGAACAGAATAGCCGCCGACGGCACGCCTCTGGACCCTAAAGCAGTCATATTCGGGAGAACTTAGTATCTCTTACCGATCACCTAGCTATAAGGTGTATTAATGAATAAACGATATATTTTATATGCTATATAATTTCCGTTCGTTTAGTTTTGAAATGAGAGACGAGTAGGTCCAGATTTTTTATCGGCAACTTCATAATCATCTCCAACTTTAGTGCTATAGTCCTCGTTCATCAGCAGGGAACTCAAGTAGGCGTATGAAGAGTCGGACAAAAGAGGCTGGTCCTCAATTGTAGGTCGAGGGCATTTGACATGAGGTTTTTTGTTGATCACTCGATATTTCTCGGGGTCTATTTTAAAAAACACCGAATCGGGTAGCTTGCTCAAATCAAACATGTCAAGCTTGCTAGGAGAAATCCAGATAGCCTCTTCTTGCTCCTCGCCCAACGAAGGTTGAAAATTTCCCCTTTGCCCGTTTTTGCCTGCATTTTCGTCTGAGCAAGTAAAAAATGTGTCATTGGACTTTTCAATCGCGGGCAATCGGTAAAATACAGGCTCTAGCTGGTAAGTAGGTTGCCTCTGTAAGCCACTGCTCCCCATAGGTAAGAGCTCTTCGTGATTCAGTGACTCTTGGGTTTCATCATTACCATCAAACGTCATATGGAAAGAACTAAAATCAGGGTCGTCCAAGATTGGTGTGTAAACCGGCTCCAGCCTTTCGCTTTCCTTGGCACACTCGATTTCGCTCAGCCTTTCTTCATGTCTTAAGATTGAAGTAGTTTTAGTTTCTACCTGATGGTTGCTTAGTATCTGGTCCCTGTTAACAAACTTATCATTTTGAACCTCTAAAGGCGTAAAGAACTCCATCTCATCATCTATGTTGTCGTCAGATTGATTGCTCATTTCGAACAGCTTGTGCTTAGTGCTCTTGACCGTCGGTGAGGGCATTTCAACGCTGTCCCTTGTTAGGTGATCTTCGAGACCATCCTCTTTTGATGGAGCAGGTCTTGAGTTGATGCCAATTATCTTAGAGGGAGAATGATTGACAACCTTGAAAGCCGAACCTCTATTTTGTTGGTTAATAGGAGAACGGCCGGCATTGCTCCTCGTTTCTTTCATTTGTGATTCTTCAACGCTCTCATTTATTGTACAGGCAGCTAAAGAACACAAGGGCGGACAGACAGCGGAAACTTCCTCTGTTCCGTAAGTCATAGGATGATCCAAAGTATTAATAGTAGCCTGCGAGTTTGACAACTTAAAATGTGCAGTAGGCCGCTTCGGAGATGCAAGACTATTAAATGCGTGGCTACTACTATTACCCTCAGCTGCATTTTTCCTAGCCTTGAGGGACGTTTCGCTTGGCAGCCGCTTCCAATTGGAAGGCTCGTCATTATCATCTAAGACCAATCGCATATTTTCGAAGAGCTCTTTGAAAGATGGAGACCGCTCAAAAGTGCTTTTGTTCACCGTCAACATTTTAATGTCAGGAAATATACCAGGTTTTGGCTCATATTTTTGCCGCTGGGTACTGCTGTCTTTGTTGACATCCCTTACAGTGGAGACAAGCTCTTCAAAGCTGCCCTCAAGACTGGAGTTCACCTTTTCGGGAAAAGCAGTTGCTTCAACGTTGAGACGCCCCAATTCGTTTTCATTTGGCACTGCATTTGTCGAATGACATTCTTCCGTTGGTAAAGACTTTGCGATCCTAGCCGTCTGCATTGTAGGAGCGTTCTGTGAATCTCCCTTTGGATCTGGTACCATAGCTTCGCCGAATAAATCGTGGTTGAAAATCTGGCTTTCTCGATCACTTTTGCTTAAGTAGTAGATCGATTGACTTGCGACCGAAGGTAGACGTTTAGCACTCATATTCGCTGAAGAGCAAGAGGATAGTTTGTCCCCTTCAGTGAGTTTTAGATTTTTAGACAGCAAGGTGTCGTTGTCGCCGATATCTATGGCTTTTGATTCATGAGTCTTCGACACGGTATTCTTGGGTGTTCCACGGATTTTGTTTTTAGTAGTCTTAGCCGAAGGCGGAATATGAACGACGGAGCTTAATCTTTGCGTGCTTGCTTCCTTTGAAAATTTGGGATTAAGGTTATCAGCGACCGATGGGATGGAATTATTCGTTCCGCTAGTGCGCGATGTGCGGCTAGGGTTTGTTTTGCTTGCTCTTTCTTTTTTCTTTACTCCAAAAAGGATGGCAATCTTCCCAATGAAACCCTGCCTCTTCTTCTTGGGCTCTGGGCCTTTCACTTTCGTGTTGCTTGGCTTTTCTTTCAGCACTTTTGGATTTAGGTTTAAGTTGCGGGCTTTGACTGATTGATCGTTCCTCGTAACGCCAAGTTGCCTTACATCGCTAACAGAACTTCTGAATGTCGTGAGCGTACGAAGTGAATGCGATGTGGAATGCAGCGACTGGGAATCCCCTGTCGAAGATCTATTCGTATTTGGGTCTAAAGCCTTTATGTCTGGCTCTTCATTAAAGTGGTGTCCCACTTTCTTTACCAGCTGTCCGTTTATTTCTAGCAACTGAGAGAAGAAGGGAGATCTGACTGTTGAATAATAATCAGGATACAACGACGTCAACTCCTCAACTAAAAACTGTGCTAAATTTTGCCGCTGGATTACAGACTTTTTCTTCGCACCATCACAGGCGAGTTTGGTGATAGTTACATCACCCTTTTCATCAAGAGATGCAAAAAATGCGACCGCAAGATCATAGTCCGTGATAAAGGTCGAAGAAGGAACAATATTGAGAAAGAGACAGAATTTCGACCGCATGTTTTCCATCGAGTAAGCGATCATCTCATGAGCAGTGGAAAAAATTTGGAGCTTGTTGTCCGTGAAGCGAAAAAGATGGAATGCAGTGTCTTTGTCTAAAATTTTTGCTTTGACAATCAAGTCTGCTACTTCGGAAGCAGAAGACGACAGCGAGACAATTTTGAATGCAACAGACTTGGCTTCATCGGGTTCGAAGGAGTCGATCCTAATCATATCCTTCCCAAAGGTCGTTGCCGCGACGCGGTCAATGTGGAAATGATCAGTCACCTGCAGCTTAGGGACGTTGGGCGAGAGTGGTACTTCATTTATAAGTGAGTTCATAAGAACATCTGAAAGTAGAGGTTTCTTACCTGCGTAGCTATCGTAGTAAGATTTGCTATCAATCACGTTGAGAATAACAACGTAGTCGCTAAAAATGACCAAAATGTTTTTCTGTGTACTATCATTCGTATCCATGACGTCAAAAACACCAACGACTCTCCTTTTGAGCCACTTATACTGCAGTTCCATGGGCCAGCCTTTCGCCAGCTCCGTCAATAGCTTACCTGACGGAGTGAAAACTCTGGTGTTATAAGATGCTGAAGGCTCTTCCGCAGTCCCAAACGAACTTATGATGTCAATAATTTTAAAAAACCGAGCCTCAGCTAACTCTAAATTTTGGGGTTCCCACTTTTTGTTTGACCACAGTCTATCAAGAATAAGTTTCAGCTTCAGTATGATTTCTTGTGGACTCTTAATGATTGTTTCGATTTTCATCTCCGAGTATACATCTTTGCTCGGTATGACATTTCGAAATTTGGCCATAAACAACTTGATATCTTTTGAAAAGTTTTTAGTAGCAGCTTCGTGCCTTGTATAGGCCTTATAGAAATACGGGATTGTTATGCTACACGCATTCAAGACCTCCTGCGAGCCATGTTTGGTTGATGCCTTCAATGCGTCCAAAAAGATGCAATTGATGCGTGTCACTTCGTCAATCGTGGGGGGAAATAAGCGGTTAAGCTTAGGGATTGAAAGTCCATTAATTTCTTCATTAGAAACTTCTATTCGCAGGGGTATGAGGAACTTCTGTAAAAACTCAACTAGAGCCAATGTGAAATTGGTTTGCACTTGAAGTAATTCAGAGCATATTGCAGAAATAAGATGCTCGTCTTTTTCGAGGGCCGTCTCATCTTCCGGCGGCTTATAAATAATCTCTGTTTGCTCCGGCGAATACTCTGCTAAAGGATTAAAAAGCTGCTCCAGCTGATCCCCAAGATGAAGAACCAACTCGTTGTTGGTGTCGATAGTCGCTTCATTGTTTTCATATACAACGTCGAGCAAAACTGAATGAATATAACGATCCTGTAAGAACCCCAAACGGCTCAAACTCTTGCCCAGGTCGCCTGGTGAACAAAACCCGACTAGTTGGCAAGAATTGGCTAGATCGCCTGCAGTAGTCGGATCGTAGTCATATTTCATATCTGGCTGAATTTTTGAAACTGATTCTGGCTTAAGTTCGGCGAATTTTTGCAGCAGGGACACCGCGACACACTTTCTGACATTAGAGCCCTGATTTCGAGTGGAGAGATTCTCTATAGCGGGATAGAAGCGCGACTGGCGCGATATGTCGACTGGATTGAAATGTGTTGTGCCCATTTTATCAACTATGAGGCTACTCAATTTGCCTGTAGCAGGTTCCTTATAAACTGCCACGATGAAATAGCCCCATAGGAGCTCATCGTATCCTTTGTAGACTGCAGCGTTTGGAAAGATCTTCTCAAGCCATTCTTTTTCCGTGCGACTTCTAGTCCACTGGCTTGCTGCATGATCCACGAACACATTGGGCTTCAATTTTGTACCATGTCTAATATTATGTCTCTCAGCAGACCTGCGTGAAGATATCGAGGAGTTCTCGAAACTTAACTCGTTTTGCATGCCTTCGAGATCCCCTTTAGAACTGAATAAGTTCGAGCTGTTTACTTCCAGGAAATTTTTCGAGATTGGTAAAAGTACATTTCAAGATCAATCTGTCTGACGCCAGCTAACGAATATGCAAACTTCAGCACTGTACTCGAAATTGAAGACTGACTCAGATCGTAAGCTGCTCGTTTTGAAGCCCGAATTGCTAGCAGCTCTTGAAAAAGATGGAAAACTCGAGTTCAAGGCCTCGAAGCCGGAAGACTCAGTGGTTCTCTGTTCGAAGAACAAGACATGGCTGTTAAAACAGAAAAACCACTCGAATACCGTTCTAGTAATGAAAGAGTTCATTCCCGAAGAAATACCAGAGGTTTCGAAATATTCGTCTTTCAAGGTGACCGAGCCGTCTTCTTATCATTTAGGATATGCTAAGCAAAGTAACGAGCTGGAGCCGCGGCTGACCGCAGGGGAAATTGACATCAGCCAACTACCGATATACACGGGAGATGCCCAAAGCTTCCAAATAATCTCCAAGAGGTCCAACACTGTTCTGTTGACCCTTGATGAGCTGCGACAATGCTCACCCTGTTCGCAAGACGAATTCGCAATTAAGTGGCCTGTTCTCGGTGGCTGCGTCGTAGAAAATACAGCATGCATCTTATCCCATGAATTTACGTCGAGAGCACTGCACATAACTCTCATGAGCTGTATGGCGGAATCCCTTGATTTCGAGGCATTGGACTTGCCACAGGCCTTTGCGGCTGTCAATAAAGATATGGGTGAGGCTGGAGAGTTCAATCCATTTAATATGGAGGTGGTTCGCACAATACTTGGAAAGTTTTGTGTGCTAACTCAGGAGGGCAAATTTACACTTCAAAGGAAAAGTGTGGGCCAATGGTATGGAATTGAAGCATTGAGGAAGTTCGCCTCCCGTTCGATGATCCCACAAGAAGAATTCATGATTAAATGGAAATCCTTGTTCCCGCCTTATTTCAACTGCGACCTGGACTTTACCACACTACGAGGAAATTTTTATCGGCCACTGGGAGCCGGCATCCAATACTTCTCCAAAGAAGCGCTCCCCGATAATCCTAAGGATAGGTTTACTTACCTTTTCAAACTTCAGTCAACTTGGGACCTGGATGAAATGAGACCATTTATTGACCAACTTAATACCAACAGCTTAAAGATTGATAGCTTTGTCATGAAATATGCTAGAAGAATAAGGCAAGGTAAGCGCACACTTATAAGTGCACGATAACCTAAGGTATGTTACAAGCGAGTGAAGAGTAAGTAATGGTTTCTAAACTTTTAAAAAAATCTATCATTATAAGAGAACAGAGTGAACGGTCTCATAGACGCCCAAGAAAATGGCACCGCCAGCGCTGATCCATAACGTTCTAGGACCGACGCCGCTGTAAAATACCCCCCAACCTTCTGTTTTGTAGATATGGCGTGCCAGCTGCATAACAGGTATAGAGCTGTGGCTAAGCATAATCCTTGTTTTCAAAACATCTAGAGGCGTGGTTGTGGCAGCGGCCACACCTCCTGCTAAACACCCACAAAATGCTCCCTGCCAAGGTGCCACTTGAGATTGGCCCGTCGTTTGAGCCCATTTCTTCTTGAGAAACTCATAAAGTGGGAATTGAATACATGTGAAAGGAATCTCCCGCATAATTGTAGTTGACCACCCGCGATAAAGGTTCCGCCTTATGCCTTCGCCATTTTCGTTCTGCAATAGCTTTTTTAATGTTTGCCACGATGAATCCGATCTGTGGGTCTGAGTTCTCTGCTTGATTACCTCCGCAGGTACTCTTACCATACATGCTGCTATTTCACCTGCAGAAGACGAAAACATATGTGTTGCTGTTTCAGCCATCTGATCGCTCGAAGTAATGAGCTTGCTGAAAACAGGGCGAGAATAGGTTTTCATAGCATCGTAGCTGACAAAAAATAGCGAGGCGCTCGGTGCGCTAGCAACTACCGCACTTCCCAGTCCTCTATACACCCCGAAATAACCACCATTGGCGAAGAATCCTCCTGCAGCTTGTAGTCGGGTTTTTAACGTGTCAATTGGAAAAAAGGCTAGATCGGTCGACGTACCGGCTGCCGCGCCAGCCAGTAAAGAAGCTATGAAAGAAGCATTATCCATTATATCCTGATTAGATGTCTCGAGGCCAGCAGGAGATATCAAGACTATTATCGGGTTTTGGTAATAGACTACGAGTTGTTGTATCACCATATACGAACAAAACAGTATGCTTCGAATTCTCAGAGATATGTGCTAGCTACACCACGACCTGCCAAGGATGAGCTCTCACACCTACTATTCGTAAGGCTACCCTCTAGCAGTGTCCTAGAGTACAGGAAATGTAGCTGTCGTCCCTTGTAGTACGTCTGCAATTGGGGTAAGTTTATTGAGGTGAGCCCTATTCAGCGATGGAAAGCTTACTAGCATTCTTTTAACTCTTCCGCAATCGATTAAATTTTAGCATAAATTGTTGATGAAGGCGTAAATATTTCTCAATGGGTTTTCCAGAACAAGATAGATGTCTTGTTCCCAGAACAAACCGATGATATCTATACAATTCCAAGATGTGGGTGAGAAATGAGAAGCACGCAAGCGGCGTGCGATTGTACCATCCATTTCATTGCTCTCAAACGTTGATAAGTAATCAGCAAATTGCATTATTTGGTCTGGCAATACCATATATCACTTAGCGCCCTTTTTTTATAAATATCATCTTGTACCATAATGTCACTATTCAGCTTGGTGCTATCACCACTCGCATCCCAACAAGACTTTATACTGACAAGGGCACATTTAGCTTCACACTTGACAAGTCGAATTTCTACTGTAGAGGTTTGAATAGTTCGTGAGGCCTGGCACCAAACCAAACTTATGTCCATTTGTCTTCACGTGCTTTGAAGAGTTCATCTCACATTTCTTAATTATCTAAGAAATTAATTAAACTTTCAAAAGCGACGATAGTGATAATTGTCATCACCCTTCTTGGAACCATAAATCTCACAAGATTGCAAAAGATGTTGAGATCTTTTACTCGCTCTGTACTTTCAAAGCATCGGTACTCTGAAGTACTAGCTGTTAGAAGGTATGCCACTGCTAAAGTCGCATTAGACGTTCCGCTAGAGACACATACAGACCTGCAAAAAGCGCACCAGGATCTTGCAGATGCCAGAGCAAACTCATCAGAAGCCGTAGAAACGGGCACCACAGCGTTGAAGCACGCTTACCAAGAGAATACAGGGTTTGGTACCCGCCCCATTTATCTGGACATGCAGGCCACAACTCCAACCGATCCCCGTGTGCTGGACACGATGCTCAAGTTTTACACTGGCCTGTACGGTAATCCTCACTCCAACACGCACAGCTATGGATGGGAAACCAACAAGGAGGTGGAAACCGCTCGTCAACACATAGCAAACCTTATCAATGCGGATGTCAAAGAAATTATTTTCACTTCGGGAGCCACAGAATCTAACAATGCTGCTTTAAAGGGTGTGGCCAGATTCTACAAGAAAACGAAAAACCACATCATCACTACCAGGACTGAACACAAATGTGTTCTTGAGGCAGCTAGAGCCATGAAAAATGAAGGGTTTGACGTTACTTTTTTAAATGTCAATGAACAGGGGCTCGTAGACCTAAAGGAATTGGAAGCAACAATCAGACCCGAGACCTGCATCGTGTCCATCATGGCTGTTAACAATGAAATCGGTGTCATGCAACCTATGAAGGAAATTGGAGCCATTTGCAAGAAAAAGAAGGTTTTTTTTCACACTGATGGCGCCCAAGCTTACGGTAAGATCCCAATAGATGTAAATGAAATGAATATCGACTTAATGTCGATCTCGTCGCACAAAATCTACGGGCCTAAGGGTATGGGTGCTCTTTATATAAGGAGAAGACCCCGTGTGAGATTAGAACCAATTATTTCCGGTGGTGGCCAAGAGAGAGGTTTGAGATCTGGTACTTTGGCCCCTTCATTGGTCGCCGGGTTTGGCGAAGCCGCTAAACTTATGAAACAAGAGTTCGATGCAGATTCGGCACACATCAAGCGACTATCTGAAAAGCTAACAAACGGACTTTTGGCAATCGAACATACTTCTCTAAATGGGTCTCCTGATCACCGCTACCCTGGGTGCGTCAACATTTCCTTTGCTTATGTCGAAGGCGAGTCTTTACTAATGGCTCTCAGAGATATAGCATTGAGTTCTGGGTCCGCTTGTACTTCCGCGTCTTTAGAACCTTCTTACGTTTTGCATGCTTTAGGCAAAGACGATGCTTTGGCCCACTCTTCGATCAGATTTGGTGTTGGTAGATTTACCACGGAAGAGGAAATTGATTATGTCATCAAAGCCATCACAGAGAGAGTCGAGTTCCTAAGAGAACTCTCACCACTATGGGAAATGGTGAAAGAAGGCATCGATTTGAACTCGATCGAATGGTCTGGGCACTAATCAAATTATAAGCTCTCATCACCAACAACCACTCTCTCATGTATCTACTATTAAGAAGTCATCTCGGAGTCAAATATTAAAGCTTTTTTTCAAATCTTTTTCTTAAATTGTTTTCCGCGACTTATAGTTCATGTTGTTTTCTAACTTGGAATGATTAATTCATCCTTCTGTACAGTCTAGTTTATATAATATTCATTCATCTCATTAACGGCCCACTTTGATGGGTGATGATTATGCTAGAATTTCCTTAACAGCTTTAGCAACGGCGTCACCAACCTCCGTAGTAGAGCTTGTTCCCCTCAAGTCACCAGTTCTGATTCCTGAATCCAAGACTTTTCTAACAGCTTCTTCAACAGCGGCACCTTCTTCGAAAAGGTTCAAGGAGAGTTTCAACATCATGGCCGCTGATAAAATAGTAGCAATTGGGTTGACTTTGCCCTTTGGTAAGTCCGGTGCGGAACCGTGACATGGCTCATACAATCCAAAGGCAGTGTTCGTGTCTGGCAAGGAAGCCAAAGAGGCTGAAGGCAACAGACCCAAAGAACCTGGAATCACGGAAGCTTCGTCAGAGATAATGTCACCGAAGATGTTGTTTGTGATAATTACACCGTTCAATTGAGTAGGGTTCTTGACTAAGATCATGGCAGCTGAATCAATCAGTTGATGTTGTACAGTCAAGGTTGGAAACTCTTCCTTGATGGTTTTTTCAACAGTTTTCCTCCACAATCTGGATGAAGCCAAGACATTAGCCTTGTCTAGAGACCACACTGGCAAAGGAGGGTTATGTTGTAGCGCCAAAAAGGCAGCCATTCTGGTGATTCTTTGCACTTCAGGAACGGTATACTGCTCACTATCCCAGGCCACACCGTCACCGTCATCCTCTTTTCTTTCACCAAAGTAGATACCTCCAACTAATTCTCTGACGACGACAAAGTCAGTACCACGAGCGTGTTCGGCTTTTAAAGGCGATAATTCAAGCAACGACTCGGACGCGAAGTTGCAAGGTCTCAAATTGGCGTACAGTTGCAATTCCTTGCGGATTTTGAGAAGACCTTGCTCTGGTCTGACTTGGCCAGTTCCCCACTTGGGTCCACCAACGGCACCTAGCAACACAGCATCAGACTTTCTAGCAGCCTCCAAAGAAACATCAGGCAAAGGCTCACCAGTGGCATCAATAGCAGCCCCACCGATTAGGTGTTGCTCAAAGTTAAACTTGACATTTGGGCGCGCTTCGGAGATGGCGTTTAGCACTTTAATGGCTTCGTCGGTGATTTCCTGACCAACATGATCACCGGGAAGAACAACAATATTTTTGACGTTAGACATGGCTCGAAATCTGATACTAGATAGACCCTGAAACTACGATTCTGCTATTGACTAGAACGCTCAAAGCGAAAAGATCGAATTTATACCTGTGGCGGTAACAATATGGTACATATTTATATATCGAGTTGTGTAGTGAAAAAAACCTGCCTCGTAGAACGGCGAAAAAATTGGCCGGTACCGGTCAATTTTGGAATCGGTAAGAAAAGTAGTTCGATGCGTGTGAGATAGCTCTAGTTGAGTTTTGAAATCATACTGTCAATGTCTACTTGGACAATTGGAGCAGTAGAAGCGTTGGACACCTTTAGCGCCCGTTTCTGCCACTCTCTTTGTCTAATCTTGTTAAGCTTGCTTAGAGCGCTGAAGCCAGACACTTCGCGGTTGAGGCGGAAAGGCAGTAGGAAGAAGTTACACTTTGCAAAACCTTCACCCAAAGTAGCAATTTCGTGAATAATATCTTCAACACAAATTATGCCTTCGGAGCCGAGTTTATCTTCGACCACGTTGTTGTCGTTGAGAATGGTTTCTTTAGGCTCTTCATCCTGAGATGACGCCAGTAGCACACGACTTCTTTTGTGGATCAGCGAACGAACAGAGGCTAACGAAGGCTGACCAACGACCACGTAGGGTGCCACAAGTTTCAATAGTGGATACACTTGTGGTGACAGACGCACAAAAACACCTGTGTTGACATCCGAGAGTCTGAGCAGGGACAAAACTTTATGAGCCTTTTGTGGGATCTTAGCGGATGTTGGGCCACGGATACGCAGCACGAACAAAAGAGTGGGTTCGCCGTCGTAGACACATTTCTCTGTGAGTAACGAGTCCTCTTCTTCGTCGTTAACGTGCTCCTTTGATGCAGCAATGTCTTCAGCGGTCTTCTCGGTGACTTTGAGAATGAAATCGCGGTCGGAGGCTAGATGTTGCGTTTCCCCCTTAGCGCGCTGCGCTTCTAGCTTTGAAACACGCTTGATGCGCTCTTTTTCACGTTGGGTGGCAAGCGAGGTGGCAACGATAGATTCCGCTCTCTCGAACTTGTTCTTGCGGGCCCGCTTCTGCTTTTGTTGCAGTTCCTTGCGGCTTCTGGCTAGTTCCTGTTTTTCCAAACGAGTTCTGTCAGCGTTTCTGCGCTTGCGCAGAAGAATCTCAGGGTTAGAATTCAGACCTGCAACCATGGCGAATGTTGTGATTGTTTCCTATGTGGTCAAGATCCTAAAAGGTTCTCGAACGGCTAATCGGTAACAAATAGCTCTGTATACCTACTGTCTCTTTTCTTTAAGTTCATATCTCAAAGCTCATCTCTAAGCTCATCGCTAAAATTTTTCAGCGATGAGATGCGATGAGCTACTTTTTCCAAACCATGTGATCTGGAACACACGAGCAGGGAATTCCTAAATAAATCAATAGCTACGACTGAGGGTAGCAGACAGCTGCGCAAGCGATACGGTAGACAGCCAACAACTGCAGCTTATTCAATCAACTGTGATGATTTTTTTTTGGTATATTCTTGTTGACTAGTAACATCTTTTCGTTCCAAAGACGACTAAAAGGTACAAAGTGATAGGGGGACCAGGTTGGCCGGCGATGCCGACTTCCAGCGTCAACGGTTTGTATCCAGATCTGGTACGCCAAAACTATGAACACCTTTTTTCAGATAAATGATTGCTTGTTCGTCTCGAGCCTGACTCAGACAAGAGAATACAGCATTTTCATTGCTCTGCGAAAAACAAGGTATCAGAAAGTCAATCAGCAATGAACTGAATTGTTTTTAATTCTAATTAGCGCAATTTTTGCCCTTCTAGATGGCCATGTTCGTCTCCGCACGGCACATGGTAGATTAGATACTATGAATCCAACATGAACCGGTGGGAAAAAAGGCTAACAGGCTTTTGAACAGCACGCTATCCTTCAAATTAACCTTTAATCAAGATCAGTAATTTCAACAGCTCAAAAAACCCAAGATCTCGCCAGCATTTTCCCTTTACGACAAACATAAACTGGATACCATGAGATAACTTTTGGTCTCTCAACTCGATCGTACTGCTCCAATAGCGTTTTCATTAACGAGTAACTGCACTCTGCCCCGCGCCAGCTATCTGAATATTGACCTAGTAGTCTACCCAATCCGCTACTCGCCCCTTGATTTCTTTTTTCCTCCAAAATTTTTCCACGCATCGCTCGCATTGAACCACGCAAGATGAAATAAAAGCGAAAATCCAATGACAAGGGAATCAAACGATCACGAAAACATCAATTACGAGCTGCAACCTTGGCGCAACAGTATTGTCAAAGAGGCCTCACGATTGTGAATTAGATATCGCGTCAAGTCTGAGGTTTTTGGAACGTGGAATTAAGAACTGGAGAGAGAAAAGCGGTGCATCATTAGACATCTCCAGATCAAATTCAACAGCACTCTGTGTACTGAAGAACCGTTAGTTTTCACGACGGAGAAAAAAAGTGATAAATCAAGTAAATCGGGAGGGAAAGGCGATCGGAGACCACTGCAGCGAGCATAGTTGGAACGAGGATCAAAGGGTTGTGAAGCAGTCGACAACAAACCCAGAGTGTTGAGAATTGATTGTAAACCGGAAGTCACGTGAGACGTCCCTACGTTCACCGCTCTTCTCACCAGACAACATGAGCGGTCACCATCCATCTGATGGCACTGACGAAAAACCACTGCTGCCACTCTTACAGCCATTAGCCGTGAAAAATGTTGTTTCTAGCAGCTCTAGCGGTACGACCAGCACAGTTCCTAGTACTGGCTTGAGCAACAATAGCAGCGCTGACTCCAGCAATGGCGGAAATCCACTGCAGCTGCCGACTCGAGCCGGCTCCGTGCCTCCACTGACCAACACTGCTCATCTACAGCAACAACAGCAACTTCACCACCATCACCAACAGCATCCACATCAGCATCAGCATCACCAAATTCAGCAACAGCAACAGCAGCATCACCTTCAACAACAACATCACGATCAGCAGCAGCAGCAGCTTCACCACCACCATCAACAACAACAACAGCACCATCAACAACAGCAACAGCAACAGCAACAGCATCAACAACAACAACAACAACAACACCAACAACAACAGCAGCAGCTCCAACAACATCTGCAGCAGCAGCAGCAGCAGCAACAACAACAACAACAACAACAACAACAACAACAACAGCAACAGCAGCAGCAACCATACCAACAGGCCCAACAAAGCTTTTTGTCCACCGCCTTCCAGCAACCACAAAGAGCATACGCATCCAATTATGGTTTACCAATGACTGCTGCGGCTGCGGCTGCTAAACAGCAATCAATGCCTCCCTACGGCGCAAGCTACACTCCTCCTCTAGGCCCCGGATATCTACCAAGTCCTATACCACAACCTATCTTGAGCGACAAACCTTTAGAAATGCATCGTGGGTTTCAGCAACAATTTCCAGTTTTCCATGCAACACAACCACATTTCTCATCTCCCATGGAATCAGATAATGCAATGAAGAAACGGCGCTTAATGGAGTACACAGATTTACGTCCTGAGTTAAGTAAAAGTCGCAGTTCTGGGTCAAATGCTAAGAAGAACGGTAACGAGACCATCTTACGAGAACTGGCAGTGAAAAACAAATCAAGACCACTTCCCGAATGTGCCTTGACTGTTAGAGAAGCAGAGATAGCAGTATTGAATATGGACCCATCGACGCACACGAAATCAGAGATTCAAGCTGCAGAACAAGTTCGAGAACGTGAAAGACAAGTATACGCTCTCACATGGCTAATGGCTACTTGTGTTGAAGAGAAGAATAGTTTTGTACCCAGAGGTCGTATTTTTGCACAATATGCCGCTTGCTGTGCTCAGAATAACCTCAAGCCGCTATCCCAGGCTACTTTGGGGAAACTGATAAGGACAATATTTCCTGATCTAACAACGAGACGTTTAGGTATGCGTGGTCAATCAAAGTACCACTATTGTGGTTTGAATCTCATAAATTCAACGAGATCATCGTCCCCAACTTCATCCCTCGGCAATCCGGGTCTGAGCACTGTCAATGGTGTCAACTCGATGGGCGCAGCTTCAGGTGTTAACAATGCTAATAATGTCAACAACTCAAACATACACAACGCTCACAGCTCTGTCACTGTTCAAGCCCGAGATGATGGGTCCATGTATCCTTCCATGTCAGCGACAAGCGTTTCCACATCAAGATCTGCGACCCCACCTGTTTTCCAAGAAAATGAACGAAATGAAACCGACAAATGGCGCGATGCAGCTGGTTGGGATTCGTTGCGAGTGGCAAATGAACTATTTAGCGATGCGTCGATAGTGGATGTTAACGTGTCCTTAGAGATACCCTCGATAAATTCTTATTTGCCACCAAACACTGATATGGACATCGCTGCTTCTCTGGAGTGCATGTACAAGGTGCATTGCAATACCGTTCATGAAAATATAAGCTTTGCAAAATTTGATGCGTTGACTAATACATTGGAATCTTTCAGCTCGGGCTCTATATCACCACAGATGTTCAACCTATTCATTTCCGACATCCTTTACGATTGGGTAAACCAAGCAGATTTGGTGACGCACAGGGTATCAGCGAAATCCTTGACAAAATTCGTAAAAGACTTTGCAACACTTCCTGCGTCAGTATCGGAGAAGCTAATAAATTTTTCTCAATCCTATCCAGACATGATATCCAATGCCAACATTGACTTACCGGTTCCGATGGTCAGAAACAAAGTTCTGATTGCTGGTAAGTTTTCTCGGCTGGTGAAGCGCACGACGCGTGTTATAAGAACTGCGAAAAGTGCGGCGAAAGCTTATAAAACTACCACGTCTCGAGAGGAGATGTACGAAGACTGGAAAAAGTTCATAAATGTCCACGAGGTTTGTCGCTCGGAACTTTATTGTTGTCGAAATGATGAAGCTACGTTGAATGAAATTTCTGGTTTTATCTCCCAGGCAGTCGATGGCTTCTTTGACCGCGATGAGCATTCAATAAGCGAGAACTTTCCAATAGATCTAGCATCCCAAATTTTGACGTTCGTGCTTAAAATTCGGGATCAACCAGTTTCCGTGGTCATTGCCAACGTCAATGTCTTTACCACAGGAGTTATACGGGAATTGAGCATAATGGGATCAGAACACGCCGGCTCTTGGTGGGCGATTAAGACTTTTATAGACGAATGGCTCTATTGGTGCGACGAGGTTGGTAGATTTATGATGTCGTCCATCTAAAGCCAGGAGGTGAGAGTCCACCAAAAATTACGAGCGCGTAGGTAGTCTGGAAATCGATTCATGTTTTCCTTTCCCCGCTAAAACCAAAAAAGTACCTAAGTTTGTGTTTACTGTGGACCACAGTATTCGGCATACTACAGGTTGTACACTAGTTTTGAATTTTTTCTATCTCTGATCTTCAAAAGCATTCTAAACCATTTTCTCAATGGTTGTAATTATATAAACCTCTAACCGTGACATTCGATAATTCTCGAGCCATCTTACATACAGTTTTAAACGTCATTAAGCGCAACACATATAGCGCCCTTGTGGTGCCCACCATACTGTCTAACTATTTCTCTTGTTGACAGGTCCCATAGTCTTACATAGTGGTCTGAGCAAGCTGTAACCAGATATGCGGAATCAGCGCTAAAAGCGCAGTCCCAGACCCACCTCTGGTGACCGTCGAGCGTAGTCTCGAGCTGAAAGTTATCATCAATGGACCAAACGCGAGCCGTGTGATCTGCGGAGCAAGTAGCCAGATGTTTGACGTCTGAGGATAACAGTACTCGCGTTATGTATTTCGCATGAGACCGGAACTTAGTTACTGGCTTCGGCTTTGCAGAGTCGGTCTGATTAGGCATTTGCCACACGTAGCAATTACCCTTGTTGTTGCCCGCTACTAACATGGAGCCGTCACTGGCCACCGAAAGAGATTGCAATGGCGTGTCGTCTTCTGGGGTGAGCTGGTGAACGCACTGGTTTTCGCCCAAATCCCAAATCCGGATGTTTCCATCTTGGTCGCACGAGATAAGCTCACCTTGGTTCGGGTGGATTAAAACCTCGTTAACAGCGGCATGGTGCTTATAGCTTCGTTGTACAGATGGCGCGCGCACGTCCCAAACCTTGATAGTTCCATCCTCGCTGGACGAAACCATCCATTTGTTTTCTTGCTGAAATGCGATAGACGTGACGTTGCCGCGATGGCCTTCGAAAGAAGTAACTGGGTTAGGATTCGTCGTCCGGATATCGTAGAGACGCACGTTGAGATGACCCGCTGCGGCCAGGAAACGCTTATCTGACGAGATTTCGAGCCTGTTGACCTGCGAGTCAGGATGCTGAATAGTTCGGGAGCATACTCCTGTTAGCGCCTCCCAAAAACGAATTGTATGGTCATAGCCAGCAGATGCGAGAATCACGGACATCAGGCAGGCTTGGGGCAGTATATACGGCTGCTACACTAATGTACACAATTGGAGACCAACTACGCAACTTGCAACTAGCTGAATACTGCGAATAATCACCCTAGACCGATGCTCTTGTTTATTGGAGTAAAGGGTCTAAAGTTCCCTCATCTTTGAGAAAGTTTAGAGGCCTTATCATTTCTGTCGTGATAAGTGCTATCAACACTTTTCAAATTCTAGAAAATTCTAGTAACGCGAACCGAACTTGACGATAAGGTATATAAAGAGGCTTCAGGTACCGGAATGTGACAAGGTCTCGAAATATGGTTAGATTTATTTCCTTTCACAACGCTGTCAGAAACAGAACAATAGAGTATAAGAAGAGAGGAGTTCGAAGTTGAACCCTATACACTACAATCTGAAGTTTTTACTCGAGAAACAAATAACATTTTGAGAAACTATATTTCAGTTGATAACTCTACCACTGATTTTACTAAGAAATTGCTGAGCTCTCTATTATTGTAAAGCTGATTACACAATTATACTATGGTGAAAGATACAAAACTTTATGATTTGCTAGGCGTCCAGCCCACGGCAAACGAGACTGAATTAAAGAAAGGGTACCGCAAGGCCGCTTTAAAATACCACCCCGATAAGCCCACGGGAGACGCGGAAAAATTCAAGGAAATCTCCGAAGCATTCGAGATTTTGAACGACTCCAACAAACGTGAAGTCTATGACACGTACGGTCTAGAAGCAGCCAGAAGTGGTGGGCCTGCATTTGGCGGTGCTGGCGGTCCAGGCGGTCCTGGAGGTGGCGCCGGTGGGCACCCAGGAGCTGGCTTTGGCGGTGCACATGCGTTCTCTAACGAAGATGCGTTCAATATTTTCTCGCAATTCTTTGGCGGAGGCGGTGGTCCCTCCGGAGGCGCATCTCCCTTCGGATTCGGAGGTGAAGAATCTTTTGGTGGATTCCCAGGCGGAGGCCAAGGCGGGTTTTCCTCGGGCGGGTTCCCTGGTGGAGCAAGCTTCCGTTCAACTGGAGGAATGCCTGGAGGTGGTATGCCTGGTGGGTTCCAGTCTGGTACGTCGTCTCCACCACCGGAGGAGCCCACAGTCCAGGTTAACCTCCCAGTTAGCCTCGAGGATTTGTTCCAGGGCAAAAAGAAGTCTTTTAAAATTACTCGTAAAGGTCCCGGAGGTAGTTCCGAGAAACAACAGGTTGATGTTCAATTGAAACCTGGCTGGAAAGCAGGCACGAAAATTACTTACAAAAATGAGGGTGATTACAATCCTCGTACGGGCCGTAGACAAACCATGCAGTTCATCCTACAGGAAAAACCACATGAGAACTTAATCAGAGACGGCAACGATTTGATATACTCCTTGCCTTTAACGTTCAAAGAATCGCTACTGGGATTTAATAAGACGATACAAACTATTGATGGAAGGACATTGCCGATATCCAGGGTGCAACCAGTCCAACCCTCCGACGTCTCCAAATATCCAGGTCAAGGTATGCCCATAGCTAAGACACCAAGTCAACGTGGTGACCTGATAGTCAAATACAAAATAGACTACCCAGTATCATTGACCGCATCTCAAAGATCTGCAATCATGGAAAATTTCTGATGAAGATCAACATTGTAAAATAAATACTATATTAACGACTAAGCATGACACCTGCATACCTTGTATTCAAGTCTGTTCTTATTCTTTCAATAGATCTAGAATACTCAAAAGCAAGTCCAGATGAGGCTGACGGAACCTATCAGTTTCCAAAGTGGTATTACCATTAGAATTACAATATACAGTGATGATTTTATACATATTTAAAATAGAAAAGTTTAAATGCAACTGGGATTGAATGTAACCTTATTTCTTCGACTTCTTCTTTTTCTTCTCAGAAGATTCATCGCCGTCGGCCTTTCTCTTCTTTTCCTTCTTTTCCTTCTTCTCCTTCTTCTCCTTCTTGTCTTTCTTATCCTTCTTTTCTTTCTTCTCTTTCTTCTCGGATTTGTCTTCCTCATCGTCGTCGGCCTCGTTCACAATAGATTCGACTTTGACTTCTTTGACTTCTTCCACAGGTGTAGATTCGGAAGTAACGACCGTAGTAGTTTCAGTAACCGTAGAAGAAGCAGGTGCTGATGGTTCGGTCTCTAGAGATACGTAGCTCTTTTTCCATTCCTCAGGAGTTTCCTCGTTAGCTCTGCCATACTTGTCTAGCTTGCCGTCGGCCTTCATTTGCTTTTTCTTTTGAGCGACGGGTCCTAGGCCCCATCTTCTTGGGTATAGGTCTCTCTCCATGATGCAACGTTTGACCTTGGCTACGACACCGTGGTCACAAGTTGCCAAGTCGACAGTGGACATTTGGGCAATGGCGATTGCAATTGCTTCACCCTTGGTAGTCATCAAGACAACTTCGTCGTAGAGCTCAATGCCTTCTTCGTAACGAAGTAAACCGGGAATCATCAATTTAGCACCGTAACAAACAGCATTGACAGCAGAATCCTTAACCACGATTCTCTTGTAGCCGACCAACAAGGTTTCCAAAGGCTTGATAATCTTTCTGAGATATGTCTCGTCTCTGGTGTTGTCGTAGACCCACTGAGCGTCCATAACGTCATGTAGAGTGACGAGTTCGTCGTTTTCGGACATGGCACCAGATCTCACACGACGTAGTTCTTGCATGTGGCCACCGACTCCAAGCAACATACCCAAGTGAACACACAAGGTACGCATGTAAGTACCGGCCTCACAAGAGGCCCAGAACACACCGAGGTTTCTCTTAGTGTCAAATTCGATCAATTTGGAGTCGTAGATGGTACGCACACGCAACTGACGCTTGACAGCGGAAATCAATGGTGGTCTTTGAAACAAAGCACCTGTTAAGTTTTCGAGCCCTCTACCAAGCTCTTTGTCATCCTTTAGGGCATCGTGAAGTCTAACAATACACACGTACTCTTTACCAGCACCTTGCTGAGACTTAACAAGCCTGGTGGCTCTGTCTACACAAACAATTAGACACCCAGTAACTTTAGGATCTAGAGTACCGGAGTGGCCAGTTTTTTCACAACGTAGAATTCTTTTGATCCATGCCACGACTTCGTGCGAAGATGGGTTCGATGGTTTGTCCAAGTTGATCACACCAGAGCTCACGTACGACTTCAAGTCTCTCTTGTGAGGTGAAGAACCGTTAGGAATAGGCGTGTAGTGTCCGCTTCTAACCAAAAGCTTGTCGTAGTTTTTCAACAACAATGGCCACTCGCTGGCGTCCGTGGTGGGGGCCACATTCTCAGGCTTGATCATATACTCGTCAGACATTGCGAAGAACCCGTAATTGCCAATTTAAAACGTCAGATCAATTCTCTTTCAAGCCCACTGATGAGATGAAGTTATGTTTAATCCTTGATGTTCAAAAGCTCATCGTCTCATCGGAAAATTTTTTTCTGCGATGCTGGTGAAAAAGAAAATACGAGCAGCACGTGTTGATAGTGTGATGAAACGATAGATGATTGAAGCGGCTCATCAGCATGCCATTGAAAGTTCGGAAAGCTTGCTTGCAGACATTTTAGAATTCATCCAACACTTTGGTGTATCATTCTGTAATTGTACCACGCTATTTGACAATTCTGGCTTGGCACCTGGAACTTTGGCGCTGCATTGAGCGATGAGCAGAGTTCAAGGCATTTGACGCTGTAGTATATATTATTCTGGCAAATGGCCAGATATAAGCTCGACGCTCACATGCGAGCTTTCTCCACAATTTTGTTCATATGAGCACGAATCAAAAACTGATCTCTGCCCAAGGTTCGCACTTTTCGCATGAACATGTCTAGCGAGATGGTGCTTTGGCCCAGCATTCGACTCAAAGCATGTACTGTATCAGTTATAGCATGGTCTCGTGCAACCAGTTGCCTCAACTGCTGAACGCCGGCGGCATCCGGTGCAAGCATTGACTGCAAGTCGACTTCGGGACCATGGTCTTGAACGTACTGTTGTGCTTTATTTAACTGTGCGTTAATTTGATCTAGACCACTTGTAAGAGAATCATGCCTTTTCCTCAAAGCTTGCTCTTTTTGTTCCACAAGTGCCCGTTCATGGTCACATATACTCCGAAATTGTGTCGTAGCATTTTGAATAGCATACATTCTCGTTCGCAACGTTTCTTGAACCTCTTTATGGTCTTGTTCGGTTAGTAATACAACAACACTGCGCAGCGTCTCGAGAGCACCGGTGTACGATGAGTTTTGTGAACTTTCGGCATCCATGTCCATAAGGTTTGGTTGTGCTACCGGTTTCGGAGAGCCTTGGCGTTGGAATATCGTGGGTGAAGGGTCTTCCGGAGCGGCTTCAGAGACGAACGAAGGCTGTCTTTGTTCAAAATGGGGCGGTTTAGGAGGAAGAGCAGGAGCAGGAGCAGGAGCAGGAGCAGGAGCCTCTAAATTCGTATTACTAACATCGGATGCCTCCTCGTCTATCACTTCTGACAGATTCTTTGGCGGTAGGGCTGGCGCTTCCAATTTGAGACGTTCGGGAAGGGGAGGACTCCGTGTGCTAGTAATCTCCACCATTAAGGGCGGATTTTGCATTACTACATATGACAACTCATACACCAGGTCTCGCAAATTGCAGGATTCGGGGCTCCAACGGGAGATGATGGGCAAGAAAAAGACACCATTGGGATCTACAGCCTCCCCAGAAACCTTAACTTCTTTATCTTTGAGTGCCGCAAGATCCAAGTAAGCGTAGGGCGCCAAAATTGGGTACTCTATCGGAATCCATATCAATACAGGAATGGAGATCTTCACGCTTTCAATTTGTCCATATAAACACAACAACAGCTGTGGCTTGCCTTGGAAATCTGTATAGGTTTTAGTTCTCGGCCTCAAATTCCTGAACTCGCTCAGCGTGTATAATACATCCCTAAATGTTGTCCTGCCATCATAATACTAATCGCTAAGTTAGTAAGTTTCGAAAGCTATCAAGACCCAAAAAACAACCACTATCATCTCACATACGGGCTGTGTAACTTTAAACAGCCAATCTACCACTGCAGGTGGCACATTGAGCGACTCCATTAGATTTTCGTCTATCTCAGGGTTGGGTGATCTTTGAAATTATTTCGTAGCTTGAGAAACGAAAGGGATTAAAAAATGTATATCAACCTAACTCACCATCAACCTTAAAATTGACAAGAATAAGATCTTTGAAACATCGATGAGCTCGTATGTGAGATGTGCAGATTCGCTGCCGCGTCTTAGGCATCTGATTCTATATCATACTAACTCATTCACCCTCTAGCTATACCGTTCTTGTAGCATTTTTCGCCGTTGCATTAGCCAGTGTGATATTTTGGTTCGTGGCTCCCAAAGAAAACCGAACGTATGTTTTATGAGTTTACAGTAGCGTTCACGAAGCGCGCATGCTTGCAAATACCAAAAGGAACCTACTAACAAGAATTATTAGCGTCTGGAGAAGTACGGTTATTTTGTCGATGGCCATGATGTTTTTGATGTGGGCTTTCACCTACCTTGCGCAGTTACACCCATTGGTAGCACCACGTCGGTCTGATTTGAGACCTGAGTTCGCTGAATGAATCTAGCGAGAGAAACCTTACAAGGCCCTAGGTAAGACGTATATAAGTAATAGAAATGCAGGACAAGGATTCGATCGATGAAAAAATGTTAATACTGAAAGGAGCTTCATCTGACTCCAATGCCAGAAGGCAATATGACCTTCAACGTACGGAGTTGGGCTAAATTGAAAGAACGGAATGCGCTCAAGGGTAGGAACTAGCCTTCCAAAAGACCGAAAAATAGTCATGGGAAACCGTCCGCTAGAGACACGATTGGAAAAGAGTCAGCAGACTGCCCGAGTTGACATGAAAATTTGATGTGCAAAAAGATCTCCGCGACGGGGAATTGAACCCCGGTCCCGGGCGCGACAAGCCCGAATTCTAGCCACTAAACTATCGCGGATATTTGTTGTTACTTGAAAGAAAAAGATACATCTGAGGCCGAAGACTGTGCACCCCGAAATATTTTGGCGGTGCCTGCTCGTCCCTGCGTTAGTCTCTGATTCCGCACGCGATTTCGTCGTCTCAGTTAGTATATATAGTCATAATTACGCTAAATTCATAGCTTACCAGCACGCCTTGAAGGCACTACTAAGACGCCGTTCCACAGCATCAATGAACTCTTCAGTAGTAACGTAGCTGCTGCGATCTGTTTTGCCCAACATAAGCGCCAAATCCTTAGTCATAATGTTATCTTCCTGCACTGTGTCAATCGTAGCCTTTTCTACTACCTCCGCGAATTTCACCACGGCTGGGCTTTCGTCCAGCTTTCCTCTCTGCATGATGCCTCTGGTCCACGCAAAAATAGATGCAATTGAGTTGGTAGAAGTCTCTTTGCCCGCTTGATGAAGTCGATAGTGTCTCGTTACAGTTCCGTGTGCTGCTTCACTCTCGAAACTCTTGCCATCAGGTGTGACAAGCACCGAAGTCATAAGCCCTAATGAGCCAAACCCTTGAGCCACAATATCAGATTGGACATCGCCATCATAGTTTTTCATGGCGATAATGAAACCGCCGGTAGATTTAAGCATTTGGGCCACCATGTCATCAATGAGACGATGCTCATACCAGATACCGAGCTCCTTGAACTTAGATTCGTAATCTCTAGCATACATGCTCTCAAAAATATCTTTGAACTTTCCGTCATACTTCTTCAATATCGTATTCTTGGTTGTGGAGTAGAGCGGCATTTTGCGATGCAAAGCCAATTCGAAACTTGCCCGGGCGAATCCTTCGATGGATTCTGTGGTGTTGTACATGGCCAAAGCCACTCCCCCAGCCGCTGGGAAATTAAAAACACTCAAATCAAGGTCGTGCTCACCATCCTTGGACTTGAAAACGAGCTTGAGTTCGCCCTCGCCCGGAATCACCGCATCTGTAGCCTTGTATTGGTCTCCAAAAGCGTGCCTGCCGATCACAATCGGCTGTGTCCATTTGGAGACCAGTCGAGGGATTTTAGGGATGATGATGGGCTCGCGGAACACAGTTCCGCCCAATATGTTCCTGATTGTTCCGTTGGGCGATTTCCACATCTGTTTTAGCTTGAACTCTTCCACGCGTGCCTCATCCGGAGTGATAGTAGCGCATTTCACCGCCACGCCAAATTTTTGAGTCGCAATGGCCGAATCTACAGTAACTTGATCGTTCGTAGCGTCGCGATTCTCGATCGAAAGATCATAGTACCGCAAATCTATGTCCAAGAAGGGCAGAATTAGTTTCTCCCGAATCAAATGCCATATGATCCTTGTTTGTTCGTCACCGTCCATTTCCACAATGGGAGTCTTTACCCGAATTTTGACCATTTCTAGGGCGCTTTCTTATTTCGATTTGACTACTCTGCTATCCTCGTCTGCCTAGCGATCGATTAGTAGGGCAGCTTACTTGAAGTATCATCATAACAATCGAACTGGCACTCTTGCATCCTCTTTATATAGTTTCACGTCGCATTTATCATAAATAAGGGCTCCACTTTCTAGCACCAGCTTTAGCGTTCGGGACAGAAGGGTTAATGGGGGCCGTGTTGTATAAAAGACGGACAATCAAAAGACTTTAAGTAGCGACATCAAATAAAAAAATGATGGAAGCTGTCATCTCAATAAGACAAGTGTATAGGACTTGGAAGAGCTCAGTGGGGCATATCGCCTCAGTCTAAGTAAGATAGTTGCTCACTAAAGAGTAGCTGGATTTCAGGATGCCCCCCCATGTCTTCTTTTTCAAATACTGTGGTCGGATAGTTGCATCAATTGGTTGCGGACTCTCAGCTTTCGCTATCAGCGAGGGCTTCGATCCCTCTCATAGTTTGTGGTTCCTTGATTGATGGATAGCTTGGAGAATTGAGAAGTGCAAGAATCGTGAAATTAAGGATTCTACAGGAAAGCAACAACTCTACACTCCCATGTCACGGTTGCCAAATTCATTAGACTTGTAATGCTTGTTTTGACGGTATCTAGCTTTCAGGACAGTCTACCACGCTTTTAGATCAGTCGTAAGTTTCGATACCGTGCGCAACAACGCTACAAACACAGCACAGAGCGTTCTCTTTATCAATAAAAAACGGGTTCGCTCAGTTTAACAATACGTAGACTTTACTTACAGCTCAGTTTTGCATCAATTCACTGACGGTCTTCTTGCCAGCCAAAACGTCCTTCATGCTACCGAGGATATCCTCGAAGGTGTCAAACTCGTGGAATGGAACGTTTTGACGCTTGCAGTAGGTTACGAGATCCTTACCTCTTTTGGCAAACAACAAGTCGCACTCCTTGGCGGCACTCAAGTCCGAGACACCATCGCCACAGTAGAAGTAGGTAGGTTTCTTGCCTGCAGCTTCGAATTTCTTCTTGTAAGCAGTAATACTCTTGGACTTGTCGTGGCCGAAGGGAGAGTCGTCCTTGTATACAATTCTCCACTGCTCATCGTCGTCAATCTCAACCTCGTTAGAGACAATCTCGATCTTCTTGATGGCATCTGGCCCCACGAGACGGGTCAATAAAGCCTTGATTAGAGGTTTCATTCCGCTAGAGATAACAACAATGGGAACGTCATTCTCCTGGGCCCATTCGAAAGTGTCCTTGAAACCTGGGTCCAATTTGATGTTTTCCTCCACAAGCTTCACACACTCGGGAAATGGCGTCTTAATCGACTCCAACATAGCCCAGAATCCGTCTCTGAACGTCTTAGAGCCGTCTAGCACGCCCTCGAACACCTTCTCCCTCTGTTCCTTACCGAATCCCTTGACATCTGTCAAGAAATCGTTGGAGTCTTGCCACGTCACAGTTCCGTCGAAATCCGTAAAGATGACTGCCTTAACCATTTTTGTGTGTATTTAAAATTATCTGTTTCTAAGCTCGTAAACTTAAACTTGTTGTGATTGATCCTTAATCAATTCACTGTATCTTTTGTCGTTTCCTAACAATACGATAAATCTGTACCTTAACGTTAAGTTTTCTTTCTAGCAAACTGAAACAACGAAATATCATCTGCCATATTTTCCATCAATATATATAGCTGAAATTCTCAAAATCCTCCAGCACCAAGTGCCAAAGAGTAATTACACACACTAGCAACTTAATATAATTGCTAGCAGGTGATTAGCAACCCCGTGAGCGCGGAAATCTACAAAGAAGAGCAATTGCGCGAACAATCTCTGCCTACCAGAAGCGGGAATTGAAACTTGCAAGGGTATCGCGGAAGAGCTTGCATCAGAGCGTTGTGAACAGCTCTTGGTTTCAGAGTTTTGTCTGAACAACATATAGAATCCCTCGAAGAACGGTTACTAGTGCCACATATTTTGTTGGCTAACGCTAGGCGTATCGACGAGCTGGACAGAAGAAACCCTAACCGCGAGTCATTGGTTAAAGACCACACACAGAGAAAGAAGCTCCTACTCTCGACCAACGCGCGGCTGAATTAACAAGCACCGGATGAACTTGGTGGTGCTGTCAGGTGGCACGGCAGCCAATGCCTTGCTCCCAGCGTTTGAACAGCTGTCAAATGAACTTTCGTTCATGCTTCCTATTTCTGATAACGGGGGATCCACCAGCGAGATACTTAGAGTCGTGGGTGGACCAGCCATCGGGGACATACGTTCTAGAATTGTTCGGCTGATCAAGGACGATAAACTATCGTCCCTCCTCGGGTATCGGCTCCCAAACGAAAAGTCTAGAGCCAAGCAGGAGTGGAATGAAATAGTTGATGGCACTCACTGTATGTGGGACGGGTTCGCCAGCGAGGTGAAAGAGATATGCAGGTCTTTTCTGATTCATACTCAAGCCGAGCTTTTGAAAAAGCATAAAAGCTCGGCTCCTTTCCAATTTGAGAAAGCCAGCATTGGGAATCTGTTTCTCACAGGTGTGCGGCTTTTCTTGGGCTCACTGGATGCTTCCATCGAACTCACGCTGCGAGTATGTCGATGTGACGAGCGTATCAGTATCATACCATGCATTAACACAAACCACACGCATCACATATCTGCGCTTTTGCAAAATGGTGATGTTATTACTGGCCAGTCTCAAATTTCGCATCCTTCCAAACAGAGAGTTAAAAATGTACGCTGTAGCCAAAACAGCAAACCTTCCTTACATGCTGCAAATATGAGCACCGAGTCCTTAGTAGGTCCCGATGCATCTGTACATTTGAAAGAACAGGACAATTTCGAAAGCTCTCCCGAAGACGAAGGTTATCAGGGCTACGGTGATGATGAAGAGGAAGACGACGAGGAAGAATACGCATACCCGGGGTACATACACCCGGAATTAAAGCTTTCGCAATTGCATTTCGATAAACTTGACATAAACGAGGACCAGTTGCTACCCGCTCCTATTAAGCGGGTGTTTTACATCAATCCTTATGGAGAAGAAGTACTTCCTCAAGGCAATAACAGGGCCGTCAATAAATTAAGAAGCAGTGATATGATTATATACTCGGTCGGCTCATTGATGACTAGCCTCTTGCCGATAATCATTCTCGGCAACATAGCTGAAACGATAGTCGAGAATGAACAGGCTAGAAAAGTACTACTGGTCAATAACAAGTACGACCGTGAAACATTTGCTATGAACGGGGTGCATTTTGTTCAATTGATTGTAGAGTCGATGAATCGAGCTGTGCACAACTACAAGCGCAAGAAAAAGAGTCAGAAGTCCGAAAGTGCTGGAGCAAATACTATTGTCTGGAACAAATTTGTGACCGATGTCGTCTACCTCAAAAAAGGCGAGATCCCCGTAGACACAAACACCCTAAATATCTTGGGCATTCGTACGTACGCTATTGACTCAGATTGCTTTGAGGTGGAAACTCTAGCAAAAGTTTTGAATTCTCTAAAGGCGTGAATCTAAATTAATTTTCTTGTTGAGCAGGACTCATACAGCCTATATACCGTTTTTAAACCTCGATGGGATATTCTCCACCTTAATCAATGCTTCAAGCTCATCGTCCGTGATAACAGTCATCCTTGTCGCACCTCTTTGTGCTTCTTCTTCGTGTTCGATTTTGTGCTCATGGTGTAGCAAATCATGCTCAATATCTTCTTTGTGAACATTTTTGACATCTGGGTCCTGATCTTTGTGGTACTTGTTCCAATGATGTAGTTCATATTCCAGCTCAAAATCGGAATGATGGCCCACTCCAACGCCGAGGTCTGGCATTTTATTACCTTTCTTAGCGTAGCTCAGAAACTCTTTTTTCTCGATTTTGCTGTCGTCATCGACATCTAAAAGCTTCATGATAACGCGAAATACTCTGTCAGAGGTTTCTTCGTCAATTTGCTCCGAGTTGTCGTGCTTTCCCATTCCGTCACCGCTTCCAACAACTTCACCACGGCTTAATCCATACATGGTCAGTATGTCTTCTTTGTCGAAATAACCCTTACCACCAATATCGTGCAGTATAAAGAACGTTTCTGCGTCGTACTTTTCCGCTTGGTGCTCATGTTGCATATGCCATTCTTCCCAGGATAACCCAGCTGGCTTTTTCTCTACTTCCTCGTTGATTTCAGAACCATCTTTGCGTGCTGGAATTGCAAAAGCACTGGCTACAAGAGCACTCAGAAACACAACATTTAGCTTCATACTGGTTGTTCGGCCGCTCTACAGAATTTTAGTGAACTTTGGATCGAAATATTTAAAGGTACTAAACTTCATTCTTGACTGACAATTAAAACGAGGAAAGTCACGAGACTTACAGTTTAATTCAATTATAGCAGTATTTGTCGAAGCATACTTCGCAGAAAAATGGTAACCTGACCTCTTGAGCAAGTATTTGAGCACGGTCGTAAGACCTCTTGATAATAATACAAGCAAGGCACCTTTTATACTTTGGGCTAGAGTCAAGGCTGAAAATATCTTTTCCGTTCTGTAGCATTTGCTGAACTTCGTAGCCCGTGTACTTGAGCTTGAACGTGGATACGTTGGAAGAGAATGAGTGATTAGCATTCGCATGGTACACTAATATTGGTGGCAGTTGGACTGCGGTCAAGTTTGCATTCTCCTCAAGTTTTACGTTTGGAAAACTTGATAGATGACAACCAAATGCCACAGGCCTCGAGAGTAAACCCTGTTCTACAAAGTCTTCGCTGGGCGGAATATAAGGCATGTCCTGATAAGGTGCATTTTGAGCCGAAGAACCAATATTAACGTCGTCCTCGCTGATATAATTGTCACGGTAAAAATTTCGCAACATTGTGCCATTGGGGAAACTGTCAATGTCAGAGCTGGAGTCTAATGCAAATATGACATCAAGTTGTCTTTCAGGTATGAGAAGTGGACCAATTGGAATGTTTTGTCCATCTTCACCACCATCTACCAAATACAAGCGGGACTCTTGCGCAAGAAGGTCTGTGACTCCAGGATATTGAAAAAATGGGTTAGGATGGTAAATGGCATATTCTGGTCGAGCATTTTGTTCTATTGTTCCGGTCTCAAGTTCTTTGCTTTTTTCGAAAGCTAGGCTAAAAGTGCTCAAGATAGCGCCGACCGCTTTGCGGGTATTTAGCGATGGTGCGATCAGCTGCCAGACACACATTAAAACGTTATTGAAAATTGATGACGACGTTGCCGTAATAAAACTGACTTCGTCGAACCCTGTAAAGCATTTCGATGGTTTTCCTGCAGCCATGTGCGATCCTAAGTATTTTAAGCGCATAAACAACCTTAAATTCGTCCAAGAACCAAATTCAAACGGCGTGAATTCAAAGACTGCGTTACGCAAATTTCCGTTTTTGCAGTTCGCAACAAATATTGGCAACGGGGTTTCGAAGTTGTGAAATCTAGGGCTATTGTCAAGGAAACTAGAAATGGAGCTCTGTTGTATTGATGGCGCAATTCCATCTGCGAGTGCGTGCCCCCAATAGTCGGTAAAAGAAAGTGAGAAACCACTTAATTTCTTAGCTTTTACCTTCAAGTGAAGATCTATATAGAATTGCAAAATCTGGCGGAACTCGTTAGAGGTCCTCATGATTTTCCCAATCTCACTGCTGATTTTGTCGTCTGAGTTGAACACTTTCATCAAGGTTTGCTTCATGCTGCTGAACGTATCCGAACTTCTCTTCTTTTTAAACACACATCGTTGAGATTGCATTAACTCCTCCAGCCTCATCTGAAAGTCCTCGAATGGCGCCACTAATGACCTTGGTGGTTCAAAGCTTCTTGTCCAAAGCTTTGATGCTTGTGATAATTTCTGATAAAACCAGTCATCGGCACTAAATAACTCATCCAGATCGTCAGACTCGAGCATAGTGACCACACTGCTCTCTGATATATCCATGTCGGGGACCCCCTTTAATAAGCTTTCGGTTAGGTCCCACTCGTGAAAGGTCTCGAACCTAAAATTATTAAGAATCAACTTAGCTAATATCCAACTTCCTCCTGATGTACCAGTGACATAGTTGAGACAATCAACCAAACCGTACTTTTCCATTTCCAAAAGAAAACCCGAACCTGTCAACATGGACCTGTAACCACCACCAGAAACAGCCAATCCCATATTAATAGAACCCCGCGACAGTAAAAGTAGTTCCTCAATATCTGATGATCGTGCATTTAAGGAATTAATAAAGACTTCAAGCCGGCCCTTCATCATCTGTTGTCGGCCCTCAATGAACTGCTTTTCTTCTTGGCACAAACATGACTGAGTGAGGTGTTAGTACGGCTTCTGTAACCCTATTCATAAGAGGGTTTTCGGCAGAATCTCTTACCTTTGCTTCCCTAATTAGTGCGCTGTCCGGGCATTCAACCTCAATAAAACTGGAACCAGGGCTGGTAGAGGCTCTTGCTATAGCGCACAGCCCATGTAATATGTAGCCGTGGAAAAAAGGCACACTAATACGCATCACTGATGACAGTTTTTCACCAATAGTGCTTGATATTTAAGCGCCGAGCTACAAACAAAATTGTTTCGAGCATAAAAAATTTAATCGAAGCCACTTAAAAAATAAAAAGACAGCTTGAGAGTTTACAATCTCTATTACTTAAGTGTATACACCAAACTAGAATACATGTAAGAGAAGAAAGCCCAATTGTAGTGAGCTAACTAATATGAGGAAGATATAACATCCTTTGTCCTACGTTAAATCAATGAAGAAATGAAAGAAAAGTATTAAATACAGTTTATCATTCTTTAGTATTCTTCATCGGAAGATTCGTAAGCATCACCCAACTCCTTCTTCTTCTTCATTCTCTCCTTCTTCTTCTTTCTTAGTTCAGCGGACGACAACTTCTTCTTCTTAGTACCAGAGCTGATTTTGTTACCCATGGCATCGAATTTGTCACCTTCGTCTTCCTTCTTCTCTAGTCTTGGACCAGCACCTTGGCCAGCAACCCAGTTGTGGCCGGATGGAACCATGACACCGTTGTTAACAGCCCACACTTCTTCAGTCAAGTTCTTGGTGAACTCAGCAGAGTGAGTAATGATAATAACACCACCTTCGAAAGCCTTCAAAGCCTTGGACAAAGCACCCAAAGAGTCTCTGTCCAAATAGTTGGTAGGCTCATCCAAGACGATCAAGTGAGGTCTTTGCCACGAACAGGCAGCCAAGACTAACTTAACCTTTTGACCACCAGACAAACCTCTGATTCTAGAGTGAGACACCAATTCGGCGTCTAGACCCAACATAGCGCAATGCTCTTCAATCTCCTTTCTGGTCAAAGGACGGAATTGACCGGAAGCCAAAGCTTCCTTCATGTCGACTTCAGCAACCATCTTGGAGTGAGATTCGACCAATTCACCTCTTGGGATCCAGGCGTTGTCGACAGACATCATAGGAACCCATCTTTCAGATTTCATTCCGATGTTTTCTCCCAACAAGAAAGAACATTCGTACTCGTAAGTGTTCTTGAACTTTCTTCTAGCGTGGATACCGGCAATTCTTCTTGGAGTACCTTCGATCTTGAAGATCTTGTTCATGGCTTCGGCATCGTCTTCGTTGATTTGTCTGTTAGCTCTGTCCATGGTTTCTCTATCTTCACCAGTTTGGAATCTCCATTGGATGTACTCAGATGGAGTCTTGTCCAAATGAGACTCAATATGAGCAAAAGCGTGCTGCTTAATGTAAGCAATACGACAATTCTCGTGAGTGTAGACTTCACCGATGGTTGGCAATAGTTCACCAGTCAAAACATTGATCAAAGTGGACTTACCGGCACCGTTAGGACCAATGACAGCAATTCTAGAGGACAAAGAACATTGGAAAGAGATGTCAGAAATTTGAGGCTTGGTAGTGCCTGGGTATTGGAAAGTCATGTTGGAGACCTTGACAATAGCCTTTTGCTTGGTCTTAACACCTTCCAAGAAACCAGGTTCTGGGAATCTGAATTCCAAGTCGGAGGCACCCAACTCGTAGTAAGATTGAGCGGTTGGGCATTTCTTGACAAACTCGGACATGTTACCCTTGTACTTTCTTAGCTTCAAACCTTCGTAGTGAATAATGTATTGAGTGACGCTGTCCAAGAAACCGGAGTCGTGAGAAACAATGATGGAAGTAATTCCACATGTGTTCAAGTAGTTGACCAACCAGGCAACGTTGACAGTGTCCAAATGGTTAGTTGGTTCATCCAACAACAAGATGTCGGCGTTCTTCAACACAGCTCTGGCCAAAGCCAGTTTCATCTTCCAACCACCAGACAATGAGGAGATAGGCATGTTAATCATATCGTCGGAGAAGCCGAATTCAACTAGCTTAGCGTAGATAGCCTCCTTGGTACCGACGTCACCAGCGAAAACGAAATCAACGACTGAGGTGTCGGCGTGAGTACCATCAATGTCGTGCTCGACGTAGACGGTTCTACATTCGTCTTGGGTTGGGAAACCATCAACTTGACCGTTGGCGATAGCTCTCATCAAGGTAGATTTACCAGCACCGTTAGGACCACACAAACCATATCTTCTGGCTCTCTTCAATCTCAATTGAGTCTTGTTCAACAAGATCTTGGCACCGTAAGCCAAAGAGAACTCACAGTTACATAGATCCTCACCTTCATCTTCTTCGTCGTCAAAGTTTGGACCGACTGGGATGTTGTCGACGGCCAACTTTCTGAAGTCGTCAATGATTTCCTTGGCTTGTCTTTCGTGCAAGAAAACGGTGGCGTAAGGCAAGACGTGAGTGAACCAAGCTTGTTGGTCGATGATTCTTTCGTCGATCAAGTCAGCGGCAATACCGGCAACGTATTGAACAACGTGTTCGAATCTGGCCTCAGGCTTGCTGTCCTTTAGCAAACCGTCCAAAACACCTCTGGTAGTAGAGATGTCACCGGCGTGGGAAACTTCTGGCAAGGTGTCGTCTTCGGCAACGTTACCAACTCTTCTCAAAGTCTTCAAAGCTCTCAAAGTAACTTCACGGGCTTCAGGGTCAGCGATAGTGGCGAAGTTGTTCTTCAAACCTGGCAACAATTTGCTCAAGAAAGGAGCAACAACCTGTGGGTCTTCGACAAGCTTACACATGTTATCGATGATGACAGCAGCCTTACGCTTGATGGAGGTTTCTCTTTCGGCAAGACCTCTGGCCAACAATGGCACCATAATGGACAAAGTGGCTGGAGTGACTTCGGCAACGAAAGTGGTGGCACCCAACAAGTGGACGGTTTCTGGAACGTCGTTAGGGTTGGCAATACATTCAATCAACTTTGGAATGAAACGCTCAATATCCTTGTTTTCGACAGTTTCAGTGGCCTTGGTGATGGTAGCGGTGGCAGCATCCTTGACCTCTTTCTTGGTGTCCCACATAGCTTCAGACAACACTGGGATCAACTCAGGCATTCTTAGGGCAACCTGGGTCTTAGCAGCGTCGACCAAAACGGAGATGGCGGCCAAGATGGACACCTTCTCCTGCCATTTGTTGCTCTCAGAAAGACGAGAGTTCAAGTGAGGAAGCAAGATCTTGACGGCGACTGGGTTGATAGCCTTAACGATGGCAATCAAGGTAGAAGCAGCCAGCTGCTGGGTGTCTTTGTCCTTGTCGGCGGACTTAGCACAAACCTCTGGCACCAAACGCACGACACTGGCCTCGATGGCTGGAGACAAGTTAGACTCGCTAGCAACACGTAGAATGGCTTCCAAGGCGTTGGCGGCGGTTTTCTTGTTGTTCAACGCCTTGGAGATCGCAGCGAAGAACTGTTCTGGCACATCATGCTCGATGATGTTACCGTTCACGAACGACGAGATCTCAGTAGCATACGCCTCTCTGGTCTCTGGGGTAGCGACCGAAAGCTTCTCAAAAAGCTCTTTAAGAACCTTGACAGATTGTTCCGAATCAGACATCTGCAATAGAGGATCGCTGAATGAGATTTCTGAACAAAATCGAATCGAGAGAATCTTCAAAAGTGTGAAACTTGTTGCTACAATTTCTGCTTTCTTAAATATAACCGGAACTTTGAAAAAAATTTTACATGCGATGAGATGAGCTTCTGAAAAATTTTCACATTTCAAAAGCGACCACTAGTTAGTTAGTAGTACGCTAATGTCCTTAGTCGCACGCCAACAGCTCACAAGTTTTCTTTTTGAAAGGTTCTCGTGGACAGCACGAGTTTTCATTGGAAAAGGAACGGCTCGTTGGTGTCAAAGGTAGACTGAAGTGATGTGGAGTGTTGTTGGTTCGAGATCGAAGAGTTGAATAGAGATCGTTGGCGCCTTTGAGAGCAGCCAAGTGATTGAAGAGCTGTGAGTTTTCGGCAGAAACGTGATAGCGGCCACAGTTCACGGTAGTCTTGATTTGAAAATAAAGTAGTTTTTCGGAGCTGGAGCAGCTGCTGGATTTTACTTACAGCTGTTTATGTCTTCTGAGCTTTACGCTTTTGTAATGGTATACCTGCCGATCTTGCAACCTCTTCTTTCGTAAGCATTCGACTTCGCCTTTGTGCTACTTCACCAGCAGATTATGCGGCTTATACTTTCATCAACGTCTAGCACCTACAGATTTTAGCCTTACTTACGGTATGAGATATTCGAGTCTCCCAAGTCGGTAAGCATTACGCTTAAACTCGACCGGATTCTTCTTAATTACGAGTGACGTCGAATTTCGAAAATTATAGTATTTATAACGTTTATGCTAAGAGATTGAAATTGCGTCTATATCAAACCAAGTTTTGGCGTAAATTTCAATACGTTTTCTACTATCGAGCGCTGGTTTTTCCTTCTAATCCAGCGGACGTTTTGCAAAAAACAAATACGGCCAATCAACTAAGAGGTTTGAGTTGAGAAAGGAAATGACAATAGTGCGCCGGAAAAGTAATATCAAATTAAAACCTTTTTCTTAAAAGGATAGCGAGTGGACAAAATGACAGTAAAATTCTTATCTTAGAGTTGGGCTTGGTACGTGGGAATCATTCGTTTTTCATTTTACACGCGTAGCCCAGTTGTGAAAGGTGGATCCACTGACCAGTCAGGAACCTTCAATTCGGGGGGGACACGCTTAGCGGTAGTTGAAAACAGAAGCAGTAAGGAAAAAATAAATCCAAAAGTGTAACCATTAGGCTATAAAAATTTGTCGCGTCTTTCTAAACCCTTCTGTCTAAAAAGATCGCACTATTCGACCAAAGTTGGAGGAACCTCAATAGGGTCGTCCTTGTTTTTCCGTCTTTTTATAATTGTCGAGGAATTCAGACGTAGTTGAAACATATCATTCTCTAGCCCCATCTCTTCATCCTCTGGCAAAAGTCCTAGATTTACGCCCGCGGGCGCTGTGCGTCTTTTACTCTCCTCTTCCCGCTTCAAAGCATTGTTAACTTCGAAAGCATCACGCATGGCCACAGCGGCAGGGGAATATAATAGCGAGGAATCGCGTTTGAAAGCAAGGTGGTTGTGTTTGCGTTTCTTTTTGGGTGCGCGAGTGTGCACGTTTTCGGAGGACTCGTTTCTGTGTTTGAGGCCTTGACTGCGCAAACAGTCGTATTGGTTCAACCAAGGATCAGCCAAGAACTGATCAATATCGTAACGCTTGGCTGGGTCCACTTCTAAAAGATTCCGTACTGCATTTCTAGCACCCTCACTTATTTCGTCCCACCATGGCCTTAGAAACGTGAATTCACCTTTGGAAATCTTTTCGGTAAGAACGTCAATCTTCTCATCGTAAAAAGGCGGGAACCCACACAGTACAGTGTAGAGAACACACCCAATACCCCACATATCAACTTTCATGGAGTAACGCTCATCTTTCACCACTTCTGGAGCGGTGTAGCCCACTGTCCCGCAGGGAGTCTTAGTGTTTGTAGAGTAGATTTGTTTGGATAAACCGAAATCGGCGAGTTTCACGACACCGATACCACCACCGCCGACACCGGGTCTGAAGACACCTTCGTCTTGTTTAGAGCGGGGGTCGTCAGATTTGCGAAGCACGGGGGTTGTGGAAGGAATGAAATCAACAGGCTCGAATAGCAAATTCTCGGGTTTGATGTCACGATGTACTATTCCGAGGGCGTGCATGTGCTTGACGGCCAGCGCCAATTGCCGGATAACATGACGGGACAAATCTTCACTGAAATAAGTGAGCCTCACAATTTCGCCAAAAATTTCACCTCCAGCCAAAAGCTCTTGCACGATGAAATAGTAGTTTGGAGACTCGTGGAAGTCCACGAACGAAACCACGTTTTCACTGGCGGAGACGGTTCTGTGGATGGCCACTTCCTTCAGTACTTGTTCCTTGGATGTGGCTTTGCTCTTGGAGTCCTTGTGCGAGGAGTCCAACTGCTGCTTATTGATGACCTTGACGGCCACTTGCTGGAACGTGCGGTACAAATAACTCTTGGAAGAGTTTGGTTGCGGGATGGCGCGGTACACCCTGGAAAAGGCGCCTTCGCCGATCCTGCTTATGAGCTTGAAGTCCTCGAGCTCGAGCTGCTCGTCAAACTCCTCCTCGGGCTCCTCGTCGTAGGCAGAGCCGTCGGAGCTTTCAGCGTCGACCGAGACCAGATCAACCACGTCGGCGTCGCCGTGGACGCTGGGGTCGATCGGGATCTTGGCCTGCCCCAGCTGGACGCCTGTGGCGGCCACTTCTGACACCACGTCGGGCACACGGGTGTCGCTGCGGTCGTTGAGCGCGCTCTGGCCGCTCCGTTCGCTCTGCGACGAAACCATGCCGTCCTTGGTGGACGAGTCCCAGTTGTACAGCGGAGACGATGGCTCCAGCGAGCCCGCCATGCCGCTGGCGGCGGCAGCGCCGGCCTTGCTCGCGTCCAGCAGCTCTGTCGCGGTGGTCTGGCGCTCTTCGGCCACAAACTTCTCGGCAGGCAGCGCCTGCTTTTTCTTAAACAGCTTCTTGATCTGCGCGCGAACGCTATGGTTAGTACTCTCGTTGTGAACCCGCACGCTCCCAGCGCCCTTTCCCTCCGTCTTGCCACATACTTTCAGCATTTTTTGCTGTGTTTATGGATATTCTTTTCGTTGTTCCAGCAAACTGTTCAATAGTTGAATGACTAGGAGTGTGCCAGAAACCGCTACACTTTTTTTCTTAAGAAGGGGCCCGATCGATGGGTTCAAAAATATGAGGCGAAACTTAAAAGAAAATATGCGAAATACTTTGCCATCGACTCAATTTAAACTCAACCGCACACAAAAGATAGTCGTGACTAGCGACAGGTCTCGGCATGATGACTCCCGATGAGCTCAGTGTGACGTCACATCACGCGCCACGAACCGGTCATCGGTGCGTTTGTACGGCGCCCGGGCCACGTGACATGTCACGTGGTCTTTCTTTTGCATTTTTGAGATGGTTTTGGTGCACGTGACGCGACGCGATTGTCCGCGTGCTACTACTACTAATACTACTACTACTACTACTACTACTACTACTACCACTCTACAGCGGCGTGGCTGGAGGCGGTCCCGATGACGATGTTGGGCGCTGGGCGAGAGACAGAGAGCTTCTGGTCTTTGGTGGTCTTTGGGCAGAGGATGTGAAAACCGGGCTGGCATCCTTAGAGCCACACATGTTGAAATAAACGCATCATGTTTAGCTCTCAAGGAAATCACAATTTTTCACAATTGCTTTTCGGTATGACCCACGAGGACAGTACTATGGACTGGTTTTTTCGCCCAGGTGGCTCGGCCCCCTCTTGCTGATCTGGTTGTCGACTTTTGGATCAAATGGTTGTCAACTACAGATCAGGCACTGCTCTTGACAAGTCCGAAGGACTTCAACAGCAACAGATCAACTCAATGCGGGTATGGCTTTTCTCTTCGTGGGTTTTTCTCGAGGCTGCTGCTAGAGCCGTAGAAGATGCAGCAGAGCTGAAGACGCAAAATGAACAATGTTGAGCCTGTGTAAATTGGACGTACCACCGGCTGGTAGCGTGGAAAAGCGGCAGCCGCATTTCGATTGCCTATTACTCTTGCCACGCCGAGCAAATTCAAGGCGAATGCTCTGAAACCATTGCTTGAGGTGATGTGGTATTTGTCTTGGCGCACTAATTGTCCACGTTAGTAATTATGTTATCAGCCAGCCAGAGCGTCGATCGTCACCAGGCGTTGTCTCGATCCATCATGGCAAGGTTAGCATTGATACGGGAAACATGACGTAGACCGCAGGGATCCCAAGTTTTTCAAAGCACAAGATGAATATAGCAAGAATTGTAGCAAGTAGTCTTTGATGCGGTAGGTGTCGTTTTCAAGATCAAATAACGTTTGCAAGAATTGTAGCAAGTAACTTTTCAAGTGCGTGATTTTTGATGCGGTGGGTGTCGTTTTCAAGATGAATATAGCAAGAATTGTAGCAAGTAGTTTTTCAAGTGAGTGGTTTTTGATGCGGTGGGTGTTTTTTCAAGATCAAATAACGTTTGCAAGAATTGTAGCAAGTAGTCTTTGATGCGGTAGGTGTCGTTTTCAACATCAAACAACGTTTGCAAGAATTGTAGCAAGTAGTTTTTGATGCGGTAGGTGTCGTTTTCAACATCAAATAACGTTTGCAAGAATTGTAGCAAGTACCTTTTCAAGTGAGAAATGCTCTCACCCAGGGCATAGGTAACGAGAAATGCTCTCAGTCTGGGTATTTACACAATTATTTATATGACGGACATTGGCAACGTTATGGACAATGGGCACAGCTCGATACCAACGTCTCATCCGCGGCACTCTTATGCACCTTCACTATCTGGAAGAAAACTCCAGTTTTGTCACTCTGTACTATTGTGACATTGTGTAATTCGGCACTCTCATCCCAATAATATTATTAGTTATTAACCCAGCAATGAAAAATTCCTCCCTGCTTTCTAAAGACTGGTGTTCTTCACAAGCGGCATAAATCGGCGGCTACACTATCTCAGCCGCCATGAAAAGCCTTAGTCTGGATTGTTAATACCATGAACCTTGCGCTTTGGCGTAATTACACCTCTACCCATCGAACCATGGTCCCATCACTCAAGTGTCCTATTATAATCATATTGCCGTTGTTGGCATGTTCAGCCAGCGGTAAAAACCTTTGTCACTTTATATCAACGTGTCAGTCCACGCAGCAAAGACTTTCAGGAGCTTCTTACGTGCAAAAAATAACTATGCAACTTCAGCTCCGCAAGAACTCTACAAGAATGGGCCCCTCCCCCTGCCCTCCATAGCTCGCACATTGTTTTCTATCTCTCAAGGCCTTACCGTTCGTCTCGCATGATTCCTAAATCTTATTTTGGCACTTTAGTCCTACTAAAATAATACATAAAATAGTCATCGCGCTGTAGCAAGTGGTGATGGTATCGCGAGAGCTTTCGTCACTTGAAGCTGACTTTTTCGTTACTGAAAGCGAGCTTTATGCTAAGGGTCTACAAGAGGCACCGAGAATTGTCAAATCGAAAAGGGTCAAGAAAGCTGCAGAAAACTCCTTGCAGATTCTGAAATGCAAACTGGGCTCATATCGGTTGGATTCAGAGCAACCCATAGTTAATAAAATATTCGTATCGTTAGAATATCACTCGGTTGATAATAGGCATTTTTTCATTATCAGCAGCGGTTCCAAACCAGTACTGAAGTGCGATGTGTCTGAAGTCCGTGACTTTGTAGAGTTGCCTCTTCAAATTTTGGCTCATAAGTGCCTCGCGCAAGAGATGCTAGTTAGGGCACAGACCGCCAGGCATTTGATTAAATCAGATGAAAACTCGCGATCGCGTAAGAAACGGAAGGTATCGCCTCTAGAGCGCAGCTCTTCGGCGGCTCTGACCGGAAAAATCCAATCAAAGTACCGTGAACTAGAGTGTTCGGACGCACAACTCGCAGTATGGGGTGATGGCTCAGGGTGGCAGCTAGAATTCGATATCTCGTTGAGATACAAACAGGAGAGCTCCAACAATTTTGCCGCAGAGACTAATCGATTTTTAGACACACTATTTTCTGATAGATCCCGTACCCACTTTGTCAAACACGAGATTGCCAATCACTACGTGCAACGGCAGTTCAATCATCAATCTACAAAATACACCATGGAGCTCGACTTAGGGTTAGGCGAAACGATGCCTGATATCCCGCAATTAAATGTTCGACTTCTGCCATTTCAGAAAGAATCTGTGAGATGGATGCTTCGAAAGGAAGGCTACTGGTGTTCAAAGATAAAACTAGCAGATGAAAATTATAAGCTGGAAGAACTTTGCGAGCTACTGAATGCACACGTATCGTTTGGTTACGAAATAATGCGCTTGCCGAAAAGTGCAGTCATGTTTTGGAACAAGTTCACCGGTTATATCATTTCATTCAATGATGCGATATCAATCATCAGTGCCATTAAACTGCAACAAGTGCAAGCTCAAGGTGTATTATCGGAAGAAATGGGACTGGGAAAGACTTTAGAGGTCCTTGCTCTCATTCTTACAAACAAGCGAAAACTTACAGGAGACTTTACATTCACCACAGATGCTAACAAAGTCATAAGGCGCGCTGCCACAAGTCTCATTGTTTGTCCAGATAGTATTTTAAGGCAGTGGATGGATGAAATTGAAATGCACGTCAATTTCGAAAGATTATCAGATCCCCAAACCAAAGATGGTAAAGTGGATGTCAATGGCTTGGCTCTGTTTCACTACAAAGGCTTTCAAGAAGTCAAAAGTTTCTTCCAAACTGACGATATCGCTACCATCGTCGAACAACTTGCCACGTACGACATCATTATCTGCTCGTATACAACAGTGTCTGCTGAAGTTCATTACGCTGAATTTAGTGCGGCCGTCAGATACCGGCGCGGAAATGCTCCAAAGTACGACTACTCTTCCCCATTGTCGCTTTTACAATTTTACCGCATTATTCTCGATGAAGTACAAATGTTACGAGGCGAGAGTACTAATGCTGCGAGATGTGCGGGGCTTTTACACCGTGTCCATACCTGGGGAGTGTCAGGCACACCGATCAATAGTATTACAGACTTCAAAACAGTTCTCTCATATCTGCATTTCCATCCATTCCAAGATAGCGCAAAAATCGTGGATGCAGTGAGAAAAAACGTAAGCAAGAGGAACAAGCTACAAGAACACGGAGGTAATTCAGAATTAGACTTGCACACTTCACTTGTCAAAGGAATCAAGTTTGATGTGAACGACTTGATGGATATTTTTCCAAGGTTTGATTTGTGCATTAGGCATTCAAAAGTCGACGTTTCAGATCAAATATGTATTCCCAAGCAGCACAACTTTATTCTTCCGTTGGAATTTCTACCAATTGAGCAAGACAATTACATGAATCTTTGGAACACTTTTTTGGAAGCTTCTGGCTACCAGAGCGATGGTAGTGGGAGAACATATTTGAGCCCTAAAGACTTAAATTATTGGCTGGGTATTCTGCGGAAGACGTGTTGCCATGCATTGATGCCCAAGGCAATGTTGCGGCTAGACGTTGACCAGGATACAGCAACAATCCAAACTATGGATGCCATATTGAGGGGTATGACAGGTGACGTCGCTGAGAAGATCGACAGCCTTAATAGAGAGAATTTTACTCTTAAGATCCAATTTGCCCAAGTACGTATGGAACTGAAAAACGAACCCATGAAAGCGGTGAACTCGTTGATGTGCGTACGAGAAGAGCTCACACAAGATTTGAAGATGAGATTTGGAGTTAACGTTTCAATCAATAACAGTAATGCACGTGATAACGTTTCAATGGATGGCAGTGATGATGAGTCTCGAAATGTGGAAGCGAAGCCTTACTTGGACTTGTTACACCAGTGCTTTTTTTTCATTGCCACCGCTTATTACTTACTAGGATCGAAGAAACTCGAGGCTGTGGATGACGAAAACTCAAAGCGGAAACTCTTAAATGCTTCAAATGAGGAGGTCAACGGAATGGACAATGATGCGTCGCTTAAAAAATATGTGGATGTTTTCTCAGATGATGAAATGAAGGAAATCACTATGTTTCAAAGTCTTGAGCAAGAAAACTACGGATATGCAGAGATATTGCGAAAAGCTATTCTGGCTGACCGCATAAAAAAGGTCGACTCTGAAATTGAAGAAGTAAAGACATTTTTTCAAACTGGCAAAGCTTCTTCTGTTTGTCAACTGTCGGAAATTCCATTTCGCTTTAATGAAGATTATTCCACGAACATGGGCGTTGCACTTGGCTATAAGCGCCTGCAATCGACCTTTCAGAGTCTGAATAATCAAACAAAGCAATTCAACAATCTACTTTCCGATCTTCGAGAACTTTCATACAAACCTCTAATTACGGAGTATGACGAAGACAATCAAGACGACAAGGCTCAGGATTACGAAAACACGATTGAAGATCAAGACAAAGTATTTGCAACTTTAGATTGCTTGGAGAGAATATTGTCTAACCGAGAGGAAGTTGCTTCCGCTGATGAAGAAATCAAGCGATATTCTAATCCGTTTAGAAATATGGATACTTTTTCCGATTTCCACATAGCATTGATATCCGATCTCATCCTCATAGACGGGTGCACTCTAAAAATGGCTTTTACAGACTTGAAGAATGTCAGTATTGTCAACAGCTTCACTGACTCCACTGTCGGAAAGAAACAAAGCTTCGAAACTTATTTGCTGGGTTTCGAAGCGGTCATACCAAAAATTAAGAAAGAAATCAAACTTGTGAGAGAAAATTTAAAGAAGTTTAATGAGATTTACAACTCTAAAACCAACTACTTTAGCAATTTACAGAAAATATCTGACTCCTTGGTGTCTTTGGTACAATTAGAGCCAGCGAGCAGGGGCATGATCTTGAGAAATACAAAAGATAATATTCAACTGAATGAAAACGTTCGAAACATCAACAATCTCAGGTCGCGCTTGAAATACTTGGAGACTTTGACAATATTAAAAGAGAGTCTCGATCTTAAAAAGAAGTTCAATTGCGCAATTTGTCTCAGTGAGATATTTATGGGCTCTATGATCAAATGCGGGCATTTTTTTTGCAGAAGTTGCATACACAGCTGGCTTAAGAACAAGAATGCTTGTCCATTGTGTAAGATGGAGACATCCTTGTCTGAAGTTTACACTTTCAAATTTCAGGATGCTCAACCTGAAGATGGTCAAGAGCAACCCGAGAGTCGCGCCGATAGCAAGAGCGAAACACAGGGAGATATGCATATTAATGATGACTCTCAAAATGGCAACTCGGATAATGAGTATCCACATAAATACTGTGGATACCCTCATCTGGAAAAAATCCACCAACTGACTCTCAAAGATACATATGGTACTAAGATAGACTTCGCCGTCAAGTTAGTACTTTATTTACTAATTTGTCATCAAGAAGAGGTCGAGCGCGATGCCAACGCGAGAGCTCCTCAAGTTATCATTTACTCCCAATACTCGGACTTTCTCGACATACTGTCCAAAGTGTTGTCGCAGCATGCAATCAAACACTTCAACACTTCTGGATCGTCTAGATTCTCAAAGACTGTCGAAAAATTTAAGAAAAGTCCTGATATTACCTGTTTACTACTTGACGTCAAAAAGCAAGCCACTGGTTTAACTCTTGTGAACGCAACACACGTCTTTATCATGGAGCCAATAATAAATGATAGCGCCGAGGTACAAGCGGTCAATAGAACTCATAGGATTGGTCAAACTCGTGAGACTTATGTGTGGAACTTCGTGGTACGAAACACAGTGGAGCAAAATATCGTCAAATACAAGTCGATATTGGAAGAAAAGAAGGCTTCACACAAAGAGCAGCGTTCTCGCGAGATGAACCCACGGGTATTGAAGTCTGAGAATTCACCCGAGGAGACTAGCTCCAGCGAAGACGAAGATGATGAAGAGTATGTGTTCAATCAAGAGGGAGACGAAAGTGTTTCAGGCAAGCATATATGGAGCTGTTTTTTCCAGCCTCTACATTAACTATAACTTATGACCATGGGTGATTCCATTCAAGGTATCTAGGACTTAATTTGATAGCATGAGTAAGGCACACTACTAGGATGATCCACGTTAGCATACGCAGTTTTCCACAGAGAATAATTAAAAAAATAATTTTGGTTGCTAAGAGATTCGAACTCTTGCATCTTACGATACCTGAGGATCCCGCTGTTTAACAGCGTTAAGAAGAGACTTCTTGAATCAGGCGCCTTAGACCGCTCGGCCAAACAACCAACTTGTTGGTAAATTGTATGGCTTATGTAATAACTAGGAACTCTTGAATCAGGCAGATAATGGATAATAGTCTTTGCAGAGTACAACGCTCGGGGCACTTCATTAGCCAACACATTGTTGGTTATTACGTACAAGCTACAGGCAAAAATTCTGTCGTCGCTTGAGCTGCTAAGTATCGTGTTGGGCATGAAATGATATTGTGAAGAACAAAAAGTATGTGCGCTAGGTGGTATTTGACAAAATGTGCATAATTGTCTCTCGATAAGCTATACTTTTAGCATTTTCTGTTCAGTATGAAGAAGTAAAAAAATATGCCACTTCCTAGAATCGAACCAGGGTTACATCTGCCACAAAGATGTGTACTAACCACTATACTAAAGTGGCTTTTTGATAGAGTGCCCGAATAATCTGGAGTATAATAGTAATCTTGTATGATCGTAGTTGCCGACGATAAGGGTAAGGAAGAGTTAGCGAACACGCAGAGGTCTTATGAGCTCCACGAAGGCCAGCAAGCTCGCAAGTAGCGAGTGAGTGTGAATTAGCTTACTTAAGGTCTGCTTGAGGGAATAAAAGTTGACAGGCTAATCGTCAAGGTGCAGACTTCCGGAATGGCGACGAGACGCTATAACGTCCAAATTAAATCGATGAATAACGATCAAGTAGAATGGAAGAGTCGAAGCGACACCTTAATGATTGAATCACATGATGCTCCAGGACTATAGAAGCTTTAAGTTACAATCAAAGTCAAGGTAATTAGCGACGGCAATAGCAAATTAACTTTATTTGGATTAACCTGTATAATATAAAGCTTATGCTTATACTTGATGAGTGTTCCTCATTTTTGAGACAAGCATCGCAGAATTTGCCGCGAACTGCAATGCTAGCCCAAATTTTGAGAAAATCACCCAATGCTAGCGTAAAACAGACATTTTTGGTGAGCGTAAGGAAGTTCCACTTTACGTCGCACTTATTTGACTACAAAAAATGGGCCGATCTGTCCACGAAGGACAAACAGACGTTTATCAACGGGTATGTCGACATGTACAAGGAAAAGCATCCATGCAGCCATAGCAACACCATGCATCGAATGCTGGTTGGTGAGATGGAGGAGTATGGCGATACACCTTACGTTTTTGGTATTCTCTATAACGAGATCCGGTCGATATCGCAGAACGAGTCTGTCGATAACGTTAGGGGAAAAGACGCACTTGGTGATCCTGATTTCGAGAAGCTGCTAAGTAAATGAAGTAATAACATTCAAGGATAGAAATATTTGTTTTTATACGTATGGTACATTATGAGGATGCAATATAGGGAGAGGTATCATAATTGCCATTCAACTGAGGACCTGGTCGAGGTTGTCACTGGTCTCTAAGGCGTCCATGGACGCTACAGTTTTGAGAATGGTGTGTTTACTGGTTTCGGTCATGGAGCCGTCGCATATCAGCACTTCATTCAAGATGTCGTACGCCTTGGAAAAGTTGAAAATAATATCCAGCTCGCACACATTATTGAAGTATGCGTCCATGGCCTCGACGTAGCGGTGAATGATCTCAAGCGTAAGAAGCTCATTGCTCGTCTCGGAACTAATACCACAAATAAAATACAAACTGGCATACCTTTTGTACACCACTTTGTGATCTTGATACTCCACAATGTTACACATTTTAGCTTTGCGTGCCAACACCGATGTTGTGAGGTCCCTGCAAATCTTAGTCTTGTCTTTCGCACTGTACGCACTGAACCATCGCATCAGCCGCACTTTTCCCTGTCTCGAAACCATGAGCATGTATTTAATTTGCACCATGATCAGCTTATGAAAATTGTAGCAAAGTTATAGCGCTCACGAAATAAGCACGCTTAACGCTGGAGCAGTCTAAATGGATTGTATATTCATCTGCTTGTAGTAATTCAGGCGGACTTGAATTTCGATCTATTTTAGATTGGCCGGGTAAAGTAAATAAGGTCAGAATATCTGGACTCAATGAGATAAATGAAAGCACGGTGACATTGAGCTTGTCATCCTTTTTGTGCTTGCTTTAGCTTCCGAACGGCAGTGGCTATCATATCAACCATATTTGTGCAAAGTTGTAAGCTCCGGCGAGAAACATACATACAAAATTATATCAAAAAAAGCGTCCGGTAATATACAGCCTTGTCCAGAGTAAGGAAAGTGACGTTATTACTGCCGCAGGCAGGCGTGAAACAGAAACAAAGAAGAGAAGTTGTAAGACCTCTATTCGTCCTGTTCCTCATTTGGAGGTACCCAAGCCGCTGGTTTGAAGTATTCTTGGTCGCGCACCACAGCTTCTTGAAGCATCTCCTTGTTTTCAGCAAACTCGAGCAAGTATTCAAGTTCGAGCTCGTGGCACTGCCTGCCTAGGATCACTAAGGAATGCAAAGGTTCACCTGAATCGTAGTTGGCAAGCTCTTCAATTGTGCCAGATTTGAATGTTTGAGTTGCAGATCCAAGTCTGCTGATGGCAACAGCAGGAGTATTGGGAGTATATGCTTTGGTGCCTCTGTTTTCCTCGATTTCCAGCAATTGTTCGCAACACTGAGCAATAGACATGTATCTAGGAGGTTCGTAAATAAGTCTTCCCCGAGCCATGTTTTCTATACTTTGCTCCTTGACCTTGATGTCCAGCAATACCAGAGTGTGAAGCCCAATCTTACGGTTCTCCCAAATCTTGTTGTACCACGAGTCTGGTCTCCAGCTATCGGTGAAAAATACCATCGAGACAGTTTGCCCGAAGTTGTAGAGCTGTAGACCACAAGAGCCAACCGCATTCATTACTGAAGCATTGTGGATGACTTCGACCGGCAGTCCTTGTCTTTTAGCGCGCAACACAAGATCGGTGTGAGTTGTAGCGCCAAATGGGTCGCCTACGACCAGAAATGCTACGTCGTGTTTGTCTGCATCATGCAAAATTTCTTCGCAGCCGCTTTCCACCATTTCACGATCCGCCAAAGTGACTGGTTTGCCGTAGAAATCTTCCAGCTCCTCTAACGATGCAGCCATTAAGATACTCGTGTAGTGTTCAAGGTATATCCTATTACATTTCTTAATACATTCCAAACCACGCACAGTGATATCCGAAGTATATGAAAGACCCAGTCCAATCAAATATAGCATTATTGAGGTGAAATAATAAAATATCCTTATATCAGTTAGCTACTGTGTATCGATATTTAATGCTTGAACAAGTATCGATGAGATGAGCATTTTTTCAACGCTGCCAATTTCTGGAATTTGAAGCACGTGAATTCTGGAAAGAGTTGGTAAAAGTGAGCTTCATCAGGAGCACCGGCTCTGGTTCGAGTTCAACATCATCGCAAGTTGTGATCGCATGTACATTACCGTAATTTTTAGCCACATTCATCTAGGTTTCAATGTTGTTGACGCGGTTCGGAAAGCTGTAGAACAAAAACAAAGATGACACTTCAAACACATGCATGTGCACAGGAAAGTAATCGAGGCACGCTCATGAGTGCAGTCATGAAACAACTTTATATTCGTTGACATCGGCATATGCTTCGCATGCAGCATCGCTGGTAATATATCATTGGCAGTGCACGAATTAAAATAATCGACTACAGCCCTAATCATACACTTATGAGGGCTACATCAGTATTGTGGCTGCTTATATATACCGGCTTGTCATTTCTAGCAGATTTTGCCTGTGGTACAGCTTATATCACTCTATACCAACGTGTCATGGTCATTAATCCTAACTCATAGAGTTGACGATCATCCTAACAGACAATGACATGCTCGTGCTTCAAAAAGAAAGAAATATGAAAGGAAAATAGATGCCAACTGTGAATTTCATACGTGAGTGATTGAAGGCCGACTACTCGTGCAAAACGCAAAGGCAAATAACTCAACAGAAACTTGCTTATTTTCTCTGGTCATAAACAAACTACCTTGGTCTAGATACGGCCAGAAAATGCATAACATAATGCAAACGCGTAGTCAAAATCATTTGTAGAGCTCTTGCGATACATTTAGCATAATGCCGCTATCTGTCGTCGTTACTCTTTGGTGAATTCATGTCGTGATTTATTGGTTATATCATTGTCGACGATTGGTTTATTCCCTTAATGAGGTAAGCGATGAGCTTTGCCGAACTGACGAGCACACAAACCTTTAAAACCTTTTTTTTGCGAAACGTCGCTATCGTTGTCGCTCTTGGTGATTCCAACGCTCTAGGATCTGTTGATAACATTGATGACATCGACTCCAGTGGAATCGCAAGACTTGGAGCAGCAGCCGCTTCAACCCGCGCAGCAAAACCACTACGGGGCAACTTTGCCCCAACTTCAGAGAAAGGTTCATAAAAAGCGATTTCGCAAGGAACTAAAGCTACTAGGTAGTATTTTGGTTGTTTTCTCGTTATTGGTCGTAGTGGTACTGTGGGCATCGCGTTTCATACCCTCTGAAGATCTCATTCAGAAATATTACGAAGATGTGACCAAATTTGAAATCCATAGCATCAAGTATGAGGGATGGCAATCTGATGAAGATTCGGAGGAAGGTGAACACAAGGAACTTTCCGCAACCAAGGTTGGAACCTTCAACATTCTAAAACTCCGGGCAAAAGTTGGCGTACATTTCGACCACGATCGGGCCATAAACATAGCAAACGCTTCTGTCAATGTTCAACGACAGCAAAAGGCCATTCGATTTTTTAGCCAGACTGTTGTAAGGACGCTGTGTTTTGAGTTGAACAATATGACCGCGTACAATGATAACGAAACCTCCACGCAGGGGCTTGGCTCTGTCAGTATCCCTCAAAGGGTGTGCGTTGAGCTGCAAAGCAACAAAACCACGGAGCTGGATCTTCCCATCCTAATACGGCCGGACTCTCAAAACGTTGCTTCGGTAATTATCAAAATTTGGAAGCATAGGTTCAAGGATCTCAATCTGTGGTCGAGTTTTGACGTTAGCTTATCTAAATGGGGACTTGCGCTAGGGAAAATACAAATCAGTCATCTAGACTGGGACGAAATATTTAACTGGAAGCAAGTGGAATCCTACGTTGACAATATTCAAGCGGCTTTCAAGGAACCTATTACTGTCGACGATATGGAAATCATTGACCACCAGGAAGCGGTGGACTTCCATGTTGCAATTTCTTACACCACTCCGGAAGACATTCAAAAGTTTCTCGGTTTCGAGAAAGACGCAATGATTCCATCGACTTCTTGGAAAGTCAGAATGCCGGGCTGCAACGAAGATGATCCCATTTTACTCCAGAATGCCGTATTCAAAACTCCCACAATTCTTGTTAATGATCTACTGTCTTCCGAAGCAACCTCTTTGAACATAAGTGGTCGTATTTGGGGCCCCCTTCCCGATAAGCTTCTATACCAAGTGTGCGACTCTGACGAGGAAAATGTAGTAACGCCCATCAACCTATTCTTAAACAAAGTTTTCAATGCCACTGAGTCAGTTCAATTCGAAATATGCGGGCATAGTTCGGAGAGCTCCAATCAGAGCATTATACCCAAACAAATTCTGGACAAGCTTTTGCCTTCAGTTTCAGAAGCGATAAGTGCGAATTTGACGCTTAATTCGGATGAACTGGTAGAGCAAGTATCCGTCAATGGCTTGAAGTTAAAGTGGGTTCAAAAAGGCTGGGGCGACAAAAAGCTCGCGATTACGGGAGAGGTGATCTCTATTGTTAACCTGCCTTTTTATAATTCAGCACACTCTGGGGCAAAAGCGACCGTCTCGATTCAAAAAATCAAAGGACTCACAAAATTATTTCACAACAATGTTCATTTCATCACAGTGCCCATGGACGTGTGGCTAAGTGCGGACTCTGAGATCCTCCCGACCCGAGATCCTAGCCACAATCAACTCCGAGTATCTTTCGACATTGCAGACCAAGATGTTGTAGTGGTCGACAGTCTCGAACTTTCACGCTGTCTGAACGAAATACTGGTCAAAGGTCAAACGGGAGTTCACGTTGAGGGAAATCTAGACTTGATGATTGATACGCGATTGGGGTCCCTCGTATTGCTTGGTTTGGAAGGTGATGGCAATACAATAATAAGAAAGTAGGAATGCCTTTTGGTGAGAGCTGTAAGTGGCTACGTCTTCCTGTTCTCAAATCGCGTCGTAAGGTATAGTGAAGCACCCTTGGATGAACACACAAGCGCTGAGCTATTCCTAAACCGTACTTAGTGCTTTATATTAATATCATTATTATCATGGAAAGTACTCCGCGGATTTTGAATTCGCCAACTTGACGATAGCTCGACAAGCAAGAATCGTTACGAGACTTTGAATGGCATCATCGAATGTGAAGGCCGGAGGTTCATGCTTAGTATGTCGAAAACGTAAGGTAAAATGTAATAGAGCTAAACCTGTTTGCCGATCTTGCGTCAAGCATGGATCGGCTTCTGAGTGTAGCTATGAAGTGAAGAGAAGCATAAAGTTTCTCCATATGGTTTACGCCAATTCAAAGACTGATGAGGCGGTTAAAAACAAAATTCCGAAATCCAATCAAGATAACTGTACTTCCAAATTTGCGTACATGACAGATCATGCAGAGCTTTCACAACCTACACATAAGGGGGCCATAGATGCTCGAAACAAGGCATTGTCGAGATATCGTGACATGAATTTCCATGACGGTTATGACGCCATTGAGATCAAGGCAGGTCGCCTAATATTTGCGGGACCCTTAAACTATGCGACCATCACCAGAAGAGATCCATTTCTTTACGTTATCATAGCAATGATTCGGAGGGAAATGTATAAGCTCCGTGAAAATGGGATTAGGGCGGCTAACCACACAGGCCATAAATACCCGGCCTTTTTTTATACTCAGGATGAAATCGCCAATCAATTCATGATTTCGAGGAGAGTTCCGCCAGAAGTGCCCCAATTTGAAGCCCTAAAGAAATTTGATCGTACTTCGCGGCCTCAGCCTCTCAAGCCTGATAGCACTATGCACAACTGCATTGTTGAGGAAAACAGATCAACTTTGTCATCGCCGTTTGTTGAGGACACTACTGTAGATGACAAATTCAAACAGAAGCTTTTAGAAAACGAAGGGTTAGACGAGGCTAAGTCGGTCTCCAATTGTGAAAATTTGGGACGCAACCCCTTGTCAGTAGTTAATTTACTGAACGAAGAGAGTAAGGTCAGATCACTGAGAAATAATGCGGATAATGAAAGTGATAAAAACAAAGACATCGAAATATGGCGCAAATTACAGTCAATGCTCGCTACGTTGCAGCAACGACAGTTGAAGCAACAGAGTAAACAACCGGTAGATAACACAACATCAGAGATATGCCGGTCTGTAATAAGGTACATAATGCCAGAACCTGAAAGATCTGTGTTATTAGCGGTTCAAGAGTTGCTTCCGCCTACAAGATCGATATGGCTACATTTGAGGAACTATTTTCGCTCACCATTACACGCTCTATATCCTATATTAAATGAAGATTGGTTTTGCGATGGTTTGACGGGTGTGATCGGTAAGCACAGTGTATCCGAGAAACTACCTATTTTAACAGTCACGAACAGGTATGACTTCTCCAAGTTTGGATGTCTGCTATTAATTTTGCGATTGTCTTACCTCATGTGCTCTGATAAACCTTGTTTTAACTCGACTGACGACGAAAGATATCTCCTATCACATCCAATTGGTACTGAATTTGCAGATACTGCACAGATGTGTTTGAACTTGTTCAAACTTCAAAGAAAAGCACTGTTGCCTGTGTTGCACTGTGCTCTTCTTCTACACATATATCGTCGCTATGCGCCAGAAGAAGGTGACATGGCTGATGGCGGAGATATTGAACCCTTTTCAGGCTTGATAAACGGAATGGCTACTTCTATCGGCCTTCATACAGAGATCGACTTCGCACAGCTCACTTATTCAGACATGTACCTACAAGCTTGGAGAAAATGCTGGTATACAATATATTTGCTGGATCTACATGAGGGAATGAACACCGGTAAATCTCTAATGATTCACGAGCATAGTTTCAATACCAAGTTGCCAGAAGTGAAAGTTAATGAAGACGGAAGTCTGCCAAATTACATAACGGACCCTGCGTTGGAATTCGCTTCCATATGTTGCCTAAAGAAGAACTACGAATTGTCACATACCTGTAAAAAGCTATTAAAAATTGTTATGAACAAGAAGTTTAAAACTAGCTGCACGGAGATTCAGGCATCATGCGACGAACTTGAGATTGCTCTAAAAACAATGTACGGGATTAACCTGCGCGAAATTGTGCAAAGACCATGCGAAACACCAAATGACTCGGTCACAAAGTGCAATGATTTCAAAACATTTATCGAAGTAAAATCCTTACTGTCTATGGTAACTTTTCACATGTTTCTTCATATCGACAAGTGTGCAGATGAGGAGGGTGATCAAGCAAGCGACGATCTCACTTCTTTTCGCTATCTTGAAAAACTTTTGAAATATTATGTGGACATTGAACCTGTCCTAGTTTTGTTATATGCTGACAGGGATCGTTCTGAAAACGAGCCTGATGTTTTTGACACTGTTTTTGGGAAGCGTTCGAGAGTTCTTATATTACAATGTTGTGGAATCTTTATCGTTCGATTGACGGTTATTTTACAGTGCTTGCTTTCTAGACTGCAGCACTTGCGGTTGAACAGCGCTATGCGTCCTGATTCCAGAAAAGCTACCAAGGACACAGATGGCGATCTTAGCATCTCGGATACTGTTGATACTTTGATTGCACTATCTTTGGAAAAGCTCTCAAATATTAACATAATCACTCAGTCTCTAAGCCAAACTTATTTCTATGCTTGGAGAATGTCAAAAGGTTACTCTTACGTGTATGACGTACTTGCGAGTGAAGATAGCATTCTAGATCGCAATTCTAGCAAAAATCGAGAGCATTCGATGCTAGATAAAGAACATGGCCAGACTGAGACTCGGAGTCCCAATTTAACTATGAAACCTTACAATCTTATTCCAGTTAGAAACAGTCTCGTTTTTGCCAAGCTATCTGATTTAAAAAATCTGCTTTCCATTCTTGGATCTACTGATTGGCAAATGTTTTCTCCACTTTTGAATTGCATCAAGTCAAAGACTTTGTTTATGGGTGCAGAAGAAATCTTTAAAAGGAAACACGATTCACAAGGGTTCGAAACTGTTCCACGGGCTTCTTCCAAGCAAGCAAACTTCGAGGATGATTCCGATACCAATACAGAAGCAGCATATTTTGAAAGTTTTCCAGGCGCTAATCATTCCACTTCGGTAGGCTTGTCAGAACAGCAGCCCCCGCGACAGTCAGAGGATCACATTGCTTCGGATGAAATCGACACATTTTGGTACAACACAATGCTTCGTAATGCGAACATGAGCGCAGATTTATCATGTGCCAAGGGAGGGCTTCGGCGGGATCCTGAGCCTGCCAAAAACGATAGTATGCCAATTGAAAAGTCATCATTAAGTAGATATGAACGCGACGATACCGCTAATATGAAAGGCCCACCTCAAGAAGCTGTAGAACTCGACGAATTGTTGAGCAACCAAACACTTCTTCGAGAGCACGTTATGCAGCAATTGCAGCAGCTTACCGGTGAAGAACAGCACCAAACTACTGGTGTTGACTTGAAGTCGCCACATTCACCAACCAGAGTTTTCAGTGCCGGGCAACCCAACGAAAATAATACCCGCATAGAACGAACGTTTGGTTTAAACGACTTCGATATATTCTTTCCTACTTTTAACGCGTTTATCGACGACGCCAATCTCAACTAAAATTCATAGCGTAAAGCAGTATTATTTTGGTTATAAACTAAATAATGGATTTAGTATATGAAGGTTGATTAACGGTACTTCTCATTTTTTATTTGAGACTGGCTCCTATGACTGAATGCTCGAATATATCCATCGTCCAAGTCGAAAGAGTGGAGGGCCCTCATTTTGACTCCGTCGGACAGCAGGTGTAATGTTTTATAGTTTAGTTTTTGGAAGTAATCCGATTTTTCAAGGCTGGTCTTTGAAGAACGCTGCCGAGTTTTGTTTATTTTGGTTTCTTTTATATTGCAGTAGCTGGAAGCGCTGAGGTTATCTTATAACAGAAAATGAAAGGCTAGCAGCAATCATTCCTTGAGATTTTATTTAATCTTTGGTGCAGGGCTTTGATAAAATTTGCAAATCAAATGGATGAATGAATTTTTCGTAAACTAGTGCAGCCCAGTCTCACCAAACCAATTCTTCTTTATAGAGTTCCCGTTCTGCTGTTATTGGTCTCTCCTTAAAATCGACAACGCACAACTTTGCGACGTCAGAGAAATACTTTACATCATCTCTCAGCTTCTTGGCTTTGAATTTCACGAAGTCACGAAATCTTACACTCGACAAGGCAGGATACATTTCATCATAATTGAAAGCTGTCCTTTTTTCTTTTGGAGGACGGGAGGAACCATATGCCGATCCCGAAAGAGGAGATACAAAGTTGCGAATTTTCTCCGACATACGTAGGCTTTTGTTTTTCGAATGTTTTCTGATAAAGAGCTCAGGTTCTCCGTCAGGGTCTTGAGTAGCCATATAAGTGTAATAATCGTAGTTCGGGTCACTAGGCTCGAACTTAATAGATGGAGGTCTTACAATCACCCCATTACTTGCGATAAAAGGAGGTAATGGCCATGAATTCACCAATTCATTTCGTAAGTTCTTTCCACTAGCACAATTATTGAGGTGATTGTTAACAGCCGCGTCTATTTGGGAGGAAATTGGGGAGCTCAGTGATAACTCAGAACAGTATGAAGACACACTGTCTTCTAAGTTCGACGACCCTATATCATTGCCTAGTTCCGTATTCAAACACTCAAAGGACTTGCTTCTTGCAAGCCGCATATCTAAGTCGGACAGCTCACACGATAAGATGGCGTCGCGACTATCATAACACAAATTGTCAACATCATTCAGGTCATTCAGTTCTTCGGAGGTAAATTCCATCTTCTCGCCATATCTTAAGGATTTATCGACTACGAGGGAATCGGGAACATGTGGCCTACTCGTAGAATCCGCTTCCATACTCTTATTCAAATCAATCAAGTCTACAATCGGCTCGATAGCGACGGCATCCTGTGATAGTCTGGAGCTATCGAATAGATGATGTGATACTATAACGGACTGTTGGTCATCATCGTCGTAGGGAGTAAGGCTCCCGGTGTAGTTTGTGAAGTCTCGATGACCATTTTCGGAGCAGGAATGCGGATCTTTAGCCGAAGAGCTTTCTTGCGCATTGGCGGTATTTCTGATACTTCGCTTTGTTTCTTTCCCGGGATAGGCAATATCAAAGGTCTGGTACTCACCGTTAGAACTTTGCCGCAGATAGTCGTTGCCATTGTCCGAAACAGACAGCGTTGGTTGTTTTAGTGTTGGATTATCGCTTTTGTCGCATAGATGATCATCCTTCACCCTTTGCCCCTGAGTGAATGGCTTGTCTGATATTTCGCCAGTTTCAGTTTGCAGCTCGAGGGCAAGAAGTGGGCTATATTGTTGCAAAGGTGTGGGACATTTCCTAGGAAGTGGAGGAGGACGCTGCTCGTGAAAAGGGTTACGGCAACTTTCTTTGAGGTAACAATGGCACTTACGCGACAAATAGGCCGAATGTTCTGCGTGTGGGTAACCATAACCTGTATTATAGACAGGCGTGTGGTACATTCGTTGAACCAGACTTTGATAGCGTTTGGGAACATTACGTGGCGGCAACTGCCCATGAGATAAGTGAGGAGTGGGAGCGTTGCGCGCTTCGCCACTCAAAGCTTGTTGCGATCTCAAAGGCGGCGTGGCAACCTCGTTGTCTCGTAACCCGTTCCATGAAGAATATGTTTTGTCGTGAGCATAATCGAGATCATAGGTCCAGAGGATCTTGCCGTCATCATTAGCTGTAAAACTCTCAGTCCTTCTCTGCTCCGTGATATGTCGAGATTGATCATTTGTAGGAAGAGTATTCGATTCAACACAGCGAGAGCTTTGGGGTGATGACTCTTGCTCTGTTATTACGAATGTGGGGACCCGCATCATTTTCGATTTACTCTCATTCCTCTGGCTCTTATTTCGCTTAGAAGATTTAATCCTCTTTGAGTGATGGCAAGAGCCTGGTACTTGAGATGCTATTTGAGACGGTCTTTGAAATTCGCTGTGCTGTTTGCGCGGCTTGTCACACATCTTGGCAGTCGCTTTCTCAGCCTCTCCTGACGTGAAACACTGGTATTGAGTGGCAAAGGTTGTTGGAGAACTTGAGCGAGAGCCTCCTAATTGGAATTCCACAGCGCTATTCTGAGGAATGTCTGTTTCAAGTTTACCACAAGAAGGCACGCAACCTTGTGGTTCAACAACATCTTGCTTTCCTTGCAGATCAGGGATACTACTTTTGAGTTGAACATGAGCCATACCTTTCTTATTTTCAATTGTAGCTGTATCGCGAAATTCAAACTCTATGCTCTCAAAGCTAAGAGGCGTGGCTTGAGTTGACGCCTCGAGGTCTGGTTCGGCTTCTGATACATTAGCTTGTGAGGCCTTTTTTTCCAGAAGTTCGCTAGCACGTTCGATGGTGGCAACAATATCGCGAACGGGTCTGATGTTGCTAGGGCCGCTAAGGGTTTTTGAAGTTTCCCGTGTCTTTTTGGCTGCGGCGACTTTAAGCTGGCGATCAATAACTCCGTCCTGAGAATTGAGTGAAGCGTCTTGATTGGAAGAAAACAGGAAAGCCTCTTCTCTTTCCATCAGTTGTTTGCTCGCTATTTGAAATTTGTTTGCCTTCTCAGCCCGCACTTCAGCACTTGCTTCAGACGGTGACATTACCTGTCCCGCAACCTCTCGGTTAAGGCGACGCTGCTCTAATAGTAAATAAATATCTCTCTCAATTTCATTCATCTCGCATTTTACCCCATCGACTACCACGGAATAAAGCTTCGTTGAAGTGTCAGTATACTTGTCATTACTGTTCTTGTCATGGTTGGTGGTGACGCTTTGGCCATTCAAATAGATTCCGCTCTTCCTTGATGTTTCGGAGCTTTCAAGTTGAGATCCTTGAGCTTTACAAGATTTTGCAGCATCACTTGTTTGCACTAAAGGCTTTGATTTGGATTTCAACCTCAACTTCAGCTTCCCCTTATAACTGGATTTGAATGAAGAATTAACACGGGCTGGCGAATGTTCTATTGTTTTATTCCCAATGACAGCAGGTGACAGTGAGGTAGTTTCCATAGATTGAGACATATCTACATCCTGTAAAGATGCATCTTTAACGTCATTCGACTCGAAGAGGCCCTCGTTACGGAAGTCGCTTCGAACATTTAGAAGCGAATGCGGATTTCTCGAGCAATCCGCGTCCACCTCTACGACGTCTCCAGACAAATTTCCGCTACTAATTAAACTCCTCTTGTACTCTTGCGTTGTTTCAATGTCATCAATGCACTCGTTTCCAGCACAGGATAATTCGCTCTCCTCATAAAGTGCTGTCGAACTGAGTGACAAGACGTCTTCGAAATGTCCAATTTTTTCGTTCCGTCGGTCCACCCTCAATTCAATCTCTTTCATAACTATGGTAGTCTCATCACTGGTTTGCTGGAAGAGTGAAATCCTTCCAACTTTTAATAGCTGAGCATAATAATCAAAGAGTTGTCTCGGGTCTCCCGCTTTCCAAACCGAAATAATCCGATTCTCAATTAACGATGGACGAACATCGGTTCCTTTGAGGCTGTGCAAATTTGCTCCTGCCTTGCATCCAGTCCACTTATGAAATCGTAACTTTATTGCCGACTTAGGGCATCCATTTTCTCCAATTACCTCCCGGAACGAAGTCGGAAATTTAATGGGCATTATCAACAGTCCAACATGCATTTTGAAGGGACCATCTGCTTTTGGAAACAATTCTTGGTAGATAACTTTTTGAAGGTAGTCAAATTGGCTGAAGGGCAACTTTTTTTGAGGTCGCGACGCAATGAAGTGAGATTGAAGTGACTCTATTATATTCTCGCATGGTTTCAAAAAGTCAATGTAGGTGCTCCTGACTGCCTTTGTGAGTCTATCGTACTTCATTTCCCCATTGTCATTTTGAAGGAATGCGTATTCGGGGGAGCAACCTTCGAGAGAGAATTCTACCATGTACAAGGTTGAACACTTGAGTAACAAGTCCATCTTTGCAATCATTTGCTCACGCGACAGGATTATTCCGTGAAGGTAGGTTAACCAACCAAAATTGCCACGTAAATCTTTCAACTGCAGGTTTTGAATCTCAGGAATATGCTTAGCGCGAGATTTGATGTACTCTAAACGAAATTGAGGCCCCTCTAGCCTCTCGATGTAAAGAATCTCGATGTATTTCTCAGCAAAAGCAGAATTGACGTCCGCGAATTCATTGCGACTTGAGTAGTCCAGAAACATCTTCCGTGATTTAATAACTTTTCTATGGTCTCGGAATTACTTGAGGTTGTATTGGTGTAAAGCGAAAGCTTCTAGACCTGAAGTAGCCTCGAGAAAAACAGAAAATTGCCTTGAGGACTTAGTTCAGCTCCCCGTCTTGTTTCCTAATGGTGCCTCTAAGTCTTGAACGTAAAAGAAGTTTTATTTGGTGATAATGCCAAATTATTATCTGGGGTGAAAAGCGTTACAGGAAGTGTCAGTTTTTTTTGTGTTACTGACGTCGAAAAGCGCTTCCTATAGTTTTCTGTGCTTAAAAGATATAGAAAAAATAGGGTTTCCGCTTCGAGATGGGAGGTCCTTGTTTCGTGGCCAGTGTATCTAGCCCAAGTTATGGGAAAAACGCTTTTATAATTTGTAGTTGAAAAAAGCTTTATTGATCTTGAAGTGGAAAAACCTCGGCGATGGGAGAAAATCAAAAGTAGCCTTAATCCTTGGCTCGAAGTGATAAAATTTTCTCAAATAAATTCAATTCGGTAATGCTTTGATCCTTTGAAGTAGTGATAATATTTCTTTCTCTTGGCTTATTTGTGCTCAATTTTCTGGATTAAGAAATTCAGAGAGAAGTACAAAAATGAAAATAGTGAATTTTTTGGGAGTATGCTACCAAATACCACCTTAGTGCAGTCTTATAGTGCCAATAGCCGTTGAAGTATGTTGAATAGTGCAGCAAGGGAAATTGGAGGGGGATTTATTTTTTTTGATGGGATTTTGGTAGGACTAATCAATTTTTTGGAGTTTTTGTGAAGTTTTTGTAGAGTCTTTGTGGTTCTTGGTGGCTATGAAGAGTTTTTCTGTTACTAGTTCTCGAAGCTAGAATTATTCGGTAAGGTCTCTTTTGTTCAAAAAAGACTATCAAGCAAATGTTCTCAAAGAAATTCCCTGCTTTGTTCGTGTCGAATCTGTGAAATTTTGAAGATTTTGTGTGAGATGATTTTGTAAAGTTCGTATGGAATCTGGTCCGTCAATCAGCTAGTTTGAAATGCAACTGTAACTTGAAATTCCTTGCAATAGAAAATAAGTGACACGAAGCGATTGAGTGAGAGAGCTTTGTAGTTGTAATTGAAGCCCCGGGCTGCTCGCCAGATTTTTATACTCGGGTTCGAAGCGAAACTTTTTATCGCTGTCACTGACACAAAAAGACCAGAATATTGTGCGCCGGCGGGCGTAGAAAGAGCCGTGAGAAATCGCTTCTACTATCCCAAATGCGGCGAAATCGCCGTATATCTAGAATATGTGAATCTGGCTAACGAGCAGTGCCTTTCTCACCGTCACAGAATCGATCCGATACTTATCATTATCAGAACGCAAAAGAGATAGATAGCCTGGCATCTTCTTCATCAGCCCTTGTCGAGCATCCTGAAGTTTTGGCCCAGAGTCTAAGGCTGTAGGCTCGCATTCTGACGCTAGATGCGATCGGATCGATCACTTCATATCTGTGCGTCGCCGGAAATCAACATGATTCATTTGAATCATTGTATATCGTTCTTGACGACGAGCAATCAATGCTCTCGTCGCAGTTACAAGGTTCTCTTACGGTAAAAGACGGCCGTTCATTTCATGAGGAAACGATCTCAAAGCCCAAGGAAGACTTTTCGAAAACTTGCAAAAGACAGGTGTCCAGGAACCACCGGCCTTTTTTCTTTGCATCGTTTCTGTTCGCTTACCTCTCTTGAGAACGCTTGATTGAACGCTTTCACCCAAATCAAACCTGAACATGTCAGCATTTCTCAATTTCTACGCTACTTCCCTGAAAAAAAACCCCAAGACCACCAATGCCATCATGACTGGGTCTCTGTTCGGGCTGGGAGATGCAATCGCACAAGTGAGCTTCCCGACCCAAAAAGCAGACCCTACGAAGCCAAATGGCAAATCAGACTCTCGCGGCTATGACATCGCGAGAACCGTACGCGCAATAACTTACGGATCGCTTATTTTCTCCTTTATCGGTGACAAATGGTTCAAAACTTTGAATGGAAAAGTCAAGTTCGCAAACAAGCCGGCCAATCACTGGTCAAATTTACTTCTCCGCGTCGGAACTGATCAGCTTCTGTTCGCGCCGGCGTGTATTCCATTTTACTTTGGTGTCCTCACGCTAATGGAGGGCGAGTCTCTGCAGAAAGCCGACCAGAAGATCCGTGCCGTGTGGTGGGACATCCTGAAGACCAACTGGATGGTTTGGCCAGCTTTCCAACTCGTCAATTTCTCGCTAGTCCCACTCCAGCACAGGCTCTTGGCGGTCAATATGCTGGCCATCTTCTGGAACACTTTTCTGTCTTTTCGAAACTCCGAGGCCAGCAATAAGGACCATCAGTTGCCAGTGGAGTACCCACCTGTTCCGGAATGAGGAGCACTATTCAATTTTAAGCACTCATAGCTAAGCACTCTATGGATTGTGTAGTCAATTTTCGATCTAAGTTACCGCTGCTTGAGTCAGTCTGCCTGAGAATTTCCGTTGGTCACATTTTTAATAATTTAACTAGCTATCATGAAAATGACTAAAATTCCGGAGAGATTATGTTTATCAAAAAAGATCTGGTACTTGTGAGTTAGTTGAGGCTATTTGTCTAGCCGTTCTTTAGCCATTGACGTGAAGGTATGTACGCTACACACATGCGCTTTGCGTTTCGAGGATCGTTTCGAGGGTCGTTTCGACACTTTTCAGCGGCCGCTGAAGCTACGCCGAAGCCGAAAAGACCGTTCGTTACCAAAAGGCGGGTGTTGTTAGTAGCTGGTGCATCAGCGACAGCTTATGCGTTGACCGATGATACGACACAAAACCTACTGAAACATATTGGACTGACATCCAAACGAGTGGGAGTCGCGGCACAGGCGACTGTGCGGTGCGTCTACAATTACCAACGAGTGCTAAGCGGCAGCTATCACTCGGAAGACGAGCGTCACGAGGCGCTGAGCCAGTGCCACCAACTATGTGCGAACATAACACTGCGGGCGCTGGAAACGAACGGTGGTATCTTCATCAAGCTGGGTCAGCACATCGCTGCCATGACCTACTTGCTGCCTGCAGAGTGGACAGAGACAATGATTCCGCTTCAAGACAAGTGTCCTCAGTCCACACATGCTGAAATTGTCGCTTTGTTCAAACAGGACTTGAAACAGAACATGGATGATATATTTACGGATTTCGATCCTCATCCTATTGGTGTAGCATCCTTGGCACAAGTACATATAGCCACACTCAAATCGACAGGCCAAAAAGTTGCAGTCAAAATCCAGCATCCAGCACTTAAGGAGTTTGTCCCGATTGACGTGCTGTTAACCCAGACAGTCTTTAACGTCGTCGATAGTGTTTTCCCGGAGTATCCTCTTGGATGGCTTGGAGACGAACTCCAAAATTCGATTTATGTGGAGCTAGACTTCACCAAGGAGGCCAGAAATGCTCGCAGAACCGCAGAATATTTTGCTGATTACATCCCAGAAACTGCTCTTCGTATCCCAAAAGTCGTACGCGCTCACAAGCGAGTCCTGATAATGGAATATCTTGGAGGACACAGACTTGACGATTTAGCATACATCGACAAAAATCGTATTTCCCGAGCTGAGGTGTCGTCATGTTTGTCTCATATCTTCAACAACATGATCTTCACGCCCAATGTTGGAATCCATTGTGATCCACATGGAGGAAATTTGGCGATAAGACATATCGAGCGTTCCCGGGGCCACCACAATTTCGAAATTATTCTTTATGACCATGGCTTGTATAGACATCCCACTACCGAAATGAGACGTGACTACGCCAAATTTTGGCTAGCGCTGTTGGACAGAGACGATGCTAACATGAAAAAGTACGCCATGAAGTTTGCAAATATCGACGAGGACCAGTTTCCGTTATTTGCAGCAGCCATCACAGGGAGGAGCATAGATGCTGCACGCAGCTCTGATCTCATGAAGCCAAGATCAGATGATGAAATCAAAGTCATGGCCAAAGCTATTACAGAGGGATCACTCTTGGGGGATTTGATGACTATCTTATGCCGAGTGCCAAGAATTGTTTTGTTAATCTTGAAGACGAATGACTTAACGAGACATTTGGATGAATGTTTGCAAAGCCCTTTAAGCGTAGAGCGGACATTTTTGATTATGACTCAGTATTGCGCGCGAACTGTTTACGACGAAACTCGTCAAAACATTAACTTTGCCTTCCCCAGGTGGTCCTTCACATGGATTTGTAAAGAATTCAAAGCTTGGTGGGATTACGAGAAAAGAATGAACCAATTGATCTTGTACGATCTTGGGTTTTGGTTTAGAAATCGTTTCCTCAATTCTCGTTAAGCATGTAAATAGGCGTACACAAGAAGTAATGATATTCATTTGTAGGATGTGGTTGAAACCACGCTCGTCGTACTTACATGGGTGGCGTGGTTATCCGCGGCTTCCTTAAACGATGACAGTCGCAGTGATGATTGATTTGCATTAACTCTTAAAACGTTAGAAAGATGAGTTCTTTTTTGAGTTCTCGGTACGTTATTCGGTTTTGTCGGGCTCTCAATTTTTAAAGTATCCAGTATTCTCGAGGCACTTGACATGCTAACTGCTTCCGCTACCTCCTGTTGTCTTTGGTTGAGATCGCTTACTTCGTGCTGAAGAAGAACATTCTGTTCGATCAGAGCATCGTTTTCCGTCTGTGAGTCTCTCAGCTGGCACCTCAGTGAGCGATTCTCATTTTCAAGCTCATCAGCCCGAATCTCAAGACTTGCGATTTGTCGCTGAATATTTTTAGGAGCCTTGTCTCGTTTCAATGACTCTATAAGCTCGTCTTTCTCGAGCATTTGTGTTTCTAACTTTTGTATGACACCTTCCAGTTCAACCTCATATTCGTTACTAGTACACTCCAGCTCTTCCAATTGCTTTTCCAAGCTTATTATAACTTTTCTGGCATCTTCAATGCTCAATGCTTGGCTTGTCATCGCAAGCAATGTCTTTATCGGCGCTTCCCTCAGTATTAGCGTTTTTTGATGGAGATCTTCAAATACTGTAATGATATCTATATAAAGGAAACTTGAAGTAAGGTTGACAGAAAATGCGCGGTATCTTGTCATGTTACTCATGATAGATAGCGATATGGTTGAAAGAACCAAACAAAGGCTGAAAGGAATGATTTAGTGTTAGTCTTTTCTGTTCATGGCGCTAAGCGTCACTTATCGAAAGTTCAAAGCAGTCTGCCTGGTTCGCGAGATAGCGCGTGCTGGACAAAAGCACAAACGTCCTTAATAATGGCCTGTGATGTGCACTATGTGTTTATTTTGCGGACCTGTCTGCTTCGCATTTGGCCCATTTGTACAGACTTTTCTTGGTTGTTTTACGGTGAGCGCCGCTCCAGACCGCACAAGAAAAGTATTCAAATGCTTGTATGTCTCAGTAAGCCTCCAGGAGGAGGTGAAACTAGAAATTTCCAGTTGTGGGTCTCTACATTAATTTGTTATCCTCATCACTCAGAGGAATGCTACTGACAGTGAACATTTTATTTAAGTTTTTGAAGCTTTATGAGTCGACAACCAGTTCAGCTACTTTTCTGCATGTCTCCCTAACGGCGGATAGTCATTTCAGCTATTTGCATGCTTGTCTTCTCAGAATTCGATAGTCTGAAGTTGACTTGCGCGCCAGCTTTGTATCCTGTTTCTTAAATTGAGCGTTGCGCGAAACCTCTCCCTAAAGCCTCACCCATAGCCCACTCAATTTTTTAGGCATTTCAATTGTCTCCACAGGAACACCTTCCAAGACCGACATCCCGACCGCCCACCGTATCGTTCTTCTCGTTTAAAAATCAACAGATATTAAAACTCGTTTGGACCCAACAGATGTACTACCTAAATGACTTGCGAAAGAAAGCGCTAAGGATGAAACTTTAACAACACAACCTGGTCCAGAAGGAAATCTGATCTGTTCCATACGCTTGGTGGATCGAACTCTGTCTCAACCGTGTGGCACGTGATCTTCTCAGTAGTTGATCTCCGAAGCTTTGATCGGGTGATATTAGTGCACCCAACGAACGATGTACAATTCTGCTAAACGACGGCCAGCTTGAATGTCCAACGAAAGTGGATATCGTCGAGAGCTGGAGGGTTATAAGAGTAATTTGGCCAGTGGCCTCGGCGGATTAGATTTGTGGAAGGGTCTTCAAGGAACTTCTTCTCTTTGCTGGCTTGTTGAAAAATTCAATATATTGGGATTAGCAAATACTACTGATTTCTTTGACGTGCCACTTCAAACTCGCGTTGTTGATTCCGAGTTTGGTATTTGATTAAGTGATTTATAAGCGGCAGCTTCCTCAGCTAAAGTTGCACCATCAAGAGCGCCCTGTCATTCAAACCAGTTGATTGTATGGCTGAACGAAATAAGAGGAACCGAAACAGGGTTCCACTGAGCTGCACGATATGCAGAAAGCGGAAGGTAAAGTGTGACAAATCTAGACCTCATTGCGACCAATGTGTTAAAACAGGAGTAGCGCATTTATGTCATTACATGGAGCAGACATGGGCGGAAGAAGCGGAAAAAGAGCTTTCTAAAGAAGCAGAGCTTAAACAACTCCGAGAACGGATCAAAGCGCTCGAGAAGACGTTGTCCAAGATGCATGCTGCTAGCAGCGGTACGCCAGAGAGTACATCGGCAGCACTTGAGGAGCCCATGGTGCTTCACGAAGCACAAGAATTAGATCAGGAACCTAAACTTGGCAACACTAGCAAATACGACAACGACGAGCTGGACCTCACACGACAATTTGATATGCTGCATTTAAAGAACAGTGGTACCGTTCACCTTGGTGCAACGCACTGGCTCGCAATCATGAAAGGTGACCCGTATCTCAAGCTTCTGTGGGGCCACATCTTCACAATGCGCGAAAAGATGTCTGAGTGGGTCATGAAAAAGCGAAATGGTTTGGGCGTAAATGGCACTGGCAACCGAGGGTCCCCTAGCGCTAATGGTAGGTGTCCAGTGATACATCAATCAGCTTCATCAGGATGTCCCGTTTCAGGTATGACGCAGTCCTCTCTCACTGGTGACAATAAGGAGATCATGAAATGCCCTGTGGACCATCGGGCCATGCTTTCTGCGACTCCGAGTGACAATAAAATATCTGCATCGCGACCGGGCTCGGCCACTCCAACTGCATCTTCTCAGGCATCGAAAGAGTCTACCCCTAAGTGTCCCTTTAATCAAGCACCACACCCTGTAAGACAACCTCCTAAGTGCCCTGTAGCGCACAAACAGACGCAGGGAATACAAAACTTAGGAAGGCAGTCGCCGAGTAGTGATTCACAGCCCATTACGTTGCCCTCATTTGAAAAGCTTACTTCAAAGTGCCCAGTCATTCACGATGCGTCACCACCCCCACCTATCGGACTAGGTCCAAATCCAGAAAACAAGACCCAAGATCAAGCTATAGCTGAACTGTGCAAATTGTTGCCACCTAAAAGAGTGATCGCATCGATACTTGATAAATTCTTCAAGTACATATACCCAGTCATACCAATTCTAGACGAGCAAAGTTTCAAGCACCAAACGAATCAAATTGTGCAGGTCAAGGATGATGGCATATCTTTGCAATTAACAAAGCCTTCAGATTGCTGTACACTGGGTATATTAATTATCATTTTAAGACTTACGTGGCTCTCTCTTCCGCAAAATGCCTGCAGTGTAGATCTGGGACCTCAATGTGGGACATTTCTAGTTCCAAAAGTGACAACTTCAACAGTAGCACAGTCTCGGGAAGAGCAATTTCTTTTGAACTATGAGACACCTGCTGAAGCAATTCAATTAGTTCGCAAGTACTTGATTCGACTTGATGAGTTGACAAGCTTTTCAAACAGCAATGTTAATCTAACAACCGTACAGTTTGCTATTTTCTACAAACTATACCTAATGTGTTGTACCGAAAAAACTGTCGATACACAGCTCAACACTTTCACATCCACCAGTCAGGATAACGAGGCCCATCAAATGTTGTTGTCGAGCATTGTTCAAATGGCCTTCAGCTGTGGCCTTCATAGAGATCCCGACAACTTTCCGCAACTTACCGCTAATACAAAGGGGAAGGTCAATAAAGAAGCTGTATCTAACGCTGAAAGACTTAAGCATACCTGGCGCAAGACCTGGTACGTTATTGTATCCCTCGATGTGCAACAATCCACATCCTTGGGATCCCCACGATTGTTGCGTAACCTACGGGATTTCAGTGACACGAAACTTCCCTGCACATCGAAAATAGATTATGTTCGTGATATCAAAGAGTTGGTGGTGGTCAAGAACTACACATTGTTCTTCCAGATCGATATTTGCATAGTTGCCGTCCTAAATCACATTTTGAATGTTTCGATGGCTAAAACTGTTAGGAAATTTGAACTGGACTCTCTCATTGAGATCTTGAAAAACATTTGTTTCGGTGACGGAAATGTAAGCGAAGCAATAACAAAACTCATAAATAGAGGACTGTTATTCACAACGGAGGGAAGCGTCGATCAGTCATTCGATGAATTTTATCCGTTACCATCATTAGACGAAGTTCTTTCTCCACTGCCTCCCTCTGATAACGAAAAGGATAAAAAGGCGAGCCATCCACACGAAATGACTACTCGGGCTTTGTTCTTTTCAAAGCATCTCATGTTGCGAATGCTTCTTTACTTGCTGAATTATATCTTGTTCACATATTATGAGCCCAAAGGAGAAGCCGATCCCGGAACCCGACTTCTAGCTAAAGAATATGCACAAGAAGCTTTGAATTACGCTATGGATGGTTTCAGAAACTGTCTTTTATTTTTCAGCAACTCAAAGAGTAATGAAAGCGGGAATGCATCAGTATTCAACCACATGGAGGTTTTGCTAGCCCCTTACTGTCTAGATATTGGCCACCGAGCTTTGCAATTTATGGTCTGCTTAATTTTGCGGGCTCGGTGTGGACCCTTAACAGGTATGAACGAAAGTCCGATCGTAAACAGCGGAAATAACACAAGTAGCAGCGAGGATGAAAATGAAAGCGGGGCGGCCAATGTTACTAGGAAGGAAATTACCGCAGAGACGACGGATCTTACCAGAGATATAGACCTTGACGTGGGCGACGAACTGGCTGAAATTTTGATTACGCGTATGGTCTTGTTTCATAAACTAACAAAGCAGATCTCGGTCAAGTATTACTACGCTCGGCGAATGATGAAATCGACTGGATTTTTTATTACACTCCTAAAGACTCCTTCAGGAAAAACTCCTACTTCAGATAAGAGCTCGAAGAATTCTCAAAACACCTCCTTCAAATTCCACCACCCAAGTATCGCTAAAATGACGGGGTTTTTTAAGAATGTGCCCTCATTGGTGATGTCAGCTAATGGAGATCAAATCAAAAGATGTCCAGTGTATCAAGATGCTATTGGGTTTTTGCCTGCTACAAATCTGGGCACTCCCGGGCAGCGAGTTTTACCCGAAGGCTCCACTCAGCAACTGCCTCCGCTATTCCGAGCATATCAGCCAATAACCTACACGAGCAACGACTTGCGACGTACGTCCGATGTCAGAGACTCTGATTCAAAGAGGCGTAAGCTTACAACTGGCTCTTCCCGGCCCGTTTCCCCTTCAGAAGCATCGATCAAAAATGAGAGCTGGAAAATGCATTCCCCACCTGCGCCCAACTTCGGTACGCCGCAAGTCCTGCCTCCTGCTTCACCAGCTTTGAAACACGAAATTCCTCCTCTAATGCAGAGCATACCCACGACTTCAAACTCCGGTAATGCAGAAAGAAACGGCTTTTTACCCTTCAATGGACCCCAAGCGGGTATATCCCCCGCCGCAATGTCAGAAAATTCATCTTCTGCCGACTACGCGCCAGATTTCGAAGACTTTCTAATGCAAAATTCCAATTTCAACGGTTTAATGATAAACCCTTCATCGATTGTTGAGGCTGTTGGTTTTGACAATTATAATAGGCACGACAATGGCAATAACATGGGGGTAACTGCCGACTTTCTGCCCATTGATAATTCTGACATAGACGGTCTGTGTGAGTTGCCTCCAGCAAATTCAGGATTTCCCATTTGGGAGTGAGAGTCGGTAGTGATGCGTGGAGGGGCTGTTTGTAGGACATGTTTAACCCAAAAAATGTATTTGTTTACTAAATCCAGCCACTTCGCATGTTGTTTATCATTGTGTCTGAAAGTTGACATAACAGCATATACATTAAAAATGAGTTTTCTTCGATAGACATACATTCAATAATAAAGAATATATAACTAACTGCCCATATAAAAAACCATGCGCTCCCATCACGTCCATCACTAACCTTTCAAAATGACACTGTTGAAAGGCGATTATTGATCATCTCGATAATGCGTCTTAAGAGTGCAGACATAAGGTAATAATAGTATGGTATTAACTACGAAGTTGAAATCACGTTATTCACGCCTTTCTAGCAGCTTTCATTGATCAATGACGCGAGTGTGTTATAGACTATGACCTTAAAGACAGCAATCACATTATTCAGTCTCGATGTTTCCCGCACGATGGCTTGTTTCATTCTCAGTTCTTGTGATCGAAAAAATGTTTGAGAATGCGACACCTGGCGCAGCAACACTTTTTACAAAGCAGCAGGCTAAATAAATATGTAGCAATTTGTGTCAAATTTATGCTTTCTTGTAACGAAAAGTCAATAACCAATTTTATCCGCTTTGCTTTGTTCTACGTTTCATCACTGCATAAGAAATATGCATTCTCTGAACTAACTTTGCTGTTATTTGCAACTCCTCCGCGGCCTCCTTGGATGTGTTTAGAATGGCTAGCGGTTTCTTGTATATACCTTTGAAGGCGCTGCATACGTAATTTCAAATGAATCATTTGAAGTTTTGTTATCATTGTTTGACAGAAGCCACGCTAATATTTGGTGGCTAATGGTTATATCTTTATCAAAATTCTAAGGCAATAGTCACATCATTAGCAACAGTACTTCTTGCTTATGAGCAAAATAATAATTTCAATGATGGTATTCTCCCATGGGCAGTGAGTGCATTTCGACTCTCAATATCCAGGTCCAAGGTTGAGTTAATTTCACATTACTAACTTATCAAAGGATAGTTTCAATGCAGTGTCACAATGCATACGTCTCCGATTCCAAGTTAATTTTATTATCATATGCGTACAGTTTGCCGGCGTCATTGAGACCGCTGGGCCCACATGTCACAAGCCAAGTGCTTTCCAACGAATCCTCCTCAACGAATTGAGCCAAGTCAGTCACCCAATCGAGTTTCTTGCCGAGGTGAATCATGGATGCGATTCCTGCTGAAATAGGGCCGTCATCATGTGGTTGCAGTAAAGCCCCATTTTGGTCTAAATGATCGCCCAGGGACTCCAACTCAAACTCCAAGACATCGTGACCAGAAGCCGAACCTGAATCTGGTGTAACTGCCTTAGGTCTACTGTTGTCAGTGTCATCCTGAGGAAGGGTTCCAGTTACATAAATTTCAAATTGAATATTATGCCGAGTCAAAGGTTTTAGATGATTTAGGACTGAGATGTCATGTTTGTCTCTAACGAGCCAAATAAGCTTCAAATACGTGATCTGTGTGGCCCTATCACCAGATGCAAAGTATTTGAAAATAGGTAAAGCATAAGAAATACCGCTGCCACCACATACCAAAGCCACCCTCGTAGCGTTCTGTATACACTTTTCAGGTACAGATTCGTAGTGGTTTTGGATCGTATATCTCAATCCTGTCTGTAATTGAAACCCACCTACATGTTCTCGCACGATGAGTTCCACATATGGATCGTCTGGAAGCGTGGAAACAGTGTAAGGATGGGAAGGAAGCATGAAATAGAGCGGATTTAAGCGACTGTACTGCGAAATACGCAAATGAGAGGCAGGGGAAAAGGTCTCGGGCATGGCCTTTCGTGGTAAGACGATGCGAGAGAGACCAAAGGGTTCCTGATTGTCTAAATCGTTAGGGAGGAGTTCGACAGCTCGGGCAAAGAAGGTCTTAGATATGATATGAAGAACGAATAAACCAGCATTTATCACCGTGTAAGGAGCCCATACACCTGGACGGGCATGTAACGCAGTAGCAAATACAAAAACCCAAGACGCAATAGAATGGATGAAGTAGAAGTTTCTATAGCTGAATCTCCGCATGGGCTTGACGGAAACCAGGACTAAAATTGTCAAAAGGACCAAAATCATTACACCCAACAAATTCCAAATGTTGCGGAAGGCATGGTCTACAACAGAGGTTTCGGAGTTTGTACCCCACCAAACGAGGAAGCCTCCTCCGTGCAACAATGCCAGGAGAAAGATGGACCTCGACAGCCATTTGTGGAGTGGAATAAGGTTCAAGTAGACATATCTAGGCAGTAATAGGTTGGGTCGCAGTGTGAGAAAGAGGTTGAGGGTAGCCAGAACGTAGCTGAGCCGACCTAGCCTTTTTAAGTATACAGTCAAGTGACTCAAAAAGCTATAGTGGTGAACAAACGGGACCAAAAGCGGAATAAATAACGAAAAAAGTCCTAGCAAGGGCGAGGCATTGTACCACCTACGCGACACAATGCGATCCCAGCGAGAATTTGATTTTGGTCGGCTGTGAACCACGAATCGTGCGGCGATAATACTCAGAACAAAACCTACGCTTACCAAAAGTGCATAATAGCCATACGGAATGTTAGCAAAGTGAGTGTCACTATGGCGCGGCAGCAAAGCTTCCATAGCACGTTCCTGAGTTTTTGCAGATGCTTGAAACGATCGCAAGGTAGCCGGCTTACTTGAGGGCTTCCCAGATGAAAACCCCAGTGTTAGCACGTTTGAGCCGATAGTACCCGCAGTAAAGTTCTTTATTTTTCTTAGTTTAGGGCAACAATCTAAACGACTAGCTGATCAACTAGAAAATCGCCCAGAAGGCACATATATAAATTAGTTTGACGATCAATCGAGACAGTTTTCTCGTATTTACTACTTGATTATTTTGATTCAGCTATCATGCTAATGGCTACTACTACTTTATGCATTTGCCTTATAGCAACAGAAATGTAAAGACAAAGAGTCGCTTCTGCGGAGGAAAATTCGATACCTTATCGCCGCAACATGTACCACTGACACTGCCGAGGTTGAGACAGCGTAGATATTCGACTATCATATCCGCCGAACACCAAGCGTTCTAATTGTGCTCAAGAACATATATACTGCGCTGGCCCTTTTCCTGGGAGCCATTCTATATTTTGATTGCCTATTCCATGTTGCGTGCCAGATTTATGATTGCTTAGACCTCAACTCTTTGCACTGCACTACGATATAACTCGGACCGACGCTTATTTCACTGCTATAGTGCTACCGCTAATTACAGTATGACGGACGGGGGTAGTAGTTCGAACAATGCATGAACCTCCAGTCTGAAAATCATGACTTTGATATAAGTATCATCCAGTCTGCGGAAACGGTAGGCGTGTCTGGTTCCCTTGCTAACTAAGAAGCCATGTGTCTATCAAAAGACTAAATGTGAAACAAGTTACGGCTAGTCAGGGTCATGTTCTACTCGTGAGCAACAGCGGACAGGATCCAACATTTACTTATAATAGAATAAATATAAGTGTGATAAACATGCTATCCGGGAGGACATTATGTAATGTTCAAACTGGTAAATACCATTACTTCAGACCCCTTATCATAGAAAAGCGCAAGTGGTTTAGTGGTAAAATCCAACGTTGCCATCGTTGGGCCCCCGGTTCGATTCCGGGCTTGCGCATTCTTTTTTGCATCTCTTGCCTTGAGACGCGAGCTGGTTCCTGTTGTCCAAGAGATCTACAAAAACGTCCATATAGAATATGGATTGGCAATGTACCAAATTCATTCAAGATGTCGGCTAGCCACTTGCAAAGGTCTACTTGAGCGCTTCTTGCACGGCATCTTACCCGCTGATATAGATAGCAAGGACCATGAATTAGGTTAACCTAAAAAAAACACGCATACTTATCAATATAACGAAAAAGACAAGTTGGCTTTCTCACACGTCCCTGCTCGTACACACACACAAAATATACGGAGCATCAACTTTCAAACGAATTGGCACTATAGCTTTCTTAGAAGCTTACAGTAACATTGATTCACAGCTTTGTTAGACACAATACAGACCAACTGTTACACACATATTTATTCCGCTCACAATGGAAAACAATTCCAGCACTCCCTCGCTTGTGGGATTCTCCGTGAGAGACACTGACGACTCCAATAACCCAGATTTCAGCGACGACAGAAGACCTAGTGTACCCGGCGCGCGGTCGTCGTCGCAGCTACTGGAAAAAATACATTCGTCAACTCAGCTCAATAAGCTGGAGACGCCCTACACCACCGTAGATGAGCTGAATCGTGAGGGTGCGCTATTGACCGACGATAACGAAGTGGACCTTGATCAAGTCGTCCATGGCAAGCTGGACGACCCTGGCGCTTTGAAAAAAGCGCTTCTCAAGAAGAAGAACAAACAGGCGACAGCTGCCGGGATATCTGGAAATCACAGAGGTCGGGTCCCGTTGCCTTCATCATCGACCCCGTCGATCGCTTCGTCTTCTTACTCGCCCTCTCAAACACGCAGCTCGTCGCTAGTGACATCCACAGACCCAGTTCACGGCTCCGTCTCTGCTTCTCGCCTTGGCAATACCGCAGGCAACTTCCCGCTTCGCGAAAATGAGAAAGACAACGATAAGATTCGTAACTCTTACGGCGAGTTCATTTCAAACAGATCTCATCGTCCTCACTTGGCGGGCGGTGATTCGTACCAAAGCACCACAGGCCATGAAAGTGAGGACTCGCCCAGAGAACGTTCTGGCAGAACGTCGCGCAAAGAGGATGCTTCTAGAGGCTACTTGAGATCCCTTTCCCGCTCACTAAGTCGTGATCCAAACAAGGCCCACGACCAAGAAGTTCTGGACGATGCGCTAATGTACAGCACCAACAATTACCGTATCTCAAGAATTGATCTCGAAAACGCCCCACACGTGATCAAAGAAGAAATAGAAGAAGAACAAGATCAAGGAGCCCTTTTGAATGATGAAGGCGACGACCAGTACAGCCCAGATTTGCAAGAGGCGGCATCTGACCAGTGTAAGAAGTTGTAGAAGCAATGTCGTCGTCGAAGAGAGTCACAATCAGTCAGCTGGAAAGCTTGATGGACGGGATTGAGGATTTCATGGGGAATGATAATGGAGAGGTGCCCGAGAACGAAGAAACTGGGGTGGCCCCGCTCGGCGCCAAAGAGCAGGAAATGAAAGCCAAGGCCTTCGTGGAGGCCGAAAGCCAAGGGTTGCCCAAATTTGGAGAAGCGAATGGTGAGAACGAGGCCAAACAAGGTGACATCGTTCAAGGCGATTTCCTTAAAGGTGCCAATGGCACGGCTATCTTGCAGAGTGAAGAGCCGTTTGACAAGAGAGCTCAAACCGAAATGTATAGTGAATCAAACAACAAAGAATTAGAGTCATTTACTAGCGAAACAAATGAACCTGCGAGAAAGAGTTCGAATAGCGAATCCCCGAAGCAGCAGCCTGAGAAAAACGGCACTATAGATCACAACAATGTGCTTTCTTCTGACATTTATGTTGATGAAGAACATTTCGGGGTGACAAAGCTACCTTTTAAACAGGAGTCTGATATCAGCGCGAAGAAACTGTCCATGTCCTCTGAACCAGTGGTTACTACGGGAAAGTCAGAACTTGATGAATTGGAATTCAATACTGGGAAGCCAAAGTCCAACGCTGGGACGCAGGATTCTACTAGCAGAGGAGAACCCGATACTCTTTCAGTCACTGAAAAGAGCCTCGCTTCCAACAAGGAGAATGCTACTACTACTACAGGACCTAAATATAGCGGCGAGGAGCACAAAAATACTATGGGCCAGGGTAAACACGATAGCACTTCACAATTGCTACTGAGTGCGGAAGGGAAGGTACCTCACAATAGTAATGATATAAGCCCTAATACTAGCAGCGGTGTATCGCAAATTACTTCAGAACCACTCCAGAGTGTAGAAAAAATCGAAGCTTTGACTGACAGAGACACCGCTCCTTCCAGATCGACCCTAGACGCAGAAAACACGGAATCTGTCGACAGCAAAGGCGAGTCCATTGTCCATTCCGAGGCGATTCCACTAACGAAAATGTCTGAAGATGATATCAAAGAAGCCGAAATTGCTACCTCTAGCGAGTTTGAACCTACATTTACTTCAAAATCAATTTCAAGATTGAAAGATAGTCCCGAAACAATGCTAAGCGAAAAGTTGACTAATGCGAGCCACGACGAGCCGATTGTCACACCAAATCAAGAGGCCCTGAAGTCTGATAATAGCACTTCTGTCAAAGAGTCTGATACATCAAATGGTTCCATGGAAGAAGACTTAGAAAATATCGTGGCAACAAATCCTTACGAATCGTCATCTGTAGAAACCGGCACGAACAGCAAAATCGACGCCAACAAAGTGCAGAATGATGCAAGTTTGGAGAAAAAGAACATTTCGTCGCCCATTCAGGAAACCACCTCGCTACAAAGTGCAAGTGGACCGCTTTCTTCCACGGCAAGACCTGCTGAGGAAAAGCACCAGAAGACATTGTTGCAAGATTCAAATCTGATAACTCTCAAAGCTCTATCTGAGGCTGGAATAGTTCCGAAAAAGGGAGAAACGTTTAGGGCAGAGAAACAATGTCTGGTAACACTAAAGGAATTGTCTGACGCCAAGAATCCTCAAGCTGGCATTCCCGCCGAAGCTAAGTTTGAAAATTCCAATTTCAAGGGAAGCAAAACTGTACCGCTTTCAGAGACCGACGAGAATAGTGAACCACGCAAGAAAAGTTCCAGTCCAGGGGAAAACACGCCGAAGCACAAGATGGAAAAAACTCTCGGGTTAAACACTAGCCACGAAATTGGGGCCCACTCAATTGATGCTGTTAGCGAAAAGAAAAAGCTGCCCCCTAAGTATGGCGGTTTGTTGACCTTGAGTGAATTGGCAGGCAAACCTGCGGAGGTGAAGAATGTCACTAAGGCTGGTTTCAATGACACAATCTCTGCATCGGAACCTGGTGCGTTGGTAAGTTTGCAAGATCTGGTTGACAAATCTGTGCAATCGGGCGAAAAGGAAGGGACACATGGTCTACTATCGGATGTGAAAGATCTAGCCAGCAAGGCGGGTGAAACAGAACAAATCGAAACGGATCAGACAGCCATCAATGGCTCGAATTCTGACTTACCGATCGAAACCGAAGCAGTCTTGGAATCCCCGACACCTTCACCAGAACTGACTCATCCACCTCTCGAAGCAGCGAAATCTAACGTTGATATTGTTGCGGGAGAAATTGATGATCTATTACGCGAAATGCAACAAAATAGCCCCTCAGAGTCTCCAATGCAGAAGTCTTTCTTACCATCAAATACGCAGTCTTCCGCCGCTCAAGAGATCCGCTCTTTGCTCATGGATGAGCCGGTCTATATCTATACGTCTTTGGCAGGTGGTGGGTATCACATGCCTTCTCGTACTAATCGGTTGGCCCAAATTTTATCTGCGAACCAAGTTGAGTTCACGTATCGAGATTTAGGCACCGATGACGATGCCCGCAAAGTGTGGAAACGTTACGGTCGTGGGCGAGTTTTACCAGCGGTGGTTCGCGGTAAGGACGATATTGTTGGAAACTGGGAGGAAATGGACGAGGCGAACGAGGACTATAGAGTGAGGGAGTTGATCTATGAGACACTTTGAGCCAAAATAAAGTCTTTTCGCATGACATCCATACTCAATTGCTTCATAATACTTTCTACAGCGGCTAGGTTTGCGTCTCTGAAATGATTGTAAATCAGCATATTGCAGAAAGCTATACATACTTTGCCTACTATAAAATATAGAAAGGATACAACACAAATGCAACAGTGTGCATTTTTCAACAGAAAACACCTGCCGAGGCGCACAAAAGTTCACTGCTTAAAAGTTGGCTGAGGGGAAGTAAGTAGAAATTTAACAATCAAGAGGTTGCAAGATCAATTGTGTACGTTAAGAACCGGTAATGTGTTACCAAGCGTTCCCGTCTACAGTTGCAAGATCAAGTTACAAGGTGGAACAAAACTTTTCAAGCGTTCCCATCTACAGTTGCAAGATCAAGTTACAAGGTGGAACAAAACTTTTCAAGCAGCAAATATAGCTGGTCCGAACGCTTCATGGCTCGATATCCCCTCTGTATGCGGTCTGTCTCGAACTTTCCCGCCAATTATGGTTGTAGTAGAGAGATGAAACGCACATGGTTGTCAAATCGTATATGCCTTCGCTACTCAGGGAACTTTTTGTTTGTTACTTGACGTGCTCTCAGCATAGCCATGCATGCCACCTACTCATTTTTCTCTCCAGATATCTATCTCATCATTCCAAGTAGTGAGTATCTGCCCTGTCGTCCACAATGATCAATTCACTTATCGAGCGGAGCCAAAATCAAGCACCACCCGAAATCGAGAACTGCGAGTTGTGACCATGTAACCGCTGGCCACTTTCCACCAAGCTCGCATTTTGAAATAAGTGTTTTTCAGAACGTGAAAACTGGCATGGCTCTGCTGAGCGTTTTTTTTTCGACATTGTTCACCAATTTGTGCTCTCATGCTCGTGGGAGCACAAATTAAGTGGCAGCTGCACACAGCAAGTCAGTCTTATCTATCGCCAACGAATTCTCCGCTTATTGGGAGGTGGAGCGGCACCACTTTCCTTGCAAAGAGAATGTAATGACGCACGAATTGGGCGGATAAATCGACGGTGGTGTCTAGTTACCTAGTAACACATAGTAGCATGGCCTCGAGCAGGAATTTCAAGTACACACTACGCCTACTCCATAGTTCCACTTTCCAAAGGCATATCCATGTACAGCGGTGGATCTGAACGCCTGTGTAAAGTTTTAACTCAATCATCGTTCCTCGAAACTGTAGAAAAATTAGTTACAGTTCTGCTGAGAGTTCATTTAGACAGCACCATGCTGGCACCATTGACAACGCTAGCTTGTATTCAGAGAAGCCTGGACCCAAGTCGCGATCACACTGATGCATAGTTCCTGGACTACGCATCGTGGGCACCCAAGGGCTCAACATGACGAACATTGTAACGTTTTCAATGCTGGAAAAAGTTTTCTTGCAGTATGCGTCAACGCCAAGTATGCGAAGCTTGATAAGGCAAGGCGATGAGTTTCCCATCAGGAAAGAATGGTGTTTGCAATGAGATCAGTCGGGGGTCATTCCGCTTTCTGTTATGTAGAAGGATGTGTAGGAGGATGAGATGAAGTAGCGGAAGACGTTCACTGGACGTAGACAACCAGATCTGGATAGAGCATATGGGCCGATTGTGCCAGTGAAGAGCAGGTGTATGAATGCTTCAACGGTGCACATCGATGCATTCTTACAATGTGGGCGGAAGTAGTGAGGATGCCGGAGAAGTGAGTCGCGGCTGTTAGAAGTGTAATGGCCGGAGATTTGGACGTGGGTGGAGGCTAGTAGAAGAGTAGGAGACAGGTGGGGACAGGCGGAGACAGGCGGAGACAGGCGGAGACTATTAGAAGAGTAGGAAGCCTCAGTGTCAAGGTAGAAGAGTAGGAGGCCCTCAGTGCCAAGGGCCAGGCCGAGAACAGGAGAAATCTAAGGTCAAGGCAGAGAAGAAAGAAATCCAAGGCCAAGGCGTAGAAAGTAGCAATTTAGGCCAAATAGAAAATGGAAAACTCGAAGTTGTGAGGCTCGATATGTTTGCAGAGACCAAGGTAGAGAGGGGTGGGAAATAAATTAAGTACAGTAGACAAGTAAGGCGGAGAAGAGAGGATACCTCAGCGAGTTATTTGAAAGGAGAGGAATGCAGGGCCAAGACAAAGAGAGAGAGAGAGAGAGAGAAAGACGCAAAACAGAAGGTCCCCACCACTTGCGACGGGCCCTTGGCGACAAGAAAGGTGTTGACTCCGGGGAAAGCTCCCGGAGATGGGTGCAACGGCAGCGAGAGCGCGAGGCTGGCACGACTAGTTGTGTTTGCTTCAAGCTACGGCAACAAAGGAACACTTTGTCAAACGCGACAAAATTTCTCATTGTAGGATACTACTTTTTGCTTTGGGCGACATACAACAATTAAAGGCTGTGAGAGGTGTAGCACGGTTTGCGACAGCAGCGGTTTGCTTTGAGGCAGATGTGATATAAAGAGCGACGAGCGGAGGGCGAGCTAAAAGCGAAGAGCAGGGTGTGGTATGAACAAAGAGTAGCGCGTGGGCAGACGCTCTACCAGCAACAACGCGCCGTC